TCTTTAAACCGTGAAGATAGCTTTACTGAAGGGCAGGAAGTATGGGTTCAAGATGTATTCAATAAAACATGGGATGAAGGAGTAATAGAGAAGAAACTTCAACAACCCAGATCTTATTTAGTTTCTATTAAAGACAAGGGTATAAGGAGAAGAAATAATAGATTTATAAAAAAAAGATTAGGACTCCAAGCTCAAGGGGAAGATGACAAATAACATATGTTTAGTATTCATTTGTTTATGTTTTTTTTTGTAAATATTTACTTTTGGTTTTATAAAGATAGTTAATACCAAACTATGACTTTTAACTTATAATCAGTGAGTATTTTTTTTATGCTTCAAAGTTGGACCCAGCTGTCCTTATGATTATAATTAGAGTAACATGAAATACTGAGTACTCTAACTCAGAACTCTGAGTAGTCAGAAATATAGTGGTGATTACAGACCATTTCACATCGTCCTGGCTAATGAAACAAACACTGTTTAGTGAGTGATTCAATCGAATTGTCTAATGTGTTAGTGTACATTACTACCAATATGTCAAATGATTTTTCCTACAGTTACCTAACAATGTACATGTTCTCTCACTGATTTGAGAGAGCAAAGTGGCCAATTCGCTCATCAGTGAGACAATTTTAACATTGTCTCACTCTAATTACCTTGTCTCACTCCAGATTTGCAACGTGAAGGCACGAAATAGTGTGCGCCTAACATGCAGACAAGGTCGTATGAGCGTGAAATACGTTGGCAGCACTGGCTGTAAATCAGATGGTCAGCTGTTGTACTGTTGTATCATTAAATGTCATATTAAAAGTTCACTTCTGTGTAAAAATATGTTTCGTTTCTTTACCATTTTATTTGTTTTATATGGTAACTGTAGAAAAAATATAATGTGCAACTTGAGTGCAAAGTGCAATTGCCTCACTCGAGAAACCATTCCTCAATCGCCTACGGCTTGTAAGTATTTCTCTCGAGTGAGTCAACAATTGCTCACTAGTTGAACAAATAACTATATAATAAGGCAACAATTAAAAACAATCTATATATACATTCGATACAAGCATTTTTGTTTACAACTGAATTGACAACAGCTGATTTTTACTCCCTAGAGAGTAAAAATGCTACTTTGGACCCAAAATATCATGCGTTAAAAACGGCTGTTTTTGCTGCAGTATGAGGAAAAACATCTTATATTTCACCATTATGATTCAATAATCAATATTGTATACTAACAATTCAGACGTTTAAGAGCACAGACAAGGACTCATATCTTACCATGTATGTTTTCAATGAGTACTTAAAACATGTAACAACACGTTACAAACCACATTAGTAGCAATGCTCGCTGGTATTATGGCTTTGTTATGGTGAGGCACACTGATGCATACCTTCATGCACATTCCATCTCAGTCATAACTCCACCGCTGTATCATAGCTGCTGCACATGATGAATTGTTGTGTATTTCCTTTTGTAAACGGATGATTCGTTGAACATACCTTTAGCACAAACATTCAAGTTGTGTTGGTAATCTCGTCATTTCTACATTTAGAATTTACAACTCCTGTGTGTGAGGTGGTTGTTTTACGTTTAATTTAGATTGGTTGGTTATTGTTGTTAATATTAATTTTAACTAATTTGTTTACCCTTGAACAGGTGTTTTATACAAAGAGGAAAATATGTCTTTAAACAAAGTTTTTTCTTAAGAGTCTGCAATTATACTGTAAACTTTAACACTACTGTAAATATCTCGGTGATCTTATGATGGTGTGAGTAGCCAGTCAAAATAGTTCGAAATTGTGATAATTTTGTATGTACTTATTTATTATCTTGTGAATGATATGATAAGAAACTGTGCTATATTTCAATATGTTTCATCAGTAATTTGGTATTAGTACCAAAGGAGGATAAACGGAAGGTATAAACGGGAGCATATTACTCCAAACATTTCATGGCTACTGCAGAAAATGTCTTTGATAAAATAGAAACCTAAGTTATTTCTAACTCAATAAATCCCGATAAAACATGGGTGCACTCCGATGGATTATTTAAATAAAGCATTGAGTTTATTCACTCGAAGAGTTATTGTTCTTTCATTAATTGAAAGCTTTTTAAAGTTATATATAAATGGTAAAAATAGTTTTACATTAAAGTTAGTCTTTTTGGTATTTTCATTATTCAAGAGGCTTTCAAATTGTAATAAGTTTATGAGAGGCATTAAAGTTTAGTAATCCTTCGCCACAAAAGCTTAGCGTCTCATTTCCTTCCCTAAATGATTGTAACTTTTAACGAACCAACTTCAGTAGCCCTCAAGGCTTTAGTCCATCTTTCATTTGGACACATTTATTTGTATTGCGGCATGTACTGAGCTATTGTTGAAATTACTTGGATAGTTTAGAGTAATGCTTTGACCAACGAATTAGTATTAGAACTGACAAATTGTAAATCTCTGCATGAGGTGGAAATAGTTATTTAAACGTGTTTATTGTTATAACAAACATGCTGAAATAATAAATGTTACGTTCTCTATATTGTCTGTAGAAAGATCAGTTCAGGAATTTTTCTTCTGTGTCAACTTGCAAAATGTTCAAACAAACACATACTTTGTACTGCTTTCTACGGTTTACTTTATCCACACATGATATGTAGATGCACTATGGGGAGGTGAAAGCACAAGAACCCACTTCCTTTTTCTCCTTTAAAGGAGAGCTATCAGAATAATTCACGGCCTTCCCTATAAACATACTTGTAGATCTGTATTTAAATCATCCACAATTCTAACTTTTCCCTGTACTTACATTCAGGAAGTCCTCACTTTTCTAAGGTCAAATTATTCTCATTTTCACACCACAGCCGGGACACATATCTGTTTTGCAATGATTCCAATCTGAGAATTCCAGCTTCTACCACTACCTTCTTTGAAAGACATTTAACATTGTTCTAACCTAAACAGTTCAATGCTCTCGCTCTTCAAATCAAGTCTACATCAGACACGGCTTCAAAAGGTACTTAAAGTCATTTCTCGCGGGTAAAGGCTACTACAGTGTCTGCGGATTTTTCGCTGACGGACAGATCTCATGAATTTCAATTTTAATTTTGTATAAACAAGTTAGTAAATAGTTAGTTTAAGTAATTTGGCGTGGGTAATGCATGGAAATTGTTAATCTAGCTAAATAAATGAGTTATTGAGTTACTGTTCACTAGGATTATTCATTATCTTCAGTGATATCTTCATACTTATTGTACTGTACGAGTATTTCTGATTAGGGTATTATATTCGTAAAACCAAATACTGTAGGCGTTAATCTGAGAACCCTGGTGTAACTTAGCTGATACTTTTGCAATGAATAGATCATGACTGATTGGATTATTTCAACATAACCTAAAAGAGGGGGACAATCTAAGAAATGATTAATGATGATAACAAATATTTTATTTTATTCATAATTTTGCCTCTAGGATTCATTAAATAGCATAAGTAAGGTTACTGACCTGTTGTCAATCAATCCTATTGATTCTATAGTGGATTACTAGTTTCGGGTTTTTATAACCCTATTATAAATCCTTATTTGAATTTCTTCTTGTCAAAAAAGAATTACTCAGCACTTGCCATTGTCAATTTGAAAATAATTTACACATAACAAAGAAACACACATGAGGAGACATTTACTTTTACAATATGTACAATACGCAAGGCTAGCCAAGGACTAAACCAGACCAAGAACATGTTAGGCGAGAAGAAATTCAAATAAGTATTTGAAAGTGGGGTTAAAACCCCGAAACTAGTAATACACTAGAATCAATAGGATTGATTGGCGACAGGTCAGTAACCTTATTTATGTTAAATATTTTATATTTCGCTCTACATCATAATAAAACTCATTTGAACTAATGTTGTTTGTAGTTTTACAACAGTCATTTTTACAAACCATAAACATAAACTGATAAATGAAGTGATTTTACATTGTGTAATGTAGGCCTAATTGCCAATAATTTATTTTTGAGGTGTGACAATGTGTATCCATTTAAACCATTCAACATTGTATCTTAATTTTATTTTCAAATATTTGAGCAGCATTTAACCAATTCATTTGTATTCTGTACACTATGGCAACACCTCTCAAACTTATCAGTCAAACACGCTGTATAAATACAAATGTATTTAACACTCGTTCGCTTTAATCAACTCTCATTGAGCAAACACAATACTTTATTTGCTTTGACTTCACATCAAAGAGTGTCACAATCAACTTTTTTAATCCAACTTTGCAATGAAGGATCAAAACTTTAAATCATCCGATTGTCTCAGCTGTCTTTTGAAGCGTATAATTTGACTTGGAACTTTAGTTTCCTTAGAAGCAGTAGCATTTAACTTTGTCCTCTTATTAATTTATTCACAACAAGAATTAGTAAGTAAATTGAGTTCGTTTGGAGGATAAATATTAATTTGGAATTCAATATAAAAGTAGAAAAATTATTCGGGAGGGTTTTTAAATTAAGTCAAACTCTCATTTGGTGAAATTAGTCATATTTGTATCATAAGTTTAAAAACTGGGCTATATATTTGCTGTTTCATTAGATAAAATTCTCATTAGATCGAATAACAATGTCATTGGTGAAAAAATTATCTCTGTAAAAGGGTTTGATATGGTGGAATTCAATACTGTATTATTAAATAATTTAAATCCGATTTTATGTCCTCCTGCAACACCCGTGTAAACTTTGTGTTTGCCGTATAGTTAGAAAAGCACTACAATTTCCCAATTTAGTTAAGAGTCCAATAATGCATGATATGAGCACTATCAGCAAAGTCAAGCGTGGCCGTTAGTGATATGAGTCAGTCATGATTGGCAGAGATCGACAGAGTCGAGCTGTAAAAAAAAACACAGTTAAGTTTGACTCTCTCAATTTCTGCCTATCATGACCAACTGTGTAAATCGCTTTTTTGTGATTTTGACTGTACTACACAGACATGGAGTGGAGGGTTAAATAAGAGACAAGAAAGTTTACAAAATCGCTCATTTTATGGCTAAGACGTTTATGTATACTGTACATGTATATGCCGCATAAAATCATAACAATCAGAAAATTACAAAACATATGTTCATATTTACACAAACCATACCAATACATATTATACATAACAGTTACAAGTAATTCAAAATAAATACGATGATGGGACATCCCAATATGGGAGAGAAATTTCTATGTACAACTATTTGGTTATGATTGGAATATATTAATGATAAGCAGTAAAATGTATCAATCTGAATCCGAGTTCACTAGATTTGTTTTTTTCCGCTTTTTAGCTGGTTTTGTTTTTATAACTTCTTCCTGCAACAAACAAAATCACACTCATTACCAGACTGTTAATATACCAACAATAAGCTTCCACTAACTTAAAGGGGTCCTAAGTATTAAGACTTGTTATTTTTTTTTACCATTATGCTTTTAAAGTTTTAAAACAATACACTTAAATCGCTTAGGGCTATAGCGTCGCTCTATCTATTTGACTTTTTTCTTTTGAGTTTTAAAGAATATTCTAAAGGCGACTGAATTTTTCTTGGTACTTACGTATTATACGGAGGCCACATATTTTACAGCGCGCTGCAGCGGTTATGTTAGGTTGGGTTATCATAAATATATGTTTTTTTATCAAATTAAACTATCTTAACCTAACCTAACCAACCAAACTTGCTGATGGTGAAGGTTTACTAATCGAATCTAATCTGTAGGTTAGGTGGCCTCCGTTTAATACGTAAGTACCTTTTTCTTTACTGTTGTTTCTCTACACAAGGTTAAGACATTAGTTTTTTTTTTTTTTTTTTGTACCTATTACCACTAACCCTATAGATTCAGTCAAGTGGTTTTAGTCAAGTTAAGCTTAGCTAAGTTATTATTAAGTTTTAGTTTTCCTTTAAATATGATTGTGCAGCTTATTGATTAGTTTAGTACAATGAATTGATAGCAGCTAGCTTACCTTATAACAAGTACTGATACACCATAGAATAAACAGAAGTTGCATAAAACCCAAAATGTTGTCTATACTTTCTGTGTGCTCTATAGCCTTCCTGTACTTCTAAGGTTAGCTAGCTGCTATCCCTTCATTACACAAGTCAAAATCCTGGCCTAGGGCCTCTCCATAAACAGCTTATTTGTCTAATGTCATTTATATAGGCCCTAACTTCAAAGTATTGCCAGACTTACCTCGCTAGATTCCTCAGAGCTATCAGACTTGTAAATCTTTGATTTGCCTTTGTTAAAGTTTGGTTTGCGACCTCTGCCTTTGCTCTTCCCCGTTTCGTCCAACTCCACCAGGGCAAACAGGTTACTAAAGTGATTCTTCTGCGCATCTGAACACGTTGACTGGAAAACACAAAAGATGGTGTTTCAACTGATCAAGGATAATCACATCAAGTTTAGGCTTTCAGTCAATTAAAATGGTTTTAGCAAATTTCCCATAAAGTGAATAAGTTATTACCGTAGGTCTCATGACTTGACTACAACTAGGATCCATACCCAGACCAATTTTTAAATGTTTTCAATAGAGACCAAAAACAGTATTGGTTTAATTTTTGAATTCAATTCAATTCATTCAATTCAAAACCACTTTATTCATTTCCTGTACATAATACATTGAATAGTGTCAACAGTTGCTTAGGCCTAATAGTTATGAAATACATTTCTAACATAATAAAATAAAAACAAAATTTTACAAACTTAATTTTTTTTAAGTCTAAACAAAAAATACATAAATTGAATTTGTTTTTGACTTCAAAGACTATTCAACTCTTCAAAAGAAAAAATACCCCCGCCGCAGCAAACCTGCCGACTAAGCGAATTTCCATTCGTCTAAATTGATTTTCAGTTAAATATATTTTAATAACATTAGGTTTAACGAGTACCTAGGTTTGCTGCTACAAGGAAACTAATAAAGTGTGTTTTAGAGTAAAATATTGATAGCTTAGTACAAAATAAATAAATTTGCCAAGTTTGATCAAAATATATCCATAAACAAGCAAACTACAACATTTGACAATATTCTCCATAAGAATAACATGGGAATTTTAAATTTACAATTTTTTTAATTTTCTCCGTTACTAATAATTGAACAAAAATACTTTTATATACTAAATTATTTGTTTTTTTAAGCTCTTTAAAAAGGTCTAAAGATAAATCGGGAATTTTTTTTGTTTTGAGGGTCAAAAGTGAGAAAAACCAATTTTTACCCCATAAAACCCCCCGTAAAGCCCCGTTCCCATGGTCCGATCATGCTGGTTCGCGAACTCATTCAAGTTTATCCCGCTTTACACCTTTAAACCAAATTTCATCAAAATCGGACAAAAATTACTCAAGTTATCGCGTTCACGGACGTATATATATATATCTAATATATAAAATTCTCGTGTCACAGTGTTTGTCTGCAAACTTCTCCGGAACGACTTCACCGATCGTTATGAAATTTGGTGTGTAAATTCTGTAGGTATGCGAATCGGACGTAAACTATTTCCCGTTTCGAAATTCTTAAAAGGGCTCCGCCCCAGTGGCTCTGGAGTTTCCCATGTTAACCTTATGAGAAATGGAATTAATGAATCTTAACAGCTGTTTCAATTAAACAAGTTGGTTCTGTTCTATGATGTTCAATAGCATTAAAGTTACAAGGATTACCAACAGGGTGCAGCACTATTATTTCTTTTACATTTATGACAACAGCTAATTTGCAACCAAAAGGTGAGTGAGCGTAGCGAACGAACTTCAACCTGGAGGCGAGTGAGCGTAGCGAGCGAGCTAACCTGAAGGCAAGTGAGCGCAGCGAACGAGCTCCAACCTAAAGGTGAGTGAGCGTAGCGAACGAGCTCCAACCCAAAGGTGAGTGAGCGTAGCGAACGAACTTCAACCAGGACGTGATTGAGCGATGCGAACGAGATCATCTTGAAAATTAAACGTAACGGTACTTTCTTTCCATCGGTCTGTCTTAGGGGAAACCTATAACTTAGGCGATACGAAGTTCGCCGGGTCAGCTAGTATATATATATATATATAAGTCTATATATATATACATATATAAAAATTTGAACGAATGGTGTTTTTGGCCTCTGGGGACATCAAAATGAAAAAGTAAATCGGTCCTGGGTCTAGGTCTTACCGTGCCACCTACGGTAATAGCTACTTCCCTATAGGGAAATTCGCTAATAGCCTTGCTGATGAGAAATCTCTTTAATTTATTTTTAAATATTGTTTTGGAAATCTCTGATTTAATTTCAATTGGGAGATTATTATAAAATTTTGATCCCGCATACATGGGTTTTTTTTAGACTATGGTGGCCAATTGCAAGGTTTTCCCGATTTCTGGTGAAATAATTATGACTATCCCCAACTCGTTCCAAATCATGAAGTCTGTCCTTTACTGATAAAATTGTTTCATAAACGTACATTCCATAAATTGTCATTATATTTTCCGATTTAAAATGTTCTTTACTAACAGAAGTTTCAAAATCTAAATTGCAGATAATTCTAATAGCTTTCATTTGCTTTTTTAGAATAGAATTCAAATTGTAATCACTAGTTGCACCATAAAGTGAAATCCCAAAAGATATACTTGAGTGGATATATGAAAAATATATAACTTTTAAAGTTTGTTTTTCACAAAAGGGTTTCAATCTAGATAAAGCAAATAATCCCGATGTGATTTTGGCAAGTAACTTTTAAACGTGACTGTTGCATTTCAGATTTTTATCAATTACCAATCCCAAGAATTTCATGTTGTCCATACTTAGAATTTCTGTGTTCTCGAGTCTGATGATTGGTTTATTTTGATCCCCTAATTCTCGAGTCTGAAAACTAATGAAATTTGTCTTATCTGGATTAAGAAGCAAATTATTAGAATTAAAAAATTATTTAAAACTGCTATATCGGAATTTGCCTTAAGTTCAATTTCATCATTTGATTTTGCAGTGATTTTCAAATTAGTATCATCGGCATATAGGCAAAGTTCACTCAAGTCACTGAGTTGGGGAAAGTCTCTAAAGTAACAAATGAATAATAAAGGGCCTAAGATGGACCCCTGAGGCACTCCAAATTTCACATCTCTAATAGAGGATCGGTAATGAATTTTATAGTTTTTGTTGTTTTGGTGAATTAATTCTACAAACTGTTTTCTGTTGGAAAGGTAAGACTTCAGTAACTTTAATGCATTGTTCTTTATCCCTAATTTGCTTAGCTTTGAAAGTAAAAGGTCATGTGATATTGAATCAAAGGCTTTATTTAAATCCATAAATAATCCTACCACTTTCAATTTACTGTCCAAACTATCAATAATAGATTCAACTAACTTTGTGGCAGCTGTTATTACAGATCTACCACTGCGGAAACCATGTTGACATCCTTCAAAAAGGCAATTCTTTTCAAAAAAATTTACTAGTTGATTATAGATTACTTTTTCATAAACTTTAGAAATAGCGGGAAGCAATGCTATTGGTCTGTAGTTTGAAACTAAGTACTTGTCCCCTTTTTTGAAAAGCGGTTTTAATTTTGCTAATTTAAGTTTATCAGGAAAAATACCAGAAATTAATGAAGAGTTAATGATGTGAGTGATTGGTTTAAGTAATACGAATCTTGCTTTTTTTAGGAGTACCACAGGAATACCATCATATCCTGTACTAAAAGAATTTTTTAGGTGGTTTAAAATGTAATCAATTTCTTTCTCATCAACAAAGCTAAATTTAAAATTGTTAGTACTAATTAACAACAGATCATTTTCTGAACTATTTTCTGTCTCAACTTGAGTTTGCTCCATACTACATATTGAAGTGTCCTCAATTAAATCTGCAAAATAATTATTAAATTGGTTACAAACCAAAGAAGGCTCAGTACATACAATGTCATTTGATTTTAAAATTATGTTTTGTATATCCTTTGCTTTATTTCCTACTTCTGAGTTGATAATCTTCCAAGTGGTTTTATTTACATTATTTGAATTATTAATAACAGATTTATAGTAATTTTTCTTTGCAGTGTACAATCGTTTTCTGAAATTTTTGTTCATTTCCCTAGTTTTTTTAAACATTTTTTTACAATTAACTTCTCTAGCCAATTTGCTGAAATTAGTTATATTTTGTTTTTCTAACTTCAATTCATTAGAGATCCATTTTTTGTTAAAATGTTGTCTTATCAAAGTCTCAGGAAAACAATTATCAAAATGATACATAAAAATGTGATGAAATGTATCATACTTTCTTTCAACCGGTGATGAGTAAAGGTTTGCCCATGATTCAAATTCCAGTGCCCTAATAAATTGATTAATATTTGCATTGCTAAATTTCCTCTTATACTCAAAATGGACCTTTGAACCAATATTTAATTTGGTGGCTTCACTATTATTGATAATTTCAAGAATTTGACCATCATGGTCTGAGAGTTGAGTGTTGATTCCTATGACTCTGTAATAATTGCTTTCTAAATTGGTAAAAATATTATCAATTGCGGTTTGAGTTGATTCGGTGATTCTGGTGGGAAAATCAATTAATGACTTAAATCCATTAGCTTTTACAATATGCAATAATCTATTTCTATTATTGTAACTTTTATCCAACATATCAATGTTTATATCACCAACAAAAATTATATGTTTACATTTTGAACTTAGAATTTCAAGCATGGTATTTAATCTTTCAATAAATTCAATATTGTATATTGGCTTTCAATATGTATATACACAGGATGGGGCAAAATGGATTAAATCCGCTGTAAAATAAACCCCTGACCCTATAAATTTTGAATGCAACAGTCATAGTCAAATCATAGGGATTTTCAAAATGTTCAATAGTAACAATTCATCACTAAGAATCCATATCGAGAATGATCTACCTGAGCCAGATGCAGAGCCCGCTGCATACACTCCAGCTTGTACAGCTGTCTACAGCCAGTCCTCAGTCTGTCTAGGTGTCCCAGTAGTTTGTCCAGTGAAGGGTTCCCACTAGTCTTGCCTCTCTTACGTTTGTTGGGGGATGTTTGAGGACAGCTGGTTGTAAGTAGTCCAGCCACTAGTTCTGCCAATCTCTCCTCATGGTCTCTACACCAACCACGCAACACTGACACCACAAACATGTCTGTCTGAGGTCGCACTTCCCGACACAACACTTGCTTCACCAGCTCCGACGTTGGCCTGCAAATATGTAAATTATATTATACACGATCAAAGATTTTGTGTATTTTTTTATAGGCCAAAACAAAAAAAAAAACACCAAGATAAACAAAACAAACATGGGTCTCTGCCTAGTTTTCTGTCTGTCTGTCTGAATGTGACTCACAATAATGTGTCCATAACTTTTTAGCTTCTTAAGCGATTGACTTATAACTTAGTACGGGAGTGTACCAACCCCCCCCCCTCCCCCTCTCTTTTACCTGGGAGTGTTCCAAACAAATATTTATTCCCCAAGGCAGCAATCAGGTAATACCTCATTGGTCAAAAGCTGAGCTCAATAATTAGCATTGCAACATTGTTCATATTCATTGGCTGCCTTGAATATGTATAAATATAACAAAGTTCTATAAAAGGGAAGACTTATGAAAGATTTAGGGTTGTCTGCAAATTTAATATCTCCATCGAGCTTCAAGTGTGGCCAATCAAGCTACATCAAATCTAAGAGTACCGTCAAGTTATTTACTTAATTAACTACCTTTGTGGGTAAATCTTACCCCAATAAGACAAAAATAAAAATATAAAAATTTTAAAAAAAGTTTCATCAAAATTGCTACCTCAAATGTTGTGAAAGAAAATTGGTGCTCCCACTAATTATTTAAATATGAATTGCATTCTGGCTTTAGGTTTCTGTGATGAGGGTCAACCCCGATTGAAATCTAACTGATATGTTGTAGATTGGCAGGTAGTAGGTTGTGTTAAGATGAAGAAAATGTGTATAAGTGTAGAGAGTTTGCAGAAGGACGAACACATTTGCACAGGTTTACTGCGGGTGTTCAATAGTTCCTATCAAAGGCAATGGTTAGCCTTGATCATTCATTCAAAGTTTGTGAATGATTGCTTGCTGGTCAGCAACTAAGACTACTAGCATTTATCATTGTCCTTGATAGTTTTATAGTGTAGAGGCCTATTGATTTGGCATTCTCTTCCAGTCACACCGCAATCACCTTGCCGAATTCCCTTAATTTTGGTCGCTAAATCAAACGAGGCTGCTGGGCAACGCAAAGTAAAACATTGTCAAAGTTTTTATTCCCTCCATCTCTTTTTTTAACGTAGTTGCAATAGACTTCAATAGTTTGACATCTTAAACCACACAAGTACGAGCACAGAATGTGATTTATACTTGGCGGAAGAATCAATTTTCTGTTGTGACTTTGTGGTAACTTGTAACGTTTTTAAATACTATGAAAGACTAATCATACCACAGGATCGGGAACCTGGTTAAACCTCAGTGGATGAAATAGGGTCTAAGATATTATGTAGGTAGCTTGTCCGTGGCTGGAGCTTGATGGTGAGTTTCATTTAGTGGACAACCCTCACACAAGTTATTCATAGCGTATACTTACCTCTCCTGTTTGAGCATGAGCAGTATGGCCGTGAGAGCCTCAGCGTGAGAGCTGTACTCTAGCCGAGGCAGGATGGGCAACACATAGTCTATGGGGATACCATGAGCTGTCACTAACTGCCACAAACACAACTGTTCAAAAGTCTCCCACGACAGTGAGGCAGACAACACTGCTTGGAACGAGTCTCCTCTGAACATCACCAGCCTCCCTGCAACATAATTATATGACATTTTCAAGCACAACAGATAGTTACTATGTCCTTGTTAACACTAATACCGAAACCCTACCTAGGCTGACGTTAAACGAAACCCCCGGTCTGTGAGACCCCATTTAAAAAATAATGGATCCCGCTTAGAAACACACAAACCGAAATCCTCGGCCTGTGAGACCCCGCTTTAGAATACACTAACGCTGGGCTTCTGAAACAGGCATGTTATGAACAGACAACCTGTCAAGGTCACGGCACCCATGCAAAATTAACAAACGATATATCAGTAGGTAGGGAAGGAAAAGGGGGGAAGGTATTGGGGGAATGGAATCTTCCAAGTAAACAGTGTTGCCAACATGCGTTTGTGAATATTCCCGTGGGCCTGTCAGACCGGGGTTTCGGTATTACTGTTAATATAAATAGATAAGCTAATGGTAAAAACAAAAACATAGTGGGGTAGAGAGAGTAGCTGTAATTTTTTATCCCCACTTGGCGCTCCACAAGCCAATAGTAGAGCGGCTGGATAACAGTTCTGTACTTTTGCTGGAGGTTATCTAAGTGCTGTATTGATAGGAAACAATAGATTTGTTGTCATCCACTCACCTTGGACTACTCGGCAGACAAGATCTTGTAGTTGGGAGGCATCCACAGTGGACACCACTAGATGTAGTAGATGAGTGTTGCCAACGGCTACCTGAGGGAATTGTGTGTAAACAGCAGGAACCAGCCAACATAGTAGTCTCACATCTTCCTCTTGACATAACTGAAAATAACACTCAAAATTTTAAGATTTTCCGGTTTAACTCAGCCTAACAATATGGTGTTTGATTAAAAAGAGGGTTGTCAGTAAATTAAGTATCCATGAAGCTTTTGTCACAGCCAAGCAAGCCAGTTCAAATCTTAAACCAAAGACATGTTCTTTAGTTCATCAACTACTAGTCTAGATGGTTCTGACCGCAAGGAGAGATCCAAGGTGACGTTAAGCTTGCGTTGACAACTTGTCTGCTCCTCACACATCTTTCTGTTGTGCGCTTTGTCACAATACAACAGATATCATTACCCAGACTAATGACGACTGATGCTTAAAAGTCTCTTAGGCCTATTGGGCGATCAGAGAAACCTTAGTTCAATTTAGTGGCAACCTTAGTAGCCTGTATAGCATCTCGTTTTCCTGGTCAGTAACCAATGAGAACCTCTTTGGCGAATGAGTGGGGGGCATGACGTCACTCTTCTCTTGATGGAACACCATTGCCACAACGATACGAGGTGAAGCTATCGGTGTTCGTGGCGTAGTGGTTAGCATACTCAACTGATCTCCATGAGGTATCCAGATCGAATCCCACTGGTAACAGTAACTTTTTGTCAAAGATTTTGCTTAGAATGCTTACTTCTTAACTGCGCATCTTTTGTTAGAATTTGAAGCATTTAATAATTTTATTTTATGAACAGAAATATTTTTTTTATTAGTAAACCTTTATTCTATTTTTATCTTGTATATTTTTTTATATTATCAGCAAGTTTGGTTGGTTAGGTCAGGTTATGACAGTTTAATTTTATAATAACAAATTAAAAGATTAATTTTATAGTTAAAAATTTAATTTTATAATTTTTCTTAAATTGATGTGAGGGGCTCTCCCATAATCCCCCACTCCTTCGCAGAAGAGGTTCTCATCGGTTCCTGACCAGGAAACTGAGACGCTAGTTAGTAGTTTGTGATTGGGTGATAAGTAACCATGGAAACTTGTTGAATATGTCGATGAAGGGGAGCCCAAGAAAGAATAGAAGAACAAAGAGAAAATGTTCTTATCTTTTTACTCTTTCTATGAGTGTTATTAATTATTTTCTTTGTGTACCTATACGATTTTAAACTTCTGAATGTTCTATTTAATGTTTTCATCATCTAAAACTTATTTGTTTTTAACCACGGGCACATCAATGCTAGCTAGTTACTATTATTGACAGCAGTACCGGTAGCCTAACAAAGGTCAATGACTTAAAACATTATCAGTGCGGAATATAGTATTTTTTTTTTATTTTTTTATGGGTTCGCTGCATATTTTTAACCTACTAACCTTTTTAAGTAGGAGCCCATCCGATTTGATTCGAACTGAGCCTTAACTATCCGAACCAAACTGAAATGTTACCATACGCATACCTTTTGTTTGATTTAAATTGTTAAAAGTATAAATTGTTTAATTAAGGTACTCTTACAGAATTCACACAAATACACACACAAAAAGAAATATTTTTGACAAACCTTTAGATCTGCTAGAAGTCCAGCTTCCAGCTCTTTGTCTTGGGTCTCACACAGTTCTTTGTACACTTGTGACTTGCCATTGCTGAAAAACACAAAACAATTAAAGCTACTGGACACTGGCTTGTACAACATGGTCTGGATACAACAGCATTCAAGATGTAAATTTTTTTAATAGAAAAAAAGCGTCCAAAGGGTGGTAATATAGAAATATCAATGTATGTTATTCTTTGGATACCTCGTAAAATAAAAATATAAACCTTATGTTGATGGATTTAATTTGTAACAAGAGGTTCTACCCGCGAATTCACGGGTGTACAGAAGCCACCATTAAATTAATTTAATCAACTTTGACTTCATTTAAAGGGCCCAAGCTCGAGAAATTGTCGTCTAAAAGGATGTTAAAAGCAGTGGAACCTTCATACCGTACGTCCTGAGGTGGCCGAGGTGGGTACGGTTGTACCTGAACTCGCCGCTCTCCTCCACGACGTCTGTAATACTTTAATACTTTTCAATGAAATGGCCTGTTAAACCGGCCTGTTAAAGATCGGTGACAACCTCTTGGAACGAACAACACACATGGTTTGTTACTCTCATAATCATCGTGTTTCGATCACCTTTAGTCACTCACTTGTATCAAACAGCTACAAATAGCTTCACTGTCCACTTACCGAACCTCTTTTAAGAACACAAAACTAAATAATAAAATAAGTAAACAAAAATGTAAACAAACAAACTATATTGTCAATTGCATTGGCCAGCTGTTGTTCACTAAATTAATCGAATAACTTTGACTTCCAAAACATGCAAGGCGTAGCCCTTTGGAAATCAGCCTGTGGGGCAGAGCCCTTAGGGAGTTCGTCCATATCAATACTTTTCGGCAAATCTACACACTCTGAGCTTCATTTTGATATGCCATATGCCTATATTTTCACTTGATAAATGGCCTTAACCGTTTACATAAAATTTGATTGTATCACTTTAATAATATAATAGATGTTTTTTTAATGGTTTGTTAATGACATGAGGTAGCAGCACCAACTCCAACTCCCTTCTTGCTTCCTCTTAAGTCGCCCCTCTGACAGCATTGGTGTACTTAGACTTTACAGAGCAAAACAATAGGTTTAGCTAGTCTAACTAGTTTATCAACATCTAATATCCAATCTGAATCCTAACTCACCAGACCTTAAATAATAGATGTGTAGCTGCTCACTTTCTGAGCCCAGCTGAGTGTATCCTATAGTTAAGTGGTCGAGCAAGAAAATCAAGTGAAGCTGAGTCTTGACGATCCATATGTTATTACCCTGATCGTAGTAAGTGTTTGCAAAGAAAGCTGGGTTAAAAATCTTGCTCACGTTCCGCAGTCTTACAGCAACCATCATCATTTCCCGCAGTCACGGAAACATCATCATCATCATCTGTAATTGCGGCAAATGTAAAATATATTCCACTGTTGTGTAGACAAGATCATCGTCTCCCGTGGTCATTGAAGCTTGTCATAGTTTTCTGCAATGGCTGCAAACTCTTCAACATCTTCTGCGGTCTTGTAGTATTATCTTTGTCTTCCGTGGCCATGGAAAATCATAATCCCCTCCGCGATCGGAGCAAAAGCGTGGATTATTCTATTGCAAAATCTTCCCAGACGTGTTCTGCTATCGCAATAGATAGAGCTTGGCTTGGCCTCTTTTCTGTAGAATAGCCCGAATTTAGATTTAAATCCATCTATCAGATTTTTTAAATATTATAATGTGTTACAGTCCCAATTGATTCAAATGATTGGAGTTCTGATGTGAAATATTTTGTACACAACACCAGTTTTACAACACACACAGTTTTATAACTAAGATGGTAAAACGGACACATGAGTTGATCACTTACCTGTTGATCTTGCCACTCTCCTCCTGCAGGTGTGTGCTGGCCTGAAGGTAGTATAACAGTAGGTAACCTATCCGTGGTTGATGATTGTACATCTCACTCAACACTGTCAACAATGGTAACCTTCGCGAGTCGTCTTCACTCAGCTCTGCTAGATTTCTAAACAAGACAAACAACGGCCGGCCGATGCTGTCTTCTATACTGTCTTCTGTCACTGTGTCTGGGAACACTTTGCTAGTCCACGTATGTCGCAGCACACCACACAAACATTGTCCTAGACTAGCCAATGTGTCACTGTCCACCTCGTCGTCTTGTATCACTGTCTGTACCACTCTCTCCATCGCTTCACACCTGCAATTAACATATATTGTTGATACGTGTGTTGTCCACAATAAGAATACAAAATATTTTAAGATTGAATACCGTCGCAGCAAACCTGCGGACTATTTGCTAGATTGGATTTTCAATAAAACATTATCTTAAAATTGCCAGATATATTTCCTATTTTAAAAAGGTTTACCGTATTTAATAGTATAAATTAATTATTTATAAAAGTTCTACCCCCATCTAAAAAATATCTAATATTCTTGTTCCTATAGTCTGATCATGCTGAGGATAACAAAACAAAAAATATCAGTCCCAAGTCTTACCATTTGACCTACGGGATAGTTTAATCCTTATCAGAAATTCCCTAAAATAGAATAACGTGAGGTCAAAATTACTTTTAGCTATTGTTTTGTAAAAGAGATGTACAGAAAAATAGTTTATACTTTAGCACACTTATAACACACTTTTGTATAGCCTGGTATTATTATTATTATTATTATTTTTTATTTTTTTTGCCTGACTGTGGCTTATTAAGCACAATATCCCTGACTTGATTGTTTCACAGGACATTGTAATTTATATACTCACTTAGCCTCATTGTCAGTCTCACTATGTAGCCTTTCCACAGCATCTCGCAATGGTCCTTCCAGTCCCTTGCCTAACTCTTCATCCTCTAGCCATTCAGACAACGGGCTGTCTTTTAACTTGACCTTGGCTGAAACATAAACATATCATTCAAGACTACTACAGGATATAATGTTCTTCAGTCCACCTTCACATCATAGGACCTTGTCTTTAGCCGTAGCCCAGAACCGTTTTCACATTAGCCTAACTTACGTTAGGCCTAGAGGGTCACAGCATTATCACTCAGATGAAAGCCATTAGTGATTAGCAGGATTCAAACCTGAGACCTCAAGGTCCAAAGTCCCACACTCTAACACTAGACCAGCTCGCTCATATAGCTTTCTACTAGAAGTTGTTGAATATTAGAGACTCTTGAACATATTGGATGGATATTTTAATTGCTAGTTTCAGAATTCACTTTAACACATTAGGTACAACCAACTACTGTATATTATTACTCATCCCTCTAATACAGAGAAGTGTGATGGTTGATAGGGAACGTGTTAAATTCACAAATTCAAATTAATAACCACAACCTGAAAGTAAGTAAACCCTTATATCATTAAGATAAAAACAGTTATCCAGAAAAAGTAAAAACTTGAGTGTAGGCCTACTAAGGAACAAGGTAAAGTCTTCAGCTGTTACTAAGGGTAGACTCTAACATCTTGGTTAGTTAGTAGGATTATGACTCTCTGTCTTCACCTTGTCTTTCACACCTGTCTTTTGATAAACAAAAACTTATTGTATATTAAGTTACTTTTATGTTTTTCACCAATTTTGCCACTGTTATTGTGTAAGTTGCATAGGCAATTCATGTGGTGACTGCAGTGGTAAGAGTATTGTCTAGATTAGCCCTAAATATTACTTATGAGTTTTTATCATGTTCAGTTGTTTAATGCTTCCTTTACAAACATTCCAATCATAACCATTTTGCCTACCTTTGTTAGGAAAGGTCAGGATGGAAGTGGGGCAAAGGTATGCAAGGAAAAGCACATCTTAGACTGTACAAATGCTTCAAAACTAATTTTATTCTTTCCCGAAGACCCCTTATTGGCCTATAATGACGAATCAGATTGTGATCTGAAACCGAAATTATTTACTTTTATTATGGTGAAAAAAGTACAACAAAGTTTACTCAACACATTTCTAAAATAAAAATTAAGGACTAACTAAACAATAAATATTTAGGCCATTGTAACAAATTAAATACAATAATCTTACGAAATCCCCAAAACTAATTTCATGATTTCAGATTTTCTGGCTTAAGAAATTATGTAACTGATTTGATATAACCTATTGACATTTTATGAGAAAGTATTTTACAAGTACAAAAGAAAAAATCCACAATGGAAGAATTAAAAAATGAAAAATTAATATTTAAAACAAAAAAATACTAAAGATAACTTGCGTGTTTAGCTGTGTGGTTAGGCACACTGTTTTGAGCTCAACATAAACCTAAATTCCATTCCACTTTCATTGGGGGCAATTAAGGTTTTATAAGGAATAATTTTTGTATCAATATTATCGGAATAGTGGAAAACTTAATAATTATAGTATTTTGGGTTGCATTAACCGAAAGTTCACCAAAGGTTGCTTGTCCTTGTGTCCTCGTAAAAGCAATGAGTAGCATTTTACTTAATTCTGAACATTTTTGTTAAAGGAAAAAGTAGATAATTTGAAAAAAAAGACAAGGTGCAGGACCTGATGTTTTCAGGACGACTAGTATGATTGAAACAATTTAAAATACCTGACACTTCCTAATGTGGGATGTTGTACAATGAAAGTATAGACTTACCAAGAGGTATGTCATCATCATCCTCTTCATGCTTGGTGTGTGTTTCAGCCTCATCATCACTGAAGGAAGGCTCTGAATGATCGGCTCCATGGTTGTTAGACAAGCCGTCCATATGATTGGCCAAATCGTCTCTCGGTTCTTCTGACTTTACACCTACATCAGTGCAAACATTACTTTTACATTATTAAGTCAGATTATAATTCATGGTGTCTACTAAACCTGGTTTGAAAAATTCAAGGAGTTTTCCAGGAGAATTCAAGACAAATTCCTGAATTTTAAGAGCTACTATCGGAGATCAACTAATCGCAACCCGCTAATAATAATATATTATTAATATTATTATTATTTGAATTTGAAACAAAACTTTTCTAAACAATAATATTTTATACAACATAATAAAACAGTATAACTGGTGGGAAAGGCGACACCAGTTATCATCTCCCGCGATCGTGGGAATACCGGTGAGCATATCTTGCAGTCTCGTCAACACCAACAACTGATCGCAGCAAAATAGGTTCGCATATTTCATGATTACAGCGACACCAAAAATCGTTTCCCGCGATCGCGGCAACACCCGTGCCCATATCTCGCGGTTTCGGCAACACCGATAATCGTCTCCCGCGATCGCGGCAACACCCTTGACCATATCTCGCGGTTTCGGCGACACCGATAATCGTCTCCCGTGATCGCGGCAACACCCGTGACCATAGCTCGGGGTTTCGGCAATACTGATAATCGTCTCACGCGATCGCGGCAATACCCGTGAGGATATCTTGCGGTTTCTCGGCAAAACCAAAAATCGATTCCCGCGATCGCGGCAACACCCGTGACCATATCTCGCGGTTTCGGCGACACCGATAATCGTTTCCTGCGATCGCGGCAATACCCGTGAGGATATCTTGCGGTTTCGGCAACACCAAAAATCGTTTAAAATGACAATGTAAATTACAATATTGTATTGTGCAAAGACTACCTTCTTGACTAGGCGGAGGATAGCAGAACTCCTGGAATGTTTCCCGCACCATTACCCTCAGGTCCTTGTCCAGCCTGCTGTGGTCAAACAGTGCGTACAATGAGGGCAGCACTCTCTTCTCTATGATGTGCCTGAGAGATGTGTAGATACCCTGGCGTACCTTGTCACTAAGAGGAGGGTAGAAGTTTGGAATTATCTGAAAAAAAATATGTGATTGAGTTAGAGTGTGTTGTTTTGCCAAAACTTGTCTTGTTGATACAGGTGCGGGGAGCCAAAGATTTTAATAGAGCCTTTTTTGGAAAAAAGCTTGAACGACAACTTTTTATCCTAGCTTTTTATGTAATGAATTTGGCGCAGTATAAAAAATAATAAGTTAATGTGTGACAAATCTTTTTAAAATAAAATTAAGTGCTGTAGAAAAGCAAAATTAAATTTAGTTATCATAAATTATGTGTAGGGCCTATGTGTATTTATCCCATCAAATTGTTATCACAGTAGTAGTGTCTTTCACGGTCTCATGAACATCACTACCGACTCCCGAAATCGCAGAAAGACCCAATATATAAAAATTTCTCCCACAGTTGCAGACACATCGAGGTCTTCTGCGTTTGCAGAAAAATCCTGAACAATTTCTGCTGTGTCGGAAACATCATCATCTTCTTCCACGGTTGTGTCGACATCATTATTGTCTCCCATAATGAAAGGAAAATACCAAACATCTCCCACAGTCATGGAATTATAATCATTATCTACAATCACAGAAACTTCATAGTCGTCATCCACATTGTGGTGAAATCCTGAGTACAAAAATCTCTCTTTGTAAACATAATATCATCACGATCGTTAAAGATTTTCTCCACGTCGATTTTCTGACTTGATGCTCAATCTCTCAAACTTCAAGGCAGACTAAATCTACTCTCTTGCATACCTCTACTAGACAGCTTATAAATCTGGTATAATTGATGCAGATAGTTGGAGTTGGAGATAGTTGGAGTTGAATAACATAATTTACAATAGATGTTATTCAGTTCAGAAGTTATTCACATGAACCTTGATTACAAATCTCTCATGGTGATTATCAAATATGGCTTGTTATTGAGGTGTGTAACATGTGACTAGGGGTGATATAAAATCAAGGTAATTAAAAAATAACAATCAAGGGTGATCAAGGGGTTGTGAGGGGCTTGTTTTTGACTCACCCTACACAGAAAATCCAGCAGGGTGGCGGTAACTACAGGGTGAGATCTCATGGAATGATGCATGACGAGTATGCCTGGCTCTATGTTCATGATGTTGTCTCGCTCACTGTCAAAGAACAGCCAATCGTAGAACAAAGCCAGCTTGGCGTTAGCAGCGGCTACGTGGGACGTACAGGTGGTGAGTAGCCAACCAATGATGGCCCAGCGAGGTATGATGTCTGAGCACAGCAGCTCATTGGTCGGATGAATCACTCCTACTATGAACCTGATCAGGTCTATCCTCAGTGTTTGGGACTCTGGTGTGGCGAGGTACTGTGGATAGATAAATAAATATGTAAATAGCACGTTTATTGTCACATAAACGTATTACATTAAAGTATAGCTACAAGACATTGTCAAGATTGATACGAACCTAAAATAATAAAAAATACCTAGTCCTACTTAGTTTTTTTATTAGTTGATAAGTTTAGTTAACAAAAGAAAGCGCTTTGTACAAAGATCATACATTTCCCAGACAGCAAATTAAATTGGTCTTGCCGCCTACACCTCCACATGTATTTTCAAATTTAAAAGGTTGGTGGCGTCTTTTAACTTTGCATTTGCCCCTCCATTTCCCCCACATAGGCCTCAAGCATGTGCGTGGAACAATCCCACAAAGCAAGAGCGAGCCAGAACAAGATTTGAACTTTACTGATGAAATGTAGAGGCAGGTACCAGGATCCAAACCCAACAACTAAACAAATAACATAGTAAACAGAGCCATCAAATGTAGTTACCATTTTCTGGAACCAGTCCTGGTAGCGTTTGTGGTTGCCGAAGCGTACATGTGAGGTGAGAAAGACAATCTTTCGCTCCATTTCAGGTGTGAGTCGTCCCTGAAGGAACCTACGAGAGGTGCGGCTCTGCAACAGTTGTTGGACACCTAGCACACAGAGATCAGCACGACAGATCTGGTCAGTAACATGGCAGCTGGCTTAACCTCAACATTAAGACGTACCTCTACAGTCCACACAATATTTGTGGCTTTCTTAAAATCCCCACAGACCCCTACAATATTCTCTGACAAACAGTTCTAAAAAAACATGTTTGCTGCTTGCAAAGTGTGTTCATCTTAATCAGCTATTTCATTATACGGATGAAATGAATAATCACATTATATTATGCTCAGGACATTGTACAAAACCTTAGGGTTAGTCAAAATATCATGACAAAGCCATACAAAATACATCTATGTTTGAGCTAATGTTTAAATCATTTATAGGATCCATACTGTTACGGTATGAAAATAACAAGAACTAAAATGAACCCTCCAATACGAAATGATAGGTGAAAAAAAATAATTAGGACTACTCTATCTGTACTCTTATCTGACCGTGATTATAACAATTAGTTGTTGGCAGAGCTTGGCATGATATTTACTAGAGAAATAAAATGAACTTTTACATAAAAAAAAAACATCATTCGTTTAGAGGCAGTTTTTGTTAGTTGAGGTTATACAGATTAAAAACTAAATTGAGTGTAAAGAGAGTGTTATGAGTGCAGCTTATAACTACAACTTAATCACTAAAATGTCTCTAATCCCCTGATACGGTTTAATAAATAACTAAAACTGAAAACTTTGGTTATCAAAAAAAATTATGTATAATTTAAGCTAATCTTTACTAATGCTGAGTAGGCCTACTCACATTACATTTTAAATTACTCAAAATTTTGTTTGAGAAACACAATGTTTATCACGATCTATGTTTTGTTATTTCTTCACTATAAATTAACAGACCAACTGAAGTAGTTTTTATTGTAAGCCCAAAGCTATGTTCATTCAATGAGCTTTTTGTCACAGTTAACAAAGAAGATTAAGGCACAGTCTACAAAGTTTATACTTTATTTACTACACATTTTTAAAGTAGACAGTTTTTTATGTCTTTATGGGCTGATTTTAAGTTCTATGAATATTTAAAGCACTGTAACCTTGGAATTTAAACTCTTTAAGACATCATTGCTATGATTTTTGAGACCATTATTATCTAACTTAGCCACCAAATCATCAAATCTCTTCTCCAGTTATCTAGTCAACATTTATTTCATTGCTAAGTAAATTATTTACTGTTAGATAAATTGTTAGACAGAATAGAAGTACATTGACAAGTAAAAAAAAAATTTACTTAGTTAAATTGAGCGACCGGCAGACTGATGTTGGATACGCCAACTTTGTTAACTCCACCAAACACTAAAATAGCTTATTCCTTATATGGAAAATTGGCTAACAGGGTGGCCACAGAACAAACTGCAGGAAAAAGATTCACACATTATCCCGGGTTTTCCCAGCACCAAAACAAAATAGGTTTAGAGATCCAGGATTCAATTTTTTCAAGTTTCTATTTTGGTTTTGAGATTTGAAAATCATGGTTCTTACCAGCATTAGTATCAAAAGTCAGTGAAACATACGAAGTAACGATAGTCACTCACCAGTAAACGAGGAACACAGAGTCTTGGGGTTGTTGAGCATATCTCTCCACAGCAGTTCAAACTCTGGTATCCTAGCGACGTTCTGCAGCAGCCGGACCAAGTCTCGGCCAATCACCATGCAGTCTACGAACCTCTCTCTCAGCAAGGACACCAGAAATGTTGTCTCCTTCTGTCTCAACACTGCATGTTGAGGTCCAGCGTGATCCTCTACTAGCCTTAGATAGTTGTAGACCACTGACGATAACAGGATCGGATGTTTCTCTAGCCACAGCCTGCGGAACAATTGTACTCGTTATTACAGTACATTATTATCTTGAATCAAATTATTCTCTATGTTATAAATAAACAGAATCTTGTTTTTTTTTCTTTTTTTAACAAGAAAATCCCTTTAAAATAACTTATGGAGATGATTAACCATACGTAAATGTGGAGTATTTTTTGTTTGTCAAATCTGATGTGAGCAATGACATTGTTTATTATACAAGTACATGTAAGTCGCCTCAATAATTCAGCTCAGCCAGAAAATATCCTAACCTCAATGATCCATGTGGGCCTACGTTTTTCAGAACAATAATTATTAGTTGTCATATTCCAAAGACAAAATACAATGTGCAATTCATGATAAAAGTGTCTCTTTTAGTCACAATTAAATTTACCTACTTGGCAAGCTGTGTGGGTCACGCTAATCTCTTGTTTTAAAAAATTCCACTTTGCTCACTAGTTGCAGAAATGACTAAATTCTTCACTAGGCCTATACACGTATACTATCGGTTTTGTACTAGGTACACATAATCTGTAATTTCTACTTATAAATAAATATATTGGTTGAGTATAAAATAATTTTTTTATGTGTTAAGTACCAAGGCTTCTAGATTTAGTTAGTAAAAAACAGTGTAGGAATGATAGTACATCTTCCAAATTGTATCAACCTAAACTCATTCTATACTATCGGACAGTTTTGTTCTTCCCTTTTTGTCATCTCTTTTACACCGCTAAATTTCACTATTACTTGTAAGTGTATTTCAACAATGTTGTAACTTTGCAATTAGTACATTTTTGTTGAGCTTTCTACCTGCCACCCTGTCAAATGTTTTTACTAACTTAAATCATCATTGTAAAGTGGTTTACGCCGTAAATAGATTAATTTAATCATCTTTTCCGGTTCGACTCAGAGCTTCACCTTCCCTCTAACTGCCAATAATCAGCTAAAAATCAAATAGGTTTTATATCGCTATATGACTTAAGATTCTAGAAAGTACCTGTTCTCGATGAACGTATCCAACATGTAGTCGACCAGCGCAATATTGCGATGAGAAGTGTCGCCTCCAGCCGCATGCCTCATCAGGTTGTAGCAGACATTGTCAACACCTGCGACTCCCGTCCGGATCAGCTCCCTCAACAGCCAGAGTAGCTGTGATCGTGAAATATCCAACATCTTGAGCCACTTGTCCACTACCAGCTGTGACAGGTGGATCAGTACCATTGACAGACCATCTCTGGTCACCAAGGCTAGGTCCCGGAAACTCTACAAGCAGAAACACACTTTAGATACACTAAGACGAATACTATTTATACAATAGACTCCCGACTAACCACAATAATGAGTGACTGAGGGGTCGTGGGTAATCTAAATCGTGAATAGTGCAAACTTAACTTAAAATACCTGGGCAATCACTAAACATGACTTTGAATGGATGGATCAGCTTTAATAGAGGATAAGAATAGTCAAACACTTTAAATGTGGTGTAAAATAATTTTAACTTTGTTTCATATAAGTCTATTTACAAAACAACCATTACTGGAGAGCTTATGTAATAGCCCTGTAAATAAAAATGAATAAAATACAAAATGTAAAACCCGTGGGGGAGGCAAAGAGAGTTCAGAAAAACACAGTGAGTTCACAACTTATAGAGCTCATTTTTTTATTCTCTTTATTCTAAACATGATAAAAAAGGTTCCCAAAAGAACAAAATATTGTGTATTTTAGGTGTGTTCTCACTTCTGCATGTTCTACACTAGCCTACTTGTACTTTCCCCCCTCCCCGCCCTTCATTCTAAAAATCAAAATCCTGACCTAGAGCATTTCCTTGAACGAAGCTTAACTTAAAGACCTAACCTTTATTTTTCTCTCTTCCTTATTCCTTGTGTCACCATGCATCATTCTAATCTCTAACCATTTTTTCACAATCAACCTTTCCATTTCTGGCTTGTCGAATTAACTGATTTTTTTAGAAAATAAAATCCTTAGTGACAAACCTTGGCCGCGTTGTGAGGTTCGGACAGTATAACACACAGCAGTCCCAATGAAACGGCCTCCTCATGTGCCTTATCTCTACTGACTGCATTGTTAAGGGCATCATGAGCTTCCTTCTCAGACAACCCTGATATGAGGCCCTGCAGGGTGTGGTAACTTTGTTCAAACTTCTGCAACAGAACAAAGAAACATGACGAAATGATTTTGGCAATCGTACATATATAGGCTAATCTAAAAACTAAATTTATTGATTAACATCTTAGTATGTTTCAATACTGGAAGCTGAATAAATAGTGGTCAAATCAACAATAAGTTTTGTTCAAAAGAATCCCGTATGATTGTGTCATGAAATGACCCAAACATATCTTTGCTAAGAGAAGCTCGGTAATACAGTATGTTATGAAACTGACATAGTAACTGATTAATTAGCCTGAAAATATATTTATTTGGAAATCACAGCCTGAATTCCTAAAACTCTCAATTGTGTTTTAAGATGTGTCTTAATTACCACTCAATAGAAAATATTTTTTACACTGGCTGCAAAGAAAAAAAACATAAGCTATTCTCCTGCCTGAAGGATCTGACATGAATAAACTGACTTCAAAAACTTTAGAAATGGCTGGAATGCTCTCTAAATTACAAAATGTAATTGTAATCAATCTGTATTCATGTTTAAGAATTTCCAATAGGCCTATACAGTATTAGATTATTAGGTACTAATACCAACTAACAATTTACAATTCTAATTCATAAGTCATTCCTATTCTCTTAACCAACTCTCTGAATTGATCTAGAAATGTACCTAATACAATATTACATTATCATGAAAACTCATTGTTAAACTATACTATGTTATTAGATTGTGTACTTATAACAATTATTTTTGGTAGTCTGGATTCTACGGTTTAAAACCTTATCCACCAGCCATGAACCTTTGTGATTACAAATAAAAGTACTTGAAATGTTAATTTAAATTCCCAGACCTTGATATTTCTTGTAATGAATATATTTTTAACATTATCGTTACCGGTACACATTAAGTTAAATACATCCAAAAGCAGTATTATTAATTTTCAATTCCTATTAAATTTTTAACAAGAGCATTGTTGTTAGAGGTAATTTGATTTGAAAACCAATATCTATTAATTGGGACATAGGTTGGGACATAATTTAGTGTTATGAACAAATCAAGAGATGCTGTGTTGCTATGGCAACGGGTAATCAAGTTGAAGTGCTTTATATTGCTCCACTTGGGGCAACTAGTGTTACCATCTAGCTCAATGGTTTAATTTGATATAACCAAATTAGATAATTTGTTAAAGCAATAAAAACTTTCTATTGGTTCGACTTTATAAAATAATCTTTGTCAGTCTTAATTAGTTGTTAGTCTTGTCTTAGCCATTAAGATCAATCACACAAAGCAAAAATCACAAAAAATGCATATCTATGAAGTTTACTAGTACTTTGAATAATACTCCTTATTAGACTAAGTTTAACCAATACAGATAGTGACTACCATCATTGACTATTGGATAATGTTGTAGACATGCCCTCTATTTGGACCAGCCATATAGAGCTTAGTTGTGTGGGGTAGCGGAATTTTATCCACCTGGAATTTTACCCCCTGAGCAAAACTGACGTCACAAACTAGAGGGTAAACTTACGGCCACAAACTTTTGAGTTGCCCAACATGAGTTACATAATTAAAGGTAGAATTAAACGTTTCACGGTTGTGAATTTAATCATGACAAATTAAATTATAAACCTAGAGTCTATGGGCCGGAATTTTGCCCCCGGACTTTTATCCCCTTCATAAATTTGGCTCCAAATGTACGACCAGGATTTTTACCCCAGGAATTTTAACCCCGATCTTTACCCCGGAATCTTACCCTCTGTCCAGATAGAATTTGGTGAGAATAATTAATTTTGTACATAATAGGTCTCTTTATAGAAAGACGTAAAATCAGTTAACTATTATTTACGCTCTGTTGCTATTAACTGCCTAGACGTGTTTCTCTCAAAAATATTATTATTTTTAAAATAATTATTTTCGCCAATGTCTATATCTGGCCAAGGGCTAAATTTGGTGGTAAAAGTTCAGGCCTTACATCTTCAGTTTCCTCAACCTTAGTTATAATAACAGGGGGTAAAATTCCAGTTTATATTGCTTGTCTAATTTATCACGCTCTGTTTATTTTTATTAGACTCCACAATCCACGGGGGTAATATTCCTCCCGCGAACAAACTTGAGAGCACTCAGATCACTACCTCATAGTGACATCAGGTCTGCTCCGGGGGTAAAATTCCAGACGGATAAAATTCCGGCGACCCAGTTGTGTGAACTAATCACAGAATGCGCTAATGTCTAAAATTCTATTTTCTACATTTTTTTTTGTTGCTGACCAAGTAGATGGGTCATACCAGTTTCTATAGCCACAATATGTCATTCCATTAGTTTAACTTGGTATGAAATTTTGTGTATCCAACAGAAATCAGTAATTCATATCAGTACAATCTGTTGGTGGCTCACATCAACTATGACAATTTTTATTTAAAAACTGGCGACAACTTTAACATGTGGAAGGGGTGTCTAGTTGTATCAATAGTCGAAGGTTGAATTTTTCTACTTATAGGTTTTAAACTTAGCTTCGATGTTGAAAGTCTGTTTACGAATGTCCCCGTCTTGGAAACCCTCAAAATAATTTAGATTCGTCTCACAAACGATGATACTTTAGCAAACAGAACTCCCTGTTAACGTCATAATGGAACTTTTGGAGTTGTGTACTCAGTGTAACTATTTCCAAACCTTGGCCAAAGAGAGTTAATTGTACCGTCAAGATGAAGGTATGGCCATGGGGTCACCATTGTCGCCTATCTTTGCCAACATCTTTTTATGGAGGAGTTTGAGCAAAAAGCTTTGGCTTCAGCTCGGCTCAAACCGAAGATATGAGTTAGTGGAGGTATGTCGATGACACTTTTGTGGTTTTTTCTCATGGAGATGATAAATTGAATGAGTTTTTAGACCACCTTAATAGCGTTTCACCTTCCATAAAACTAACCAGGGAAGTGGAATCACAAAACAAACTCCCCTTATTGGACGTGTGCAACAAAAGCAGAAAAGCATTTGAACAGTCTTAGAACACCTGTTTACAGAAAAAAGACACACACAAGGCAGTACCTATTTAAACTTTCAATCTAACCACCAAATTTCTGTCAAGGAGGGGGTTGCTTACTCTTGGTTTGACAGGGCTAAGAGCATTGCTCCAATCAGCATGAGTTAAAGGATGAAATAAAGCAAGTAGAACAGGATTTGGCTAGTAACGGATACCCTCTATCCGTTTTATTGTTTTAGCGATAAGTAGGGCATAATTCATCTTTATATTTATTTGACGCTATTCATTGTATAAAAACTTGTACTGCGAATGAATAAAGAGAATTTGAATTGAATTGAATTGAATCCATTATAAACAAATGCAGGAAAGATAGCGCTACTCGTGAACCTTTACAAAATCGCAAGGAAAAGTTCGTCCACATGTCAATCCCGTATGTGTCAGGGTTATCGGAGAAAATCAGAAGGGTTGCAAGGAAATTTAAAGTGCAAACAGCGTTTAGGTCACAAAACACACTTAGGTAGAGTAGAGTCAAAACAAAACCCAAAAATTACACTCAGGATACAAAAAACTGTGTTTAGGGCCTACAGAATAAATTGTAATGATTGTTCCAGGCCTTACTATGGCGAGACAAAAAGACCATTGAACACTAGAATCAAAGAACACAAAGAAAACACCAAACAAGATTTAGTGGAAAAATCTAAAATCGCTCATTTTCTGCTGGTCCGAAAATCATCGTATGAATTTTGAAGTGGAAAAATCGTCTATAACGAACCTCATTTGTTCAAACGTAAACTAGAGGAACAATTAAATGTAGGTTAATATTTAGGTTTGAATAGGTAGGCCCACAAGTTAAACCAGTGTTTGATTTAATTTTTTTACGAGGTTGGCGACCTCTTTTAACCTTGCATTTGCCTGTCAGTGTTCACATGGGCTATGGTACTGTGCGTGGAATGTATCCAGCAAAAGAAGGGGTGAGCCGGTACAGTAAAAGGGTAAACTTTTAAGTAGGTACTGATAAAAAGTAGCGGCAGTGACCAGAGACCGAGCCCACGACATCGCTGCCTTGGACCCAAAGTCCGAGCCACCTACTTACCAATTTTGATTTCTTTAGTCTTATGAGGTTAATTTTGTCAAAAACTTTGAAAACTGTAAAATTTATCAAATTAAATTATAACTAAATTACTTAAGTCTGAGCTTACTAATAAATTGACGCTAAACGATTGAGTTTACACATTAATACCAGCTATGATGCTTGTATGTTCTGAATAACTTACTATGTTTAGCTAGGTATCAAACCCAGTAAGGTACCAGTCATATCCTTAATGCCAACCGTTTTAACAAATCTGCATGGATATAAGTTATAATTGATTGATTGAATAATTGATTGAATAATTATTGCCATAAAAACCAACAGTTCATGACAATAAATTGGCAAAGTAGATGATTTAAGAAACCGGGTTTTGAAAGCATTCCTTTCAAAAATCACAACTGCCTGATAGTATTAGAATAACAACAAAGAAATATTATGCTACCACGTTTATAGGTTCTTACTGACAAAACCTAAGTAATTGAGTATCATTTAATTTAGTGATGAGTAACCGACAAACCAAGGCCAAGAATAACATTGATAATTACTTTTTATGTTGTTTGTTGTTGGTCCGGATCGGTTGACAATTAATAAAAGGTTAAATTACCTGTGTCCGCCGGTCGAACCTGTAGAATCCTATTGCAGGATATGCATTTCGGCGACGTTAAATCGCCATCATCAGTCCTTAATATAAGAGCTTGGTCTTCCCCATTAGGTGCGTGAAAAGAAATTTCTAGGTGCGTTCCTGGGGAAGACCAAGCTCTTATATTAAGGACTGATGATGGCGATTTAACGTCGCCGAAATGCATATCCTGCAATAGGATTCTACAGGATCGACCGGCGGACACAGGTAATTTAACCTTTTATTAATTGATAATTACATCACAATAAAACATGCCTACCAGAATAAGTTGAAAACCTAAGTAATAAAAGAATTTAATAGTTAACCAAACGTGATTCTAAAATCATTCTGAATACCGGCGTAGCCTTGCCAGTCATTTTGAAATTGTCTTTAGTATAATTATGTAGGCCTAGGTAGAACTAAGTTTTAATTGATTTGAAGATAAGTATAAAATAGCCTACAGATTTCACTTACTTAAGGTTCACTTACTTAAGGTTCACTTACTTAAGGTTAATGGGTTTGGACCGCTTTCCCCTAAAAGCGTTTGAATTGACTTTAAGTTAGACCTAATTGTAAAAATGCCACTGGTAAAACATACACAAGCAAAAACGTAAGTTAGGCCAGAAGAGGATATTGGCTAATATAAGTAAGTCAGGAGGAAAATATATTGATTGGTCAATACGACATATCCTAGCTAAGGCCTCACAATTTTACGAGACAGTCACAAGTTTTTCATCAAACTATTAACCCTCCGAGCGTCACTCGTCGAAAAATCGACGCGCGACACACTTTGAGTAGAGTCACGCGTCGATTTTTCGACGCACGAACATCGTTTACGGCGAAGGCTCTATGACTGACTGAATCGGATTGAACTGGATCGAGTTAGGTATCGTTCTTTTCGTTATATTCTACGCTTTCTCCAGAGGTCTGTCTCTAAGCGCTTTATGTTCTCCGAGCCGATCGTAATTGTAGCAGACAGCTGACGTACGTATTTGTAAATAGCTAGGTTACCCTCGGACCGATGACTGATGTGTTTTATTACGTTTATCATTGTTTTAGTGTTAAAAATCAAAAGTAGTGATATACGTGGTGCATTATAAGAAGATTTAAGTGGTTTTGAAGGGCTGGTTGATGATCCTAAAGAAGTAGGTAGTGATATTGATGTAAATTATCAGCCAGATTCCTAGCTATGGTTAGGCTATGCATTCTTAGCTAAACGCTATGTACTGAAATCTGTTTTTTGCCCATAACTTATTTATTTGCAAATCTACTTCCTTATATTATTATATATTTGTAATCCTCATAAAATTTAGAACAAAGTGGCTATTTTCAAATATTTATAGGCCTATAATTTATACAATTTCATTGAGCGCGAACTTATTTTTTTTTTGAAAATTTTCCAAAATATTTTTTTTTTACCTAAAAAATGTTTTTGAAACAAATGTTCCTCATGTTTTATGTATAATATTGAAGCCCATGATTTTCCAAACAAAATGGTATATAGAACAGTAGAATTAACATTGTTTTAAGCTTCTCAGATCCGTTTTAATAAAACCTTGCAAATGCGCCAAAAATAGGCGGACATTAAGGCCTAAACTATGGACACTCGGAGGGTTAAAGTCTACTTACTCTTTCAATTTTGGATAGGCCTCTAGGTAACTTATATAACTTAGGCTAGGCTATACATTTTAACAAATGATTAGTTCTCTAGGCCCTATAGAAAGCCTCTGATCCTATTTCCTACTGACCACGTGTTTGTAAGTGAAAAACCTTGAACTTAGGCCTATCCTGCTTATGATAAATGTAGTCATTTAGGACAGAGCCTCATAATTTAGATTTAGCTTAGCCTGTTGGTTAGCTTTGATACCCTGCTAAGTAGAGCCTATCAGATATTTAAGCATAGATGTTAACTCTTGCGCTCCTATGCCAATTTTTAATGGTTTGTGATGAATGTGATCCATAAATTAAACTTAAACTTATGTTTAAAAGATATTGGCCAGGCTAATCCAAAGAAAATGTCAGGTTATTCCCAGTAAACCTACTTTTATCATAAAAAAAAACAAACAAAGGTAGGTCTAACTTATAGGTATTATCATCTTGGCCCTTCCTCGGTTATGGACGGGGGGTAGGCCTATCCGTCAATATCCGTTTACGTTATGAGCGGAAAGGGATATCCGTCCTGGGAAATTTCTTTTCTCTGGGCTATAGACAGATAAGTTAGCCTATATCTTTCCAAGAAAGGAATTGATAATGTACATTGTTTATCATTACAAAAATGAACATAACTTAAGTTACCTTACTGCATTATTATAAATGGGTTGTTTTTTTTGTGGTTGGCAATAATTAGTGTCGCAGCTGATTCAGCTACTATTATGCGCCATAGCCTAGAGTGTGTGAATAGGCCTACTGTGAAACTGTTTACATATTTGTGTTTTATGTATTATTTTTATCTTAAGTTATTAAGATAAAATGGCCAATACAAATTATCCAAAATTTGAAGATGTTATTGAGATACCCTACCAAATAACAGTAAGGAATAAGTTATGTCTGAGGGGGATTTCGTACTTGGCATTGAAAATAATATTTATTAGGTATGGAATGTGATGGATATGATGAACCTGAAGAACAGTCTTTACGCAGTAGAAGTCTTGGTGGGGAATGGGAATGAAGAGATGGGAGCGGAACTTCGAGTGGTTTAGAGGTTTAACTTAAATTAGGTTAACTTAACTTACTTCAGACAGAATGATAACCTACATTTTGAAAAAAAATATAGGTAAATAAAACAAGGGAAGGAATAAGGTAGAACAAAATATAGGCTATCCAGAAAAGTTATCCGTCTACACAAGAATTGGCTACTAAGATCATTGGCATTGTTCATAGCTTATATCGAGATTATCGCTACGGGCGACAGACAAATAAATCCGTCCACTTTACATTTTTTGTGTCCAAGACGGACATATCCGTCAAAATCAAATTTTATTTTCTTCATAACTTGTGTACAAAAATTAGGCCCCTAACTTAGTTCAGCGCTAAGAAAATCTTTTTATGATCCATGAATTAAGAAGTTATTTCAAGCAGAATAAATACAAACCTCAGTTAATCACTTTAGTTTTTTATTAATTTTAACAAAAAAATAAAGCTCCAGCCCTTTATTTAATTTAGCTCTAAAAAAGGTTTAAATTTGGGCCTAATGTTGGCAAGATTTGGAAAAAAAAAGACTGTCATAGGGGTGTATACATGACATAACCTCAAATTATTTAACATGTTACAGGGAAAATAAAACGTTTAAAATAATGTAAAATGTGCATTTCTAAAAAAAGATTGTAAATTTATAATATTAAAACTTAATTGAATGAGTCTATTGGCAAAACGATTTGAAAATCCCTCTTCACATACAGCGAACCTAGCGGTGTCATTACTAAACATTAACCTATACTACTCTTACAATGGCTGTCGTTAATCGACCTCAAAGAAAGAAAATTAAATGAGCTTTACCTCTTCAATATCATCTCTTTTACTCTCAATTATAGATGTTACGAACAGCCTAGATGTTGGTACTTTCTGTTGCTCCATTCTAACATCCACCACGGCTAAAAATCCTAAAAATAAAGAAATTTATCCATCAGACTAAGATTCAGCATCTTATTACCATCCCGAGAAATTTGTTCTGTGGTGGCGCGCATGAATACAGACAGGATTCGTCACATAAACAACCATTAAAATAGTACCATTAGTTTCAGCTTAATTTGAAGAAACCATCATCGTTTCTAGCTAGCAATGCCTTATTACATATTTCAAATATCTTTCCAGATGCCTACATATATTTGTGAAAAAGTTTAAATGTATTTATTTAAAAGGACCTAAACACGCCTAGGAAATACAGTGACACCATGCACGAGTGCCGAAAAATGGCTTCCTAATACAAAGTGGAATATGTCATTCTATGTTTTTTAAGAAAACATACTAACGTTTTCGAATCAAAAATAAAATCAATTGATATACCTCAACACTTACCTGTAAAAAATACAAATATTTTTCAAAAAATAAACGTAATATTGCAGCATTAAGGAAAGGTTCCAGGCTTGCAAATTGTGGGATTTTCTCTCTCGTATGGGAAATTTTGATTTGTAAAACGAAAATTTACTTTTTCATCTGCATGGTAATTTTAAAACTTTTTTACTAAGCGTTTGTCTTTGAGACACATGATATACTTACTCGACCCATGATCATGAGATTTCCACAACTCATTTTAAAAAAAATTGCATTTATTTCTTATAATCATTTAAATTCAATGATGTGTCTTTGCAAACACCTTTCATTTAGATGGTGGTAAACATGTTTATGTTGATTGTCTCCAATTAAATACAGTTCCACAAACTTATTATTCCTTTAAAAGCCCCATTTTTTTTTCAAAATAATTTTGAACTTTTCTAAAAACAGAACAACTAATAATACCGTAGGTGATGTGAAACTAATAGTATTACAAAAACTGAGGGGTAAATTCGGGATACCGAAATTATGCCTAATAATTATAAAATAAACGTAATGTGTGAAATTCACCTATCAAATTATTAATACCTTTCTATTTTGGGCATGTTCGTTGTGTTAACAATTCACTTAAATCAGAACATTTTTATCCTCTATCTAATCGTTTTTACTTACTCCTAGGCTGATTACAGTACTTATCTAATTTATTTTGTAATTGTAACATACCCAGCATTTTTTAGAATATTGTTTAAGCACTTACAAACATACCTTATAAAATCAAATCAGGCAAATGGAGATTCGTTTAATCTGCAGGTCCTGCTGCGGCGGGGGTATTATTTATATATATTCAATCGCAAATTAATACAAGAATTTTTTAAATATTAATTCGCTATTTTTCAATATACGGTACAGAAGATTTACCATTGGCTATAAGTAGACTAACTAAAGGTACATTTTTGAGTTTAACAATTAATTACTAACTTATCGTGTACGAATACAAAACCCCCTAGATTATTTTTTAGAAAAACTGCATAAAATGTATTTTAAAACTGTATTATACACCAACTATTTAGTTAGTAAAGCCCTCCTTTTAGTAAAAGATATGCAAATATTTTAAACGCCTTCGGTTATAGCTTGAGATTGCTTTACGGTTGTGTGTTGCGTTAGTGTCCTAATTTTAGAAGGCGCTACACAGAAAATACCGAAAGCATACAGTTCTTCGCGCTAGATAGTTAGATAAATCCAATTTCAATGAGTGATTATTGTAAACAAATGTCTAGACTTAGACTAATAAAAATATAACAGGGATTACAATTAAAAAGTACTGCTGTAAAAATACTGTATAACTACTGTAGTAATTTCTAATCCGTTTTAACGTATTGTTTTATTAACACAATTTTCGTGTAAAAAAAATTGTATTCGGAGAACAATTTTTTTTTTTTTTTAATTAATCAAGAAAAAGTTCCTTTTGCTAATGATTATCTTTTCAAATGTTTTAGAGATTAAAAAATAAACAATTTAATATAGGTACATATCAAAGCTTTGTTGTATAGATAAACTGGAAATTTTAAATTCCCATGTTATGCTTAAGGAGAATAAGCAAACTAATGCTAAACTTGCTTGATAATATATATTTATTACTAATTAGGCAGGTTAAATAATTTATTTCATAACAAAGATATATAAAAATTACTATTTTTCCATTAAACACACTTTTATTGCCATCCCTGTATAGTAGCAAACCTATTAGCTCATCAAACATAATGTTATTTTAAGTAGGGAATAAATATGGCATGTCTAACGGAATATATTTTACTACGAATCCAACCCGACAAAGGAAATTCGCTTAGTTTGCAGGTTTACTGCGGCAGGTGTATTTAATATTAGTTCGAAAAAGTTACATTAATAATTAACCATTTAACCTTACCTAATTAAACAAGACAATACTTTTACACATTTTCTGTTATATTTTGCCTAATTTTGGTCTCCTGTTCAGTACCATAATAATACAGAACTATACAAGTCATGGACATGGCATTTCCGTTGAAGAATAGCGGTCGTTGCCTACCGCGAACGTAGAGATAAGAAACTCCTTGTCAAGTCAGCAAATGCATGACTGACTGCTGCTAACAGCAGTGCGGCTGATGACGTAATAGGATGTGTTACAGACTGTTGATATCAGCTGTTGACACAACGCACCTGTGTCAAGTACAGCCAATCGCAAACGTTAATTTCGTTTTACTCTTGTGACGTAAGCGAAGTATGTAATACAGCAGCGTAAATCTGGATAGAAGTGGTTTTTATCGAGTTCCCTTGGTTTTCCATTATGGGAAATAAGCAAAGCTAACCGTAGATATCATGGTATGACCGATTTTTTTCGTTTTGATGAGCGCAGAGGCCAAACACGCCATTCGTTCAAATTATACAGTAATGTAATTGCGAACCAGTATATTTATTTGGACTATGGCAACGGGGATTTATGCATTATAAAACTGGTTTTCCAATTTTTGAACCTCAAAAACATCAGTTTTGAAATTTTTTTTAACCTATTTGTTAGAGCTTAAAGAAATGACTTAGTATGTTGAATCGATGTAGTACTTTTAATGGTGTAGAAAATTTAAAAAAAAAACTTTAAATCCTAAAATCCTATGTATCATTATGAATAAGTAAACCAATGTAGTTTATTTGATTATGCAATTGTTATTTGTTGATCAAATTTTGCAAAATTACCTTTATTTACTTAGGTACTTACATTTTACTTCAAAACATACTTTATATTACCTTACATTTAGCAGCAAACCTCAGTACTCATTAAGCCTACTGTAAGGAAGAAAATGTGTAATTTCTTAAGAATTATTTTAGCGATAATTCAGTCAGGCAAATGGAAATTCGCATAGTTTTGCAGGTTTTCTGAGGCGTGTAACGTCGTAAAAATCATATGTCTAGACTAGACGGCTCTATTCAATCTAGAAGTAAACACTCAAACTGTAACATATCTTTTAATAGTTTACTGACAAGATAAAATAAAGGTACATCGTTTTAAATTGAAATTTAGAAAGATACACATAACCCCAACACCTAGATTAGTTTTAATAGATTGTCTATGCCTTAATTGAACGAATAGAATCTTAGGAACGTGTTTTACCATTAATCAGTTATTTTTAAAAATCTCTTAGAAAACGTAAATGTTTCAATTCCGTTAAAGAGTTCTGTTGACATTAGCAATAATTTACAGAAATGTAATCAATCGACGAATGAATAGTTTCAGTTATTCAATTTCACAACAGGGAGTTGGATGCTGAACTGGTTGTTTAGAATATGACCTTGTTCCCCGCTCTTACAAATACAAAGAGTTAAAATATCTTTCAAACAAATACTCGTAGGCTAGTTCGCGTTTGTGAAATGTACAATCATTGATACTGTATAATTTGTACAATGCAAGTTAAGATAACACGCCGTAACATTTCCTTGTTGTTGGTACAATAACAGCAAAGTTAGTTTGATACTTATACTGCATTTAATGAAAGAATGCTGTAGTAATATTAATCCAGTTAATTAAAATATATGCACATTAAAAATCTGTTGCCAATACAGTACTGAATACTCACAATTTCAATTGGGATCTGTCCAAACATTCTAATTTAAAAAAGTTAGTAAATATGTAAATGTAAGGTAGTCAACGCCCAAAGGTCATTCATTGCTGGTTTGTTCTTAAATATTCGTGTTTAGTCGCATGGAGGCCTTGGAAAAGTGAATGTAAAAGGTGAATCTTCCTCTCGTCTCTAGTCACAATCTTTTACGTTTTATACTTTCTCTTCTTGACATCGACCTCAAAACGTTTAAGATAAATAGTCAGCATAGGGAATATTCCCCAAGAATATTTAAAACGTTTATGATTTTTATTTTATGTTTTATTTTTACCACTACCAGAGGTAACTAAAGTTAGAAGAGATTATCAATGTCAATCTGGCTGTGTTTTTTTTCTTGGAAACGTAAGTTTTTGTTTACTGGGACCCTCCATGACTTTTGAAATGTTTGTGACACTTTACTTAAAAATTAAGTGTCTTTCTATGAAATAAGTTGAGTTGGAATTAATTGTCGGTTGAATTATGGTTGACGAGTTTATCCTGGTATTTTCACACAATAAATTAAATTGAAGTACCGGTATTTCAATCGGCAACTTAATAAAGGTTTATCATTATTTCATTTATAATGTCACACTATTGTAGACACTAAACGCATTCTAGTATTGGCATTTACATTAAGTATTGGCAAAACTTCATAGATATTATATCTACACCTGTAGTGTGTTTATCATTGTTCATTTCCCCTCGCCAAATGGGTCAATTCTCAATGCAGCGGACGCAAGTAGATATTTGAATTATCGCTCTTTTATTCAACAGTCGGTGATCGATTGGGAAATATTACCGTTTCTTTCTAAACGAGGTTTTATTGAAGAGTCCGGAGTCCCTTAAAATATCACGTAACAGATAGTTTTTCTTGTCTCAATTAATTCAAAGTCGCTTATACGCTTCCGATGTTTACCAAGTTTAGTATATGAGTACTACATGATGTAAAGGTGAACAAAATGAATAAAGTTATAAGTGCTGAATTAAGTACAATTTAGGTTTGTAAAGGGGGGGGAAAAATAAGCAAATAGAAAATGATGTGTTGAAATTTTTCTGACTTAAATATCAATGTGTTCAACGTTTCACCTTTTCTTATTGGATAAAGGCGTATACTGTACTCAAATAATAATCACGTTTAAAGAGAAATTTTGTTTAACATAAAACTAAATAATATACGAACAATTCAAAAATACAGTAGGTAAACAGTATTTGGAGAAATTCTACACCATTACCGCCTTCAATTTAATTGGTAAAGGCATATAGCAGTCGCAGTACAGCCAAGCGCTGCTGTAGTAGAAATATATCTGAAGGCTCTTTGTTATCTCATTATTTATACAATGGCTTTGTTTAGTACATTTCAGGAAATTGGTTATAGCATCTTGAGGAATGTTATAAACAAATTACTTGCTCAATAATACAGTTCCAAAACAATTTTTTTCATTACAATGTCTCAAAAACAGCTGTCTTACGGAACGTTTTGAGTCCCTAATGATAGCTTTTTGTGGACTAGTCCCTAAAATTTTACTACTCGAATCATATGGTTACGTCAAAGCTTATCTCGAAAACAAATCAGCTGTTCTGATCCTTTAAATGCTTCAACAAAACTTTGTTTGTTTCTTACATAGCCTGATTCATTCAGTGTTACTGTATTTTGTATTTTCTGCTATAATATGACAATGTAAATAATGTAATAACAATATTGTTTGTAACATTGTTAACAAAATGTTCGTAACATTATTTTTTCAGTAAACATTCAGGATCAGGGCCCCTTCAAAAAATTAATACCGCAATGAACAATTAATACTACTCAAAAAAATCTCAGTCAGTGTATAATAGGGTACCGGTATTTAACTATACTCCCACCCCTTTTAGCGAATTTCCCTATAGGGAAGTAGCTATTAACGTAGGTCTCATGGTAAGACCATAGATTAAAAGAAGTAGACATATATGTCTATACTCCTTTTATCTATGGTAAGACCTAGACCCGGGACCGATTTACTTTTTCATTTTGATGTCCCCAGAGGCCAAAACAAAATTCGTTCAAATTTTTATATGTATGTAACTATATCAACAAAGGAGGAATTATGCATGTATTATGTATATATATATATGTGTGTGTTTGTCCGTCCGGACGACAACTTGAGTAATTTTTGTTTGATTTTGATAAAATTTGGTTTGAAGGTATAAGGCGGGATAAACTTGGATGAGTTCACGAACCAGCATGATTGGACCATGGGAACGGGGTCCAACGGGGGGGGGGGGTTTATGGGTAAAAATGGGTTTTTCTAATTTTTTACCCTTAAAAACACAAAATTTTTCAACTTTTCTCCAGACCTTTTTAAAGAGCTTAAAAAAACAAATAAGATAGTAAACCAAAGTGTTTTTGAACGGTGATTGGTTACGGAGAAAATTTAAAAAAAATTTAATTTAAAATTCCCATGTTATTTTTATGGAGAATATTGTCAAATGTTGTAGTTGGCTTGTTTATGGATATATTTTGATCAAACTTGGTGAATTTATTTATTTCATACTAAGATATTGATATAAAAAAACTTTAATTGAAAATCAATCCAGGCAAATGGAAATTTGCTTAGTCGGCAGGTTTGCTGCAGCGGGGGTATTTTCTTTTTTCATAATTGACGTAAAATTCACAGACGTTTTACAATTTTTTAATATTTTGGACCAAAGAGTTTTGGATATGATTCCTCAAGTTTATCTTACATCTGTTTACAAATAAGTTGTTGTTATGTTTTTAAAAATAGAAACTTTTACTGTTGCTAAAAAATGTCTCCATTATTTAAAACTAATTAATTAAAACTAAACAATCATTCTTTATCACTATCGGGGCAAAAACTTGCACAATTTATGCGGTCTAGAATTTATCATCATTCTCTCCAACAATCAAGGAAACATTGTCATCATTTTCTGTGATCACGGCCAAATCTTGAATATATAAGCCTTTAGTGTACACATGATCATTGTCTCCTGTGATCATGAAAAACTCTTCATCCTTTTCTGCAATTGCAACAAAATCTTGAATATCTCCCGCGGTCATGAAGAAATGATCATAGTCTCCCCATGGTCACGGAAACTCAAAATTATCTTCCGTAATCGTGCGAAACAGAAAAATTTGCTTATTACAAAACTTTGCAGACGTGTTTAGTAATTGCAATTGTAAATGCTTACCAGGACTTGGTATACTTCATGTAAAATAACCTAAATTCCGGTAAAATTAAATTGACCGAATTTTTAGCGAATTTCCCCTATAGGGAATAAGCTATTACCGTAGTACTCATGGTAAGACCTGGACCCGGGACCTATTTTCTTTTTCGTTTTGAGGTCCCTAGAGACCAAAAACACCATCCGTTCAAATTCATATATATATATATATTTATTTGTGTCCGTTAGCGCGACAACTCGAGCAAAAATCATCCGATTTTGATGAAATTTGGTACAAACGTGTAAACCTACGTTTATTCGAACGCGTTCGCGAACCAGCATGATCGGACTATGGGAACAGGGGTTTATGGGAGGTTTTATGGGGTAAAAATTGGTTTTTCCCATTTTTGACCCTAAAAACTTAAAATTTAGCAATTTCTTTCCAAACCATTTTGTAGAGCTTAAAAAAACATATAATTTAGTATATCGAAGCATTGTTATGCGCCTAATGGTTACGGAGAAAATTCCAAAAATCTGTAAATTTAAAATTCCCATGTTATTCTTATGGAGAATAAGTAAACTGTTGTAGTTTGCTTGTTTATGGAAATATTTTGTACAAATTTGGAAAATGCATTCATTTCATACTGAACTATTACATTTTACAAAAAAATACCGTTTTACCCTCACTGTTGCAGCAAACCTAAGTACTCGTTAAACTAATGTTATTTAAATAGGGAATAAATGTGATATTTTTAAGGAGACATTTTAGTGTAAATCCAGTCAGGCAAATGGAAATTTGCTTGGTATGCAGGTTTACTGCGGCGGGAGCATTTATTATATACGAATCCGGGGTAAGGTCACAACACAACTGATTTGGATGGTTGGAATTCTATTGTACCTTAAACATATCATGACCACAACAATATATATAGCATAAAATGATGAAAAATAGGGTTTTGCCGCACGATAGATAACTGTTGTCAGGCTAGCCTGTTGCCGCAATCTCCTTGTTATTTAAATAACACTTAATTTTAAACGCTTTTATTTAAATAACACTTTAAATAACACACGCACGGCTGAACGGGCTCGGGAGTGCCGCCGCAGTCCCGAGCCCATTCAGAACCGTGAGCACGGTGATAATTTTACTACGTAAATGTTTCGTGTACTACGTAAATGTCAGTGTCGTGTTTTTGTGTTTTTATGTTTATGTGGTCAGACTATGTTTCTCAATATAAAATATTTGACGCGGTAGCTACACCAACAATGCAACTAAGTATGGAATAACCTGTGCAACAGCGGAGCAGAAGATGACCTAAAGGTCGAAACGTGCGTCCTCCATAAATATACTGGATTGATTGACGTAAGTTGTAATTATTAATTTTTTCCTTTTACATATTTTTTTTACATTTATCGATTTATTTCATTTGTCAAAAATACAAAAAGATATTCTTAAAATCATTTAAAACTTTACTCAATTCTGTTATTTCAGTAATATGCCCAAAGAAAATTATGACTGACTGCTGCATTTAACACATTTCAGGGTTCAACGACCTATAGGGTTTAAACAAAGTCAACACAAATACTATTACTATCGTTTATCATGTAACTAAAGTACAATTCTCAGATTAGATACATAATTTAATACAGGACAGAAAAGAAGAATACAACACTTAAAAAATCAGTACTACGTGGTCACACATTTAAAATAACTTAAATATATATATATAACAATATGTACATTAACGAACACACTGGAAATGCCAAATGCTTCTATTGCCCCTGTAGTAGCAACGTTTCATGTTGTTGCTCTTTTACACCACAGAGTAGACTATTTGCCTCGAAAAGAACCTCAAATAGATCTACAAAAACACTGGAAATACCAAGTGCTTCTATTTCCACCCCTGTAGTAAAAATAAAATATTTTATATTTTTACATCTTTAAACCACAAAGCAGACTATTTTCCTCATTCACTTGGTGATAACCCCCCATAGAACATTTACTGTTGATGCGGCATCATAAAGTATGGGTACTGGGTGGGTGGAGGTGCCGCTGGAGCTTGCTGATAGAACGGGTATTGCCCTGGAGGAGGCATCATGCCTGGATTGGGCACCTGCAACACAAGTTGACAACTTTATATTTCATTGCAGATTTCAAAATGTAATAACAATTAGATTTTCCAAAATCGGTTAATTTTTATTCCAAAACTAGATAAAAATTGAACGTCTAATTTTATCCATGTTAAGGCCATGCCTAATAAAGACCTTTGCATTTATATTTTTACACTGAGAAAGACCACAGACCGCACAGTTTTAAAGGAGTTCACAAGATATTTTAAGATTTAAATCAAATTTATCTAAGATATTTTTTTAGATTAAATAGTGTATAGTAGTAGTATATAGTATATAAATAGTGTACAATTAGTAACAAGAAAGTAATGTTAGACAACAAGTGTTTGGTGATGGTGTCTACTGACCGGTGGAGGTGGTGGCGGTGGTGGGGGAGGGTAGGCCCCGAGGCCCTGCATGTGGAAGGGCAGGTTGGCATTGTACAGCTGAGGCTTGGACGAGTAGTGGTTGAATGTTGGCCTCTCTTGTCTGGACATGTTGCCTCTGTCAGGCTGGGCCTGTGGAGGTGGAGGCTGGTCACCTGCAAACATACACACTAGTCATCACGTTCAACAACTTAGTGACTTGCAAATGTATTAGAAAATAAATATTCTTACAACATTCTTAACACATTTTTTAACTCCAAAATTAGACCAGGAAACTATTATCATGAAAAAGCAAAACCATCAACATCAATAACAGATTTTTTCACAACAGTTATTACAAAAAATATGTTTGAATAAAAACAAGAAGTGCTTTTACTGAATTTTAAATACACAAATGAACTAGCAAGCACGATATGATATTGTAAATTAGTTACTGGCTAAGACCAACTGATCCTTTAGCGAATACCATTCAAAGTCTAAGGAACAAGAGAAGCTGGATGGGTTCAAAACTCTTTATATATAACTATCTTCAATTTTTATAATGCTTGAAATGGTCTTCTTGACACATTAATTACTTTTAAGATTTACAATTGACATAACTAAACCCCTTAGGCTTTGATCAGATTCCAAACTAGTTTTTTTCTTTACAAGGCCATTCAAAAATTTACAAATCACTACAACAAAAATATTAATTTTATTCACAACACAGAATATTGATGTTACTTAATTAACAAATTCAGAAGACCCGCCAAATAACTTACTTCAACTAATGTGTTTAAAATGTAGCTCATTTTGAGAAAATAACTACCTCTGTTTTGTTGATTCATCTGTTCGGACGAATTCTGCCAATTATCTGTAAAACACATTTGTCAGATTAAAACCTAAAACACACTTTACCACATGTAATATACCATCACATAAGGTTGTAGATGAAGCTGAAAATAAAACATAATGATTAGTAAATAAATAAGAGTGTCCAGCGTAGAGTAGAATTTACCAAATAAAACACACAATACTGAAAATGAACAACAATATTAAGTGCATTCATTCTAACTTAGCCATTCTGAATGAGTACAAAACTTTTATTACTGCAAAAAGTGTTTTAAGCTTCATATAGTAGTTCAGCATGGGAAGATGGCAAATGAATCAAGAAAACATTTAGTATAATAATTGGGGATTTAAAATGGATAAACTAATGAATGATCTAGAAGTACAGAATAGACTAAATGCCGCAAAAAAAGTCTCTATGCATGCAATAAATTAATGAGCTCAAAATTATTATCCCACACAACAAAATTACGTCTGTATAAAACAATAATCCGACCAGTAATTTTATATGGCTCAGAGACTTGGATCCTGAACAAAAAAGAAGAAAGAAAAATAATAGTTTTTGAAAATAAAGTATTGAGGAAAAGTTTTGGCCCAACGCTAGAAAATGGAGAGTGCAGGAAGAGGCACAACCAGGAAGTAGGAGAAATGTACAAAAATGCAGACATCATCGGAGAAATAAGAAGTAGGAGACTAAAATGGGCAGGACACATACTAAAAAGAGAAGAAGATTCAAACCTGAAGAACATTCTGAGGGGAACACTAGAGGGACGAAGACCCAGGGGACGACCAAAGACTAAATGGTGGAACCAGGTGCAACAAGACATGAGGCGGCTGGGAATTGGAGAGGAGGATGCTGAAGAAAGAGACGGATGGAGGCGCTGTGTTGCCGAGGCCAAGTACCGACTGGGGTACAAATGTCCAGGGCAGTAAACAGTAAACTAATGAATGAGAAAATATGTTGACAACAAATTATCGGAGACTGAGATTGAAAAAGATGTATAGAAGCCAACATTATGTTGATGTTGATGTGGTTTGATACCTATTTATTTGTTGTACTTTTATTTAAATACAAAAGACGTAACGAGGCTGTATAAAGAAATTTTAAAATGGCTGAATTAAAGGAGTCAAAGATTACCTAATAAACAATTGAGTAGATCTTCTCAAAATCAAACAACTGGTTTATAAAATGGGGTTTTTTTTTAAATGTTTGTGTACCTAGTTTCAAAAAGGCACTTTTTGTAACTACTCATTCAAAATGACTGATCTAAAACACATAAAATGAAATATTAAAAACAACTGGCGTTACACTTCTTGTCATAAAATATTACTGATCACATCAAACCTGTAGAGAAAAATAAATTAGTAAAACTTACAACTAAAGCATATTATTGTAAAACTTTAATTTGTTCAAATAATTTGGATAAAACTGCCGACCCGAAAAAATCATTTACTCAACAACAACAAAGATAATGAATTTGAACAATTTTGGAATAGTCTGTAAAGTTAAATTGTATAGTATGATTTAAGAGATCAGCACTGTAAAAATGATTCTTGATTATAACTGAACCTTTTACATAATACCCTTGTGATTGCCTTTCTTTGCCAATGGTTGTAAGCACGTTTTATCTAGCAGCATTGATCAGCATTCACAAACATACGCCAGCAAAAATCTTGTTTATAAATTCAAATTCCCCCATTGCAGCAACCCTGCAGGCTACAGGATAACATAGGAAACAGTTACTGTGCTTAGCTCAATTCACAATTTTTTAACATTAGTCAATAGATTTAAACATTTTAAAGTTTTATGCCAAAAGGTGAAAAATGTCTATTGGCGAAGAAAGGTATTCAAAATTGTATTGACAAATAATATAGAAAATAATCAAACTATACATTTTCCTTACTAATTTCTAGTCAGGCCTAATCTGTATTCTGCTAATGTATTTTCTTAGTATCAATGAACGGTTGATATTGATTAACAATAGAGGTTAAATGATGAAGCTATGAAGAAGTAAGAAAATGTAATATATATTATTTTTATAATATTTGAGAAGTTTTTTTATGGTTTGGCTTTTATTAAATATTGTTAGACAAATTTAACAAGTTTTGTGTAATGACGTTTAACATTGGCACATAGAATTGTTTCTGAGAAAGTTTCCTGAAGCAATATTCAAGGTATCTTAAAGATTTGTGATGTGACATTGCAGAGTTTTTGTTTGTCATCGTGATGTTTCAGAAAATCCTTTTTTTACATTTGACTGTTGTAACAAAAAACGTTTTGTAAAAATAATGTTATAGATTATTGAGTTAAGTAATGCAATAATGAAAAGTTCCTTTAGACGTTTGGCTTCAATTAGTCTGAAACCCTTAATTTAAAAAATAGTAGAAGATTTAATATTAATGTGTAAAATGTCATTGCCACCCAAATAAAGACTAACTAGGAATTTAACATTCAAATGGGTTTTTAGTGCACTCTTAAGTTTATTTATTTTATAAATTTTCCTAGAAATATATCCCAATTCAAACAAATCTAAAATCTCTCAACTATTATTAATTCTTAGTTTTAAACACTTATTTTGTATTACTGATATTTGTACAAAAACTATAACTATCACAGGGTTCACAGCAAATAGCTCTTGACACGTAGACTCACTATGTAGAATAGTGACACAGGAGTAGCGATCTGACAGCTGAAAACAATCTTGTTAGTGGACGCGAAGGCAACGCCAGTTGTCCTAAGTACAAACCTGGAGCCCCGGACTGCGGCGGGGGTGGCGGGGGCATCAGTGATTTCATCTGCGGAGGCAACTGAGATATTCCGGCTGCGGCTGCATTCTGTCCGGTCACTCCGTTTCTGTTACAATCACAGCATTGTAGGTTAGGTTACAACAATCACCATCACAATGTGATGCACCTTATACCATCCTGTGGTGGCTCTGCTAAGGATCGATTATGTCAGTTTGTACAACTTATGCTAATCTTATGAAATATATTGTTATTGGTTATCCTATTTTATATTCTATTATCGTAAATTACCTATTTGAGAAGTATTTTTTAAACTAGTATCTGCTAGTTATTATACTGAATACAGTATAATAACAATTATCTAAACACCAAGCACCTAAATTGCCGATTTTTGGTTACAGAAATAATTTTAAAACCCTAAGCTACAGTATGCGCAAAATAACAAAAATCGGTGAAATTTTGACATTAAATTTGGATTACTGACTGAGGTAAGCCATAGCCTAAAAAGTCAACAAAGAACCGTTTGTAAAGAAGATAGGAGCCAAGATCGCGGCAAAATCCTGAACATTTCCTGAAGTCTTGTAGACATCATATTGGTCACTTTCAGTCATAGTTCAACCTAGTTTCTTCTTGGTGCTCGATCACTCGAGGAAACGTTCGTTTTGCCTCAAAAATTTGAATGAACTTTTTTTATGAAATACCTAGCATTTTGGTAAAAATCTAATTATACTAATGGATTAGCCAAATGTGATGTGTTCCCAATTAATTTGTATAGTTGGAGTTCCACAGTATTTGTAAAAGGGATTGACATACAGTACTCTTTAAAGTAGTGATACCATTTTTTTTATTATTATAACAAATTTTCTGAATGGATTGGTTATACTACTCCAACTCCTGTCTATATGTCCTTCCATTAAGTATTTTTGAGGTAATAAGGTGTTTTTCTAGTAAAGAAAAAATGTATGCAACGATGATACATTCCAAATTGCCAATTTAAGTTTAAACCCTTCTTAACACATTAAAAAACTACCTTATTAAAGAAGAATAAATGAAGATCCAACAACAAAAATCAAAATGATATTTTTAGAGGTGTGCTAAGCCGCACATTTTCAGTCAAGCCAAACTCAAGGAAATATTGTGATCATCTCTAGCAAGGGTGGAGATATCATCTTCGTCTTTTGTTTGGGACACTGCAAAATAGAAGATATCTTCCTCAAGTACGGAAACATTATCACTGTCTTTCGCGGTCCCGAACAAATCATGACAGGGTGTCCACCAGGCCAACCAGAAAAAATTCATGAGTAATTCATGAGTAAAAAAAAAAAAATCCAGGTAGTTCAGGTCGTACTTTTTATACTAAAATTTCCAACGTGTTTTCGCTAACTCCCGCAATGTTGTTTTATCGCTAACACAGCTCGCTATTTTAGTTATCGGAAAGAGCATTCTCAGCTAAGAAAAAAATAATTATGATTGCTGTAATATTGCCTGACACAAGTATTCAATTTTTATATCTTACTGATTAAATAATCCAAAAATTAAAAACTAATCCTTAAACCTGCAATTAATAACTTCCTAAAAATAGTTATATGTCGATACAAAAAATTTATCGAATCTCTGTACAGACACCTAAAAAATATATTCTGAATACTGATAATTTCAATTTTACCAAATTTTATGATAGGATAAATACACTACACCAACCCCTGGCTTTATGTACTTTCATATAGTATAATTTTGGAGTAATGGGTTGTTTTCCAAGTGGCCTACAGAAATAATAATGCAGAAATTACAAAAATTGCACGTAGCCAATTTATGTTTTGAACCCTTCTAAGCACATTAAATAAATAGCACGTTAAAGGTAGATTAAGATATTACAACAAAAATTTAAAAAATACTTTCTAGAAGTGTGCCATTTTGAAATTTTTGGTCAAGCAAACTCGAGGTTATATTGTAATCATCCAACACAGTCGTAGAGACACCATCATCGTTTTCTGCGATAACTGAAAAATCCTGAATATCTCACTCAGTAACAGAAACATCACCACTGTCTTCCGTGGTCGTGAAAAAATCCTGATATTGTTCAGCGGTAACTGAAACATTATAATCGTCTCCTGCGATCACAGTTAAGTTATCATAATCTTCCTCGATCGTAGCTTAATTCAAATAATTTACCGCGGTCAGGCGGTCATCATCGTCAAGCAATATTTTTGGACATCATCATCGTTTCCTGCAGTCACGGAAACGTCATCGTCGTCTACCAATGTCACGGAAAAAAATTCCCGGTTAAATACAAAATTCACGCATAATTCCCGGTTTTTTCCCGGTTCAAAAAAATCACTCATAATTCCCGGTTTTCCCGGTCGGTGGACACCCTGCATGACCATGTCCCGTGACCGTGTAGACATCATCAACAACTCCCGCGGTCATGGAAACGTCATTGCCGTCCTGTGTGATCGTGGCAAAATCATTTAACATCACCCGTGGCCGTGTAGACATCATCATCAACTCCCACGGTCATGGAAACGTCATTGCCGTCTTGTCTGATGGCGGCAAAATCACTTAACATCACTTGCAGCTGTGCAGACATCATCATCGTCTCCCGCGGTGACGGAAAAGCCGTCGTCGTCTTACACATTCACGGCAATAGCGGTAATTTTCAGGTCATGTGGGTGTGAAGAAAATCGGTAACAGAATCGACTTTTGACGATTGATTCTCAATACCGATACCAACAGCCAAGTATTGTTAATATCGAGAATCGACACATTCATACTTTAAAGATACAGTAGGCTCAAATTATTAAATTTGTGGTCAATTTTATTAAAAGCAACCTGTCGGCTACAAAACTCCAATCTATGGACATTGACAAGAAAACAAGATTGTTGGTAATCCAACGGTGTATTTTAACTGGTGTGGATATTTTATCTTGGGACCAATAGAAGACAGTAACATTTATCCATAATAGTTTTCATCAACTGTCGATTGAGATAGTTAAAAATGATAACCATGAACGCATATTATCTAATCATCTAATTTATGATTTGTTACGGTTCCCATCGTTAATTGTAGGAAGTTTATTGTATCCCAGTTATTTTGATTTTCTCCACTTGACTCAAGTGATTACTTTAAACTTTTAAATCTTTATTACAAGAGAAATGTATATACAAAAAACAAGGTAACACCAATCTAATATAGACCTATGGGAAATCTTCCAATAAAATGGTATTGGTATATTTTAATGTTTTGACATCCACAAAAGTTGGTACATATTGATTACACAGAGTACCAATTATAAGATAATTCATAAAGAGAAAGAATAAATTATATGAAGACAGGTTTTTTAAAAGTTAAAAAGGTAAGCATTGTATCAGTTTTTATTTGGGTGCACCTATTACTGCAGTTATATTGGAGGGCAAAAATGGTATGACTCAAGATACAGTCCTGTCAAACACTTTTAAGAGAGATTATTAAATTTCTAAATTTATTTACAGCCAGACCTAACCTAACCCATACTCCCTTATAATGAAAATATAAACTACAACACGATGAGAGCTTTTTCTTGCTGTAACTTAAATCAAATCCATTTTTTGCCATCAACATTAAATACATGTGTAGCAACGTCATACAGTTTTCATCACAATATTTTTCATTCCTTATGGTCTACAAATTCCTCGACATTATACACACATAAATCACACAAAATCTTTCTAATAGTAAATTTAAATTTTTTATTTCAAGAGATTTAATGTGAGCAGGTAACATATTATACAAGCTTTTGCCAAATTCACTTAAGTTAATATCACTTAAGTCACTTAAGTTCGCTTGTGGTCATAATTAAAACCAACATTAGTTTTGACGGAGAAAAGTATGGACTTTACCAAAGTGGAGGGAATTTTATGAGACTCCAGCTGACTTGGGACATTGACTACAGCTTTCTTTATCATTGGACACTCTGTATAATCAATAACCACTCAGATCTATGGTTAACTTTCTAAGATCTTAACTGTCTAAGACATATCACAAGGAGTATTATCTGGTGTGGCAACTTTGGGTTCATTTGGTGCAGTGAATTAAATTTAGTAAAAACAATTGTATAAGCCTACATGCAGGTCATGAACAGATAAAGAATGTTTTCAAATCCAAATAATATATAAAAAAAAACATCTTGCTTGAATGGTTAATATTAAGCTTATGAAAAGTGAACAAAGTAGCCATTTTTTTGTAAAAATTAAGCCTCCTAATATGCCTTTTATTTTCTTTATTAGTTAAGTGAACTGTACAATAATATACTGTGTAGGTTTCATAAGACAAAACTTGTAATCACAATCAATAATTGGTGGTGACATTTAAAATTTACAGCACAATAATCAAGTCTCTGATCACTAATGTACCCAAAGGCATCACACCACCAATTAATTGTGTTTAAGTATACAGTTGAACCTCTATAAGACGAATTTCAAGGGGTACGGGGAAAATTCGTACTATAGAGGTATTCTTAATAAAGAGGGTCGTTTTATCGAGGTTTAATGCTGCTGTTATTCTTCTTATAGAGGTTTCTCCTCGCTCCAAGGTTTCCCCAAAACAATGACTGAGGAAGGAGGATGGATGGGTGGGGGTTTCATGTTGAGACAAGCTTCTGTTTGTTTTGAAAACTACGTACTATGGAGGTTAAGATTATGATAAATTCGTCTTATAGAGGTCACGTTCGTCTTGTAGAGGTTTTGTGCTAAGAATATTCGTTGTATAGAGGTTAATCAGTCCTAGCCCATGTCACAAACAAATTCGTCTTATGGAGGTTTTTAACTTAAATACTACGTTGTATGGAGGTGTTTTTAGCATTGACCTATATGAAAGTGTCAAGGGGATTAAAAAAATTCGTCTTATCGAGGAATTCGTTTTATAGAGGTTCTTACAAACGAGGTTCAACTGTATAGGCATGCAGACTTAAAAACTATCTTGAAAATTTCTATTCTAGCGGGAATAAAACTAGGCCTAGTTGAAATCAAAGGCCATGTAAACAAAAATTATATTGCTTTTAACCATATTTAATTAGTAAGCACCAGTAGATAATAGGTTATCAGGTTATTGTAATTGTTATGAAAAATAATCATAAAAAATGTGATATTTAAAGTTCAAAAGTAATAAAATAACCTTAAAAGTTAGGTATTGCATTGCAAAAAGTTGTTAAAAGTCTTGTGTTTTATAGTTTATAGGATATCCCCATATTTTTTGTGGATATTTTGCTTTAACAACTTAACTTAACAAGTTTTTTACAAGCTTTTTGACATTTTTGTGACCTTTGAAGTTTGATTACCTATTAAAACCAAGAGATATTTAACAACTTTTTGTGTTTGCTTAGTCTTAAGTTTGTACTTATGATTATTTTATTGCTACAAACGCCATTGCGACTCCAGAAGCTGAAGCAAAGGTGCAGAATTAGTTAACAAAAACATCTTCAACAAAATGGAACACATTACAAAATTGTGGATGACACAGTACAAAATGAAGTAACTGGATACAGAAAGATACTGGATGTTCTTTATAAAATGTTTCATAGTGACTATAAATGTTATTTTAAGAGATTTTAGGCTTCAGTATGGTGGACTATTAGATATTGTCTCAGAGGTAAACATTTTTACAATTGGTATAAATGTATTGGCAACCACAAGTTCTAAATATAATTGTAAATGTAACGTTATGATTCATGGTGAAATTTAATCAATTTTTCAATTCCACTCCAGTTATTTTATATTTAAAATTTCAAACAAATAATCAAAATTAGCAATGCAAAATGTTTAATCAGATATCCAACACTAATAATAATTTTGGGTAATACAATTTGATAAGAGGTAGAAAGTTTTTTTGTAGCAATCATGGTAAGTAATATTTTTCTGTTATAGTCAATGGTAATTAATATCTTTGACTATTAACCAATAGTCAATGGTAATATATGTAACAATCTTTGTTTCTACAATTTAATATACAATTTAATAAAAGCCTAATTTAATTTAACAAATTGTAAACAACCAATTACAAATCCACACTCAAAAGTGAACATCTCATCAAAAGTAACATTGATTACTGAAAATACAGATTAGTTTAATACAAATCACCCATACAATTTTTTTAAAGTATGGATATAAAAATTTCATGATTCCAAAAAAGTCATGCAATGAAATTTTGCTCTAGAGGCGTAATATTTATTGTGGGTTCCATTGCTGTGGCAACACCATCTGAAGGAAGATTTTGTTTATTCTCTTGGTATTTATTTCATTAACTAACATAACTCTTGTTTCCGAGACTAGCAATTGCACCAGATAAATCAAAGTTGGTTTAACTCACCCAATTGGAGCAGCCTGTTTCTGGGGGGAAGCAACCGTCTGTTTGGGTGGTGGAACTGGTTGGGGCGGTCCCTGCGAAAACATATGGTTAATGTACAGTTGGAATAAAAAATTATAAACAAGACTCTAATTTCAGAATTCCAATTTCCCACAATTATTGAGTACATATACAACTTTTAGGATTTTTTTGTGGGGGGGAAACTCCTAGCTGAGCGGCGAAAATTTAAAACACACGTAGACATGAGTGTCCTAGTTGCCCGTGCTATGCGATGGTCGGCAGTGCGGCAGTAGTTCTTAGACCTCAAGCATTATGATGTGACAGGTTTATCCTCAAAATAAGTATGAACATTTGTAGTCTTCAAGGAGAAATCTCATATAAATACACTGACCACGTGATCTTAGGTTTCAATTGCCATCCTTGTGTATTTTTGTATAATTAAGGGTAAGCCCTAGATTACAGTAGAGATGGTAGAATTTACCAAAATGAATGCCTTTCTGTAAAAATTTCATTATTAGGTGTTCTAGTATCCAGAGAATTCCTCTTCAGGTGAGTTTAGATCAGTCAAAAACTAAAAGCAAAATAAGCTTTTATACTTGAACTTCCTATAACTTAAAGAAGTAATGTTTTGAGTATAATGTCTGTGTACAATTTTGTGTCTCTTGTGCCCGATTGGATTCATATAAGCCTGCTTTTAGAAAAAAAAATTCCTTAAGTATTGGATTATAAGCAATATTTTATTATAAATCATTTAAATTATGCAGCAAGAAATATATTGACCAGAAGATTATTTTTGATGATATTTCAAAATGCATACCTGTAAAAATGCAGGATCGAGAAAAAATTATTTTGCCACGATTGTGTTTGATGTTTACAGGTTCACCATGACCACAGAAGATACTGTAATCTCCATCTAGCTGTGGCCATGGAAGATCTTCTCGAGTTCGCTGTGACCGCAGAAAATGTTCACGATTTCACTTTATAAATAACCACGGAAGATGTTCAAAATTTAGCCGTGCTCAAGGAAGATGATCAACGATTTCACCGTGATTACAGATGATGTTTACGATTTCTGACAAGACCACAGATGTTCTTGATTTTGCCGTGACAGCAGAAGATCTTCGTGAATACAATGTGACTGTGGAAGATGTTTATGATTTCACTATGTGTATGATATTATTAGCCATATCAACACAGGCAGTAGTATTATAAATAATATTTTTTAAATCAATACATTCCAAAGCAACCCGATTTTGGTTCGAGAACTGAGGGCCAACATTTTATACCTGACCTGGCCCGAAGTCAAAATGTGTGGCCGACTCTTATTCAGCAAACTTGTTAAAGTAAACCTAATAGTTCACCTGATAGTTGTTGGGTGGTTGAGATTCCCCTTCGTATTTGCGCTTCTGACCCTGGTGCGGATGTTGGTTGTGTGGAGGAGGTCCCCGGTTGGAGTTCTGTTGATGTTGCGGGTGTTGTTGTTGATGTTGTTGGTGCTGTTGTTGCTGATTCTGCTTCTGCTCCCTCTGTTGAGACTGAGCGTGGTTTTGTTGATTCATCTGTTGCTGTTGTTGAGCACTCTGCTGTATCTGAACATTCAATGTAAGTTTGTGTCTTCAAGCAGCAAAAGTGATTGAATAATAAATAGGCAAATTAAGAATCATGGTGGAAGAAAGCTAATCACACGATAAGGTTACAAACACAATCTAGGTTTAACATTTAACCCTAGACACACAAAAAATCCTTATTAGATGCTTTATTGGCCTATTTTAGGGTATTGATTTAGATTTGTAGCTTGGTACACTTTTTTATCCAGGCAGAAAATATATTAAAATAAAGAGAAAACTATTACCGGGTAGCTTTAATATTGAATATACAGTGTGTAAATTAAGTATTGAAACAAATCTGTATTTTTTAAACTGAAATAGATAGAAATATTCTGTTTGTAGCATTGATTCTTAACAAAGGTTCCGCAATGTTTTACACCAAAATAAATTTTAAACCCCTTAAACAGGGTAGGGGGTGACTTTTTTTTTCAAATAGCAACCCCTATTGAGTGACCCCTCATTTTGAAGGATTTGTCAAAAGAATCACAATGACGCAAACCCGAGGTGGATATCTCACCCCTAGCCAAAATGGTTGGTATTCACAAGTGCAAAAATAATTTTAAAATCACTTATTATTTGCTTTGGCATAGGCAATTTAGAATTTTATACGAGAAATAACCATGATTTACAGAAAAGTAATTTTTGGATAGCTTATACAAACAAAGACAAAATCAGACATTTCCGCAGACAACAACAAAATGTTGTTAGTCATGAAACGACGACAGAGTGCAGCGAAGGCAGACAGCTGGATTATAAAATTCTAACGTTCAGATCCATCAATTCAAAAGTAGCTCGTCAAATTTTGATTAAACTCTTGTTTTACTATATGGGACTTAAATTTAACCTTGCAATAAAACACAAATGAAGTTTTTAAAATTTAAATATACCTGAGGAGTTTGCTGGGGACTTTGTGACATGTGCTGGTTCCCCTGTTGAGGCTGATTCTGTTGCTGAGCCATTTGAATCTGTTGTTGATGACCTTGTTGCGGATGACCTTGTTGCTGTTGCTGTAGGATTTGTTGTTGCTGCTGAATCTGTTGTTGCTGCTGCTGTTGCTGTTGAATATGTTGTTGTTGCTGCTGTTGCTGTTGAATATGTTGTTGCTGCTGTTGTTGCTGTTGAATATGTTGTTGCTGCTGCTGTTGCTGTTGAATATGTTGTTGCTGCTGCTGTTGCTGTTGAATTTGTTGTTGCTGCTGCTGTTGCTGTTGAATCTGTTGTTGCTGCTGCTGGTGCTGTTGAATCTGTTGTTGTTGCTGCTGCTGCATTTGTTGCTGTTGTTGTTGAATTTGTTGCTGATGGATTTGCTGTTGCTGTTGGATTTGCTGCTGCTGAATTTGTTGTTGCTGCTTTTGTAGTTGCTGTTGAGCTTGTTGCTGTTGTTGCTGCTGAGATGGTTGATGCGGTTGTGATTGTTGTTGCTGAAGTTGAACCTGTTGTTGCAGTAGCAGCTGCTGTTGTTGCTCGACTGGCTGCAACTGAACTCTAGTCTGTTGCAGTTGCAACTGTTGAGTCCCGGCTCCCCGGATCAACTGTTGTGCTATTGGCTGTTGTAGTTGAAGTTGGACCTGTTCAATAAATGCACATGATTTAGAAAATATGATTAGTATGGTTGCTTGCGTAGCATAGTGATGAGTGTCTTTGAATCAAACCTATAAGTTAAAATTATGTCTCTGAAATAGATTGATTCTGGAACTGGTTGACATTCATTTTGGCAACAAATTTATGATAAACTCCATCAAAAACAGTGGTTAGATGCTCTCTTCACATAAAGATTTTTCAAAAGATTCTGAAGTATAAATTTTGTATAATAATGTTCCAAGGTAAAATTTTGAACAATGCTGAACAGTTTTGCACCTAAACAAATTCATTAGCGTTTCCAGAGTAAACTAAATCACACACCTGTGTCTGGCCTGGCTGCAGCAACTGAGGGTTGATGAGTTGGACTCCAGGCTGTAGTTGTATCTGTACAGGAGTAGTCAGACGCTGAGGGTTGATCAATCTAGACACTCCAGCCTTGCCAGCCTCCCCTGGCTGTTGGTACTGCAGCAGCATTGTCACCTGCTGGAACATAAACACAATTGTAGATACAACATTTAGAACCATTGTTGAAAACATATAGAAAAATACCATTGGTGATTGGCTAAAATTGGTCTAGAGCCTAGAGTAAAGAGGTTTTAATCGTTGTCCACTACACCACCAAACCCTTTCAAAATAGGCTACAGTACTTGGTTAACAACTTCAAGAATTGGTAGGAGTACAGCTGCTGTTGTGGTATCAGCACTTGAGTCAACTTGGCTAACCTAGCCTAGCCTACATTACAGTAAGGTTGTACCTGTTGAGGCTGCTGCATGACTAGCTGCTGTGTGCCATTAGGCCCAGGTATGAGCTGCAGCTGAGCTTGTTGCTGACCTTGTATCAGCTGCTGCTGTTGTGGTATCAGCACTTGACCACCAGCTCCTCCTGTCTGGATGTACTGCAACACATAACATAGAGATTAAACTTGTATAAACACTCTTTAAACAATTTGATGGATTTTACAAGTTCCATACTACTTTGTGAGAGAGGTGCTGAAAGACAGAAGAGAATTTGTTGTTGATTACGCCTAGTAAATGTTGGGGGCCTGCGGGTCCTTGATATTTTAGGGTTTGGTCAGGATGGTCTGAGAGATTGATTTTTAAATCGAACCGAGCATTAAATTTTGAAAATCCAGAGAGCAATTGCAAAGATAGTTTTGTCGTGAACAATTTTCCTATAACCGCTGAAGATGTTCAATATTTCTTACCTCAGATTTTTTTACTTTCCGGTGGCTGCGGAATACACACACGATTTTGTCGTTAACGCAACAGATGTTCACCATTTGGCCATGACTGTGGAGGATAATCATGATTTGGTCAAGCCGCAAAGAGATAAGAGTACAATGAATACAGTATTTTAAAACTTTTACAAAGCAATCCAATTTTGGCCTAAGACCCACCCAAAGGCCAATACTGTTTACCCAACCCTACTTAAAATAACAAATTTGTCTCTAGCACTCTTGCTTGGTGAATACAGAAGTAAAATAACAAATTAATGTGGTAAATGTTTTGAATCCTACTGAGTGTTTAGAATAAGGTGAAGAACCTTTGTTAGCATGTTGTGGGGAGCCAGGACTTTTGTCAGGTTCACTATAATTTCCCAGACTGACTAGGGCTTACTCCTTACTATAACTGACAACTAGGGGTGTGCGAGTACTCGAACCTTCGAGCTTTTTGGTCGAGCTTTTCATTATTTGGCTCGGCTCGAGGCATTTTGAAAAAGCTCGAAGTTCGAGCCGAGCTTTTAATACTAAGTCAAAACTAAAAAAAAACGCTTAATTTGGGTCGTAATTGGAAACAATGTTATCACAATTCTACGTTGTTCAAGCATTCGAGGTTTGATAAGCACGAACCTCAGCTCAGTCAAGACGCAATGATTATCGATCGTAATTTTGAGGAGATAGTAAAGAGACAAACTACCACCTATCGCGTTGTCTTTCTAACACAGCTATTCGTATCGTAATATACAACGCAGTGCGAGTGCGTGATTGGCTCGTCGCTATGGCGACACACGGTTGCCGTGGCAACCTACAGTGCGCACTGAGCACTGCGCCTTGTGTGGGAGGGGAGATTATACCAACAAACAATTTCAGGAATTCTATTTTGGGACGGATGAAAGATAAGGAAGAAACAAAAAGTGGTCACGTGTGCAAATGTAGTGGGCGACACAATAAGGATGTAAACAAGTATCAATCGTCGTGTCGTTGTTCCTTGTTTGTTTACTTTTTCAGATTCCTTATCAAACGCCCCTATCTGCTATCTCTCTTTCTCTCTCTGCTCTCTCTAACAATGTACTGATTAAACAGATTGTGGTTGACGACTTTTCTACTTATAAGTTTCCCTGCGGTTATTTTAGTTCAATCAATCCCATAACCTTTCTAATGTTTATCAAAATAATTAATTATCTGTTTTGTATTTTATTTCCTTTAAACCAATCCCTATTTACCATCTGTATTTTATAGAATAAAATGTTTGTTTATAAAGTTTGACTGGCCACACAATTTTGTACCTATTTTATTTTGTTTAAAGTAACAGTTACTTTGATCATTATTTAAATATCAATAAGTGGTGCGTGCTGTAATGAGTGCTTTTTATTATCAAAATAAGTAATGGATTATTAATTTTTGATAATACATGGGTCATTGAATACCATAATGTGATGTAGTCTCCTATTTGTAACTTGCAAATAATAATAATTGAGAGTTAATCCTGGAAAATGAAAAATAGTGAATGCATTCATAACCCTGTTGTCAAAACAGCACCGCGGGTGTAAGGGTTTATTGTTTCAGAGGCTAGGGTGTTTCAAGGACAAAGTGCTGGGCCTCCCGGCTCAGGGGGGGAGGGGTGGTGGTGAGACTGAGAGAGAAATGGGGGAGGAAACTGGTTTTGGCTATTTATTGATTAGTTCACCGACCCTTCTAGATAACAGAATTTAGTGACAGTGTTAAATCATCGTGTTCATTATTTCATTTCTTGTTTACTTTGTGTGTTATTCTATTAATTTTAGTGTTTTGGTCTATTTCCTCTATATGTCAATTATACAGGGTGTCTCAGACCACCCGGCCGGCTTGTATAGCTCCAAAATGAAAGCAAATGGAAACCTAATTGCAACTGGAACCCCCTATTTTGACCCCAAGGAATTCAGCTAAATTATTTTCAACCCCAAAAAAGCACCCCAAAGGGCAGATTTTGGGGGGTGGGGGTGGTTTTTGGGAAATTTTCAAATGTAAAGGGGGGTCGTGTTATACCTCATTTTAAAGGTCCTTTAGTCCTGAGTATTTTAGTGGAAAAAGATTTAAATTATCTTCATCCCTATTTACAGGGTGTTCAAAAACGTACAAAAAATAGACCTTTGAACTACTTTTTACTGTAAAGAGGTGGAATTTCGTGGGGGGTTCAAATTTTTATAACACTTTAATTGCTAAATGAGGTTTCAAAAAACTCCGGTTTCAACCCTTTTGCTATCTTTTTACTTATGTTACGCATTTTCAAACTTTTCGAAGTTTCAAAAGCTGTTATCTCAAAAATTTCAAATGGCAACATGGGTTTCATTACAAACCACATTGTAGTCCTTAAAATTTGCTACAAATTTTGTATTTAATGTTTTTTGGTATATTCATTGGTTAAAGACATATAGCGAAATTAGTGTATTTTAATGTTTTATTAAATGGTATTCAAAGTGTTTGCTGTTGTAAATGTACACGTCTAGGTCTCAATTAAAACTAATTATGTTAAAAAATAAAAATACTACCCAGATTGTTGATCTTGGAAGATTGATAAAGGAAATAACACAACTGCAAATATTCTTAGTTATTTTACAATTCCATGGCTCTAATAGTGCTTTGGATGAATACTGTCTATAAATGCTACTTGTAAATATTAAAAAATCATCATGAAATCAATGAGCGTGTGTGTGAAACTGATCATGTTTGATCAAATAAAACAAATTTTAAGGAACTTACTGGACCTGTACGAGAGGTGAATGCATCTGCGGTAGTAAAATACCAATACAGTACGTAAATAGCATAGTGGAGAAGAAGTACTACGTGCCTATAAACAGAGTTGGGGTTTGCATGGAACAAAATGGAAGGCAATTTAAGCATTTGTAGAAGTCCAGCGGTATGTAGGCTATTAATGCTGATTCAAACAAATTATTCAATTCAAGCACTATTAGAGCCATGGAATTGTAAAATAACTAAGAATATTTGCAGTTGTGTTCTTTTCTCTATCAATCTTCCAAGATCAACAATCTGAGTACTATTTTATTTTTTAAGACAAAATTAGTTTTAATTGAGACCTAGAGGTGTACATTTACAACAGCAAACACTTTGAATACCATTTAATAAAACATTAAAATACACTAATTTCGCTATATCTCTTTAACCAATGAAGATACCAAAAAACATTAAATACAAAATTTGTAGCTAATTTTAAGGGTTACAATGTGGTTTGTAATGAAACCCATGTTTCCATTTGGAATTTTTGAGATAACAGCTTTTGAAACTTCGAAAAGTTTGAAAATGCGTAACATAAGTAAAAAGATAGCAAAAGGGTTGAAACCGGAGTTTTTTGAAAGCTCATTTAGCAATTAAAGTGTTATAAAAATTTGAACCCCCCACGAAATTCCACCTCTTTACAGTGAAAAGTAGTTCAAAGGTCTATTTTTTTGTACGTTTTTGAACACCCTGTAAATAGGGATGAAGATAATTTAAATCTTTTTCCACTAAAATACTCAGGACTAAAGGACCTTTAAAATGAGGTATAACACGACCCCCCTTTACATTTGAATATTTCCCAAAAACCACCCCCACCCCCCAAAATCTGCCCTTTGGGGTGCTTTTTTGGGGTTGAAAATAATTTAGCTGAATTCCTTGGGGTCAAAATAGGGGGTTCCAGTTGCAATTAGGTTTCCATTTGCTTTCATATTGGAGCTATACAAGCCGGCCGGGTGGTCTGAGACACCCTGTATATTTTTTAATATATAATTTTACTTTTTACTTTGTCTCTTCACCTTTTTGGATCCAAACCAATCATGTTCTTTTTGATTAATACGATTCATAAAACAAAAATATTTTGTGCATGTAAAACAACAAGAATAATCACGTGTTTTTATATTTATTTATTTATACAAAATGGAATAAAATATTCATAGTAGTTACAATATACATATTTAATCGACTTGCTAGTTGTTTTGTTGTCATTCAAGATAGCGCTGTTCTGTTATGAAAGACAATCTGATTGGCTCAGTCTGCACTGCATATCTCGTCAGGCCTTCAATCATATCCTCATATCCTTTTATTTCTTGCATCTTAATTTAGTTCAGTTCAGTTCTTATCGTGATTATCTACTATTTGATGTCTTGACAATTCTCAATGTTTTTAGACATATTAAAATAATATTGTGTTTATTTAAAAATTGACTGAACATTATTATTATTATTATTATGCACTTTTTGAAGAAAAATGTTTAATAATTTATTTTTTTGATAATGTTCAGAATTCAGAATTATGTTTGAAATTCCAGATAGGGTTAGTTGCAAAACATCTTTTGCTGAAAATAAAATCATAACACTCTCTAATATTTTCATTTTTTACAATTTAGTTTCCGTTAAAGAGAATCTGAATAAATTTGTTCTTTGCAACTCAACCCATGGGTATATCACCAGACAATCAAAAGATTTATATATTCCTCAAGCCAGGCTATCAAAATTTATCAAAAGTTATAAATACTTGCAAATAAAACTATTTAATAAACTTCCAATATATTTTAGAAATCAGGAAAGTATTCATTTGTATAGGTCAAAATTATCAGATTGGCTTACAAGTCTGTGCTTTTTATTCAGTTGATGAGTTTTTGCAGAATGAAGATTTTTTAACGCTTAAATGTGAGGCCAAGCAGTCTTGATGATTCTTTGTTCTTGTTATGGTCTTTTCCCTGTTAATTTTAAAGTTTTTATTATTACTGATGCTTTATCCTTTTAACTTTATTTTAACATTTTCTGTAGAATATTTAATATTTTATTTAACATATGTAACAAAACATGTTGACCTTGTCTATTGTAATGTTTATATTATCAAACGACAATAAAGATTTATTATTATTATTATTATAAGGTGACGCTAGGAAAAGCTCGGCTCGAAAAAGCTCGAGCTCGAAAATATTTTAAAAAGCTCGGCTCGGCTCGGCTCGAGGTTGAAAATCACTATTCGCACACCCCTACTGACAACTAACCTTATTGTTCCTTATTTTGACTATCGCTACCTACAAATCAATACAAAAAACTCCATACCAAGAAATTTACATTTGCATTTTGTTTTTGTTTTTTCTAAGAAATTTTAAACTAATTCAAAATTTTAGGACAGTAGGCCTAACTACCAGCAATATGAACTATAGACTGGGACGGGTGGCGTCGTCCTGTTATCCAGCTACTAGGTCACGAATTGTGGATATTTATAGGGATGCACTGTGGATGCGATGCTCCCTGGTATGGATTAACGTCCGCACTAGTGAGTACTACGAATATCCACAGTACTATCCTGATAATTAGACCATTTCGTAAATTACAAGGAATAAAATGTGGTTCGGATTCCACTATAAACTGTAGGTCCCTTAGTTGCCATTAGCTGTATGGACTATTAATTAACAGCTGTGTCTAAGGAACATGTTGGCCTTAGTCACTAACAAGACTACAAGATCGCGCCACTCATCCTACACTCATCCTTCACTCATATTTGGGTTAAAATACGCACATAGTGGCGTCCCCATCTTAAAAAATTGATAATTGATTGATTGATAATTGATAATTGCATAGACGACTTTTAGCACAATTGCTTGCTGTGTATTGTGGTTGATGGCTCACCTGTATGGGGTAGGTGGCCTGGGTGATGAACGCCTGAGTCTGGCTGTGTTGTGCTGCAGAGCTGGATACGGAGACAGGAGGAGGTCCAAGGTGTGCCTGCGTAGTTAAGGAAGGCGGAGGCTGACTCAATACCTGCATACACACAATAGTACAGAAATCAGCTAAAAAAATATATTCACACACCACTGTGGTATTAATGATCTACCTAAAGAATACAGTAAAACTCCTCATTTTCAACCCCCACGGACCAACCCCTTGTCTAATAACACATTACAGGATTAGCTTATGAAGCCGAAATTTCCTTAAATATAATCAAGGGACGCATAATGTCCGTGTTGTCGTTTAAACCCAAACAACACCACTGAAAAGTTTGTTGTTGCCAGGAGGCTAAAATAACTGAAAGATTGATTCAAATTAAAGAGATACTGTGCCAAATACGAGTTCCGTAAAAGAGAAAACCTTTTTGCAGGTTATCGGTTTTTACATTGGATTGTACACTGATGAGTTGATATTATATGGTTTTACAGTACAATACTTGGTTTGCTCCCTGACCTGTTGGAGAGCTTGACTGTGAATAGGCAATCCTGCGATGGGAGGAGGTTGTTGAATTCCCTGAAACAATCAAATGTTTATATACTCTTTGTATGTGAAATTCTCAGTATTAAATACAAAAATAATTGACATTGTAATAATTATAATTTAAAAGTGAGTTGTCCGTGTATGAATTCAGATTACTTTCTATACTATAAAAAAGCACAAACTAATAAATCAAAACTCAAAAGAAATATTATAATCATGAAGATTAATTTTTATAGGACCAAGATGTTTATAATTTTGCCTTGACTGCAGTCGATGTCCTCGATTTAACCATGACTGTAGAAGACGATATTGTACGTGACCTTTCAAAATTTCTGCATGACCATAGCATGATTTACGCATGACATTCTGGATTCTGTTGTAACTGTGGTGTTCACAATATCACAGTGACTGTAGAAGATGTTCCTAATTTTTTTGTGACGCAGACGACATTCTCAATCTCCCCATGAGAGCAAAGACACATTGTCGCCCTGAACACAAATAATGTTCAGAATATCACTGTGATTGCAGAAGAGGTTGACGATTTTGTTGCATAATCAAACCGTGAGACATTGCCTACCTGAGTGAGAGGTCCTGTATGTGAAGGTATATGTACACCTGGTGGTGGCATTGTGACTGTCTGTATAGGCGGGGGCTGCTCTATTATCTGTGGCGGGGGTACAGCCATACTGGGTGGAGGGACACTCACTAAGCCACCAACTGGAATCAATATAATACACAGTGAACACAATTAAAACAAGCTGGACACATATCTACGAATGAGGTAAAACTGATCATAGTCCTCGTTTCTACATAGTTAAAGAGGCAAAATTCTTTACCATTCAAACAAGTTTAGTCTGACAAAATGTATAATATTTGTGATGTGATTTTGCTACTTGAGAATTATTTTTATGGTTAAAGGTTAAATAGGTTTGATCATATTTGTAAATTGGGAGATAATAAGTAACAACTGTACCTTGACCAGGCAGAGGTAGTATCAGCCCAGGGGGTAGCTGGTCAGGGACCTGCAGAGGTCCAGGTAACTGGGGGTGTAACTGGACAAACTCTTGCTGTATAGTCTCTACCAAGTTGAAGGCCAGTTGTCTGGCAGCCTGCAGTACCTCTATCTTTTGATGTCTAAGGACAAATAATATTTATTTATTACAACAAGATACGATAGCTAGGCCTAAAGATATATTACTCAACAGTTACAATGACAATTAGTAGAATATTAATATATTAGGCCTAAAATAAAAGAAAAAAGTACACTAAACAAGATAAACAATATAGACATTGTAACCAATGAAATATACTGGTATAAAGAGGTTATATAAAATACCCCAGCCACAGCAAACCTGCAGACTTGGCAACAAAATTCCATTTTCCTGGTTGAGTTTTTACTAAGATACTTCTTTAAAATGACATATTTATTCCCTAATTAAATAGCATTAGGTTAAATAAGAACTTTGGGTTCCTGCCTCAAGGAAGGCTCAAGGATACTTACACATTATGGTATGTTATTTTATATATTATAAACACTGTCCTCTATATGAGAATTACTTACTCCACACAGATGTGCAGAGGTTCTGGAGACTCCTGGCCGCCCAGACCAGACTCTGGGTAGCCACTGGTACGTCCCCTCAGTGTTACTACAGCACCTGTCTCATTACTGATGTATTGTAAGTTGGCACCACCAGGGCCCAGCACCTTGCCTCTCACGTCAAACGTGGCTGGAGCATGGTCCAGACCCACTATCACTTTTTCCTGGACAGTAAACCACTTAAAATCATCTAAATAAACCCATTGTATTGATATAAAGTTATAGTCCAGTGAATAGAGGTTAACTTACAAACGGTCCGGTAAGTCTAAATTTTTTATATGCTGTCTAGGATGGTAAGTAGGTGTTTAAAATGAAAAATGCACAATTCTCCCCCCTCCGCACCCGCCGCCATATTGAAAAATCTAAAAAATCGGTACTTTCTAGAGATTTTCACCTATATCTCCGTTTCGGTGCGTTTTAGCAAAAGATATGTAATGTCAAAGTTGTAGAAAATTAAATTTCCTATAATATAAGTATAACGTAACAATTTGGTTCTAAGTAGTGATGGGTCGATTCCAAAATTATTCGATTCCGATTCCGATTCTGAAATTTGGGATTCGATTCTCGATTCCGGGTTCGATTCCGAATACCATGGTTCAGGATGACAAAAAGGTTTTTAGAAATTAATTATTAAATAAAACCCAAACATTATTAGAACGAAACACACAATTTTAATGAGGATAAACACAATAATAATAATAATAATAATACAATAACAGTGAAATCATCTGTACGAATGAACGTAAACCGTAAAATTAAACCTACAGCACATTTTTTCAAACATTTTTAACAATGACTTTTACTTTTAAATATAGGCCTAGAGCTTATAGGCCTACGCTACAAGTTTACAATTACCACTCAACGTGAACAAAACTGATTTTAAAAATAATTTTAAAGGTTTTTAGAAATTAATTATTAAAACCCAAACATTATTAGAACGAAACACACAATTTTAATGAGGATAAACACAATAATAATAATAATACAATAACAGTGAAAGAAAACGAATGAACGTAAACCGTAAAATTAAACCTACAGCACATTTTTTCAAAAATTTTTACAATGACTTTTACTTTTAAATATAGGCCTACAAGTTTACAATTACCACTCAATGTGAACAAAACTGATTTTAAATATAATTTTAGTCCTACCACTGGGATTATAAATTGCAATGCAGCATAATAATTGCAATTTATTTTAAGACTGGTAGCCTACACATGTTGCATTTAACAAAATATTGACAATGGTAGGACTAATATTTGTAATATTCTATTGGCTAAATAAAAAGGACGATCGCTCTAGTCTCGTTCAGTAGTGACGTTTCGGGACCGACGAATACGAATAGAAGTGTTTTGTTAGACTTTGGTAATGAATGGTAGCTCAGCAGTCGGCTCTGTTTAGGGATGAGCATCGATAGTCGATGTTTTCGCATCACCGATTTTTTCTATCGATTTTCGTTGTTTTTCACATCGATGTTTTTGACCAAGTATATTGAGATATCGATGCTTTCCGTTACTGGAGAGTACAGAGACCAGACGAAAAATTGAAGAAAAAAATCTATGTCTTAGTCCCAAAGGCCAAAAACATCGATTTTTTCACAACGATGTTATCGGTTACTGATAACATCGTTGTACCGATGCAATGCTTCAGTTAGTAGCACGAATACTAGAAAAATACCGGTATGGATCATGAACATAAACAAATGACGTCGTTGGCCCGAATCCTATACGAATAGCAACATATGTTTTGAACATATGTTTTGGGTTTGGCAGTTCCATTTAAGCAATGTGAAATAATGTTTATTTTCGGGCCAAAAATGTCATTTGTTTATGTTTATGATCCATACCAGTATTTTTCTACTTTTCTAGTATTCGTGGTTAGTAGCCTTGGTACCGCTGGTTGATCTAAATCGATGCTCATCCTTTCCTTGTATGTCTTGTGAGCTGTGACGCAATGCTTACTCGCTCCAGTCCAGTTTGCCCGAATCTCCAATTCCCATCGGTTAACTGTTTCTCATTGTACTAAGCCTCTGTATTGAGTTCGCATCTATTATTTCATTTGCAATACGCTCGCTCTAGTCTCGCTGACTTAGTGACGATACGACCAGAACTTGTTGTTTGCTCAGAGTTGCAAGCAAATCATTAGCAATCTGAATTTATTTTGTTTCTTTGTTGCTTTATATGACGTTTGTGGCTGATTTTAACCAATTTTATGAAAGAATCGAAGACAGTTGGAATCGATCCCAAACCCACGGAGATTCAAATCGAATGCTCGATTCGATTCCGGCGGAATCGAGAGTATTTTGGAATCGAGAATCGGAATCGGCCCATCACTAGTTCTAAGACTTATGGATACAAAAATATAAAAATTCTTTTACAATAAAACGTCAAATTTTTTTGTTATTTTGTCAAATTTCTATCAGTCCAAGCAAGCTAAAAAGACTGACACAGGGAACGTTAAAAAATTGCAAGAAAACGTTTTATGGTTTTATTTGGTAGTGTTGGGTCTGTAAAGTGACATACTAAAAGTTGCCAAAAATCGGGCTACAGGAAACTTCCTAAAATCACGATTAAAAATGGTGTGTTTTCCCAACATTGTACAAATTTGAAAAAATATATACCACATGCATATTTTACTAAATATTTTTTTAGATATTGACTTGGGATGACCACTGAAGTTTATTGGGTGACTAGCTGTAACCCGCGGGCTTTGCCCCGTTTAACTTCTTAATTTTCAAGATTATCTCGTTCGCATGGCTCAATCACGTCCTGGTTGAAGTTTGTTCGCTACGCTCACTCACCTTTAGGTTGGAGCTCGTTCGCTACGCTCACTCACCTTTAGGTTGGAGCTCGTTCGCTACGCTCACTCACCTTTAGGTTGAAGCTCGTTCGCTGCGCTCACTTGCCTTCAGGTTAGCTCGTTCGCTACGCTAACTCGCCTCCAGGTTGAAGTTCGTTCGCTACGCTCACTCACCTTTTGGTTGCAAATTAGCTGTTGTCATAAATGTAAAAGAAATAATAGTGCTGCACCCTGTTGGTAATCCTTGTAACTTTAATGCTATTGAACATCATAGAACAGAACCAACTTGTTTAATTGAAACAGCTGTTAAGATTCAATAATTCCATTTCTCATAAGGTTAACATGGGAAACTCCAGAGCCACTGGGGCGGAGCCCGAAAGGATTTTTGAAATAAGAATATGCCTATATGTTAATCGGGAATGTGAGCTATCATCATGCCAAATTTCAGCCCAATCCGACCAGTATTTTTCGAGTTTACTTTTCCCATACACACATACAGCAACCACCTCTTTTTTATAATAGTATAGATAAGTACTTCATTTACATAGGGAACTCATTTTTGGCCGCCATCTTGGATCCGCCATATTGGATATAAATATAAAAAGAAATTAAAGTAATGATAACGTTGTAAAACATCATTACAAACTAGATTTCCACGCTGATTTCAATGCCGAAATCCGTTTTTAAATATATATTTACGTTTTGAAGATATATTCAAGGGAAGCGAAAACTCTCCCCCATACATTTCTTAGGGATGTTTCGTACATTGAAGGTTTTTAAAAACCAATTTTCTTATATCTCCAGTTCTTATCAACGCTTGCAGTTCAGTCTAGCCTTAAAATATTCTGTGATGGGCTTTCATTTGAACTATTGATAATTCAAATCAGAAAGAGCTTGGTGATGTATTAACAACTCGAGACTTAATAAAAAAAATATTTCTAAAAAGCTAAATTTAATATTGTTTTGGGGATTGTAGCTCCGCTAACTTGTTCGATTTGAATGATCAATAGGTCAAATGAAAGCGCTTACATCACAGAATATTTAAAGGCTAGACTGAACTGCAAGCGTTGATAAGAACGGGAGGTAGGCTATAAGAAAAATGGTTTTTAAAAACCTTCAGAGTACGAAACGTCCATAAGAAATGTATGGGGGAGAGTTTTCGCTTGAATATATCTTCAAAACGTAAATATATATTTAAATACGGATTTACACATTTAAATCAGCGTGAAAATCTAGTTTATAATGATGTTTTACAACGTTATCATTACTTAAATTGTTTTTATTTATATCCAATATGGCGGATCCAAGATGGCGGCCAAAAATGAGTTTTCTATGTAAATGAAGTACTAACCACCCAATAAACTTCGGTGGTAGTCCCAAGTCAACATCTCAAAAAAATATTGCATAAAATATGCATGTGGTATATATTTTTCAAATTTGTCCAATGTTACCGCCATTTTTAAACGTGATTTTGGGATGTTTCCTGTAAACCGATTTTTGGAAACTTTTAGTATGTCACTCTACAGACCCTAAACTACAAAATAAAACCATAAACCATTTTCTTGCAATTTTTTAACGTTCCCTGCCTCAGTTTTTTTTAGTTTGCTTGGACTAATAGATTTGGCAAAATAACAAAAAAATTTGAGGTTTTATTGTAAAATTTTTTTATATTTTCGTATCTATTAGTCTTATAACCAAATTGTTATACTTATATTATAGGAAATTTAATTGCCTACAACACTGATATTACATATATTTCGCTAAAACACACCAAAAGGGAGGTATAAGCAAAAACTTTAGAAAGTACCGATTTTTTTGATTTTTCAATATGGCGGCGGGGGCAGAGGGGGGAGAATTGTGCATTTTTAATTTTAAACCTACTTACCATCCTAGACAACATATAAAAAATTTAGACTTAACGGACCGTTTGTAAGTAAAACCCCCTATTTTTGTCTCTATTTACTGGACTATTAGTAATTTGTCAATTCTCGATACCAATTCTCAAAACCACCGACTCTTGGATACTATTACAAGTACCATAAATACATCTAGATTCGGACACCGTTTTATAGTTGTCTCATAGTTAAGTTATAGCATAGATAAAACATACTCCCCCAAATAGATTTCTCATCCTAATGGAACAGCTGAAGACAATTTTACTGTTAGTTCTGTACGGTTTATGTAGAGGTCGTGTTTTGTTTACAATTTGTTTCCCGTTATTACAGTCATTTAAAACCTCGTTTAACCAAATAATACGATCTAATCATAAACAATAACTTGTCTCCTAGTTATATAACCAAACAGTAAAGCACAAATCAAAAAATTAACCCTAAAATAATAGAAACAAAATTTTGTTGACACTAGCGCCCAGTGTCACCGTACATGAACTGGACACGAAAAACGTGCGTCAAAATTTACAATGGGATGACAAGTCTACTTGTGTTGTTTAGTCTATGGTTATAGGTTCTAGTCAGAGTAATTTATTCTCTGAATAGGTACAATTTGTTACCATCATACATCTCAATCGTCAAATACCAAAGGAACTCATTTCTTTTTTTTAAATACCATAAAATATATTGATTATGGTATATATTACTCACCATTCCTGGAAAAGAGGTCTGCATAACAGTTGGTATGACTGGAGGGGGACCCATCTTGAACTTCTCTTGCTCCATAACTTCCTTAATCAATGAGTCGATTCGCTGAATGGCCACTGAGGAAAACATTTTGGCTATTAGTCAACAGTATTCAGAACCAGCAAGACAGACATGTGGAAACAAATTGTATTGTTGTTTTAGCTAGAGGTGCTATACATTGCTGTTCTGTACCACATGCCCAATTTTATGTGTTTTGTACCTGACGACCTAAAAATTCTGTTGATAATGTTTCTTTACCTACTTGCTTGCATACTTGTAGTTTCTGTCCGTAGTCCAGAGGCAGGAATTGGACAGGTGAATAGGGTAACAAAACAATATTAATAAAAAATAACTTATATAAAAATCACATTCTAGGCCAAATAGCTCCGTTTTGTGAATTTAGAAAACCTTCCATATCATAGAAACCATTTTTTGTCAGGAAAGATTTTATTTCTGTTTTTAATTTTGAGATTTTTTTTTATATTTTGGAGTTGTTTTGACAGTGCCTGGACAAATTTTAATCCAGAATAGTGGGGTTTTTGTTCAAACAATTTTAGTCTGTGTTGTTGAACATGAATTCCTTTGTTTCTGGTGTTGTATTTGTGATCTAAGAAGTGAGATTGAATGGTGTTGTTGTTTTATGTAAACTACTGCTTCATAAATGAAAATTCAAGGGATAGTTAAGCGTCCAAACTGGATGAATGCGTCTCCCTCAAATTAATAACTTGGATTAATAACTTATCCCTCAAAGTTTATCAGGCTACTGATTTGAAAATATTCTATTGAGTTGGATAGGGATATGCTTGTGATAGTTTGACCTGAATATACACCTCACTTTTTACAAATCTCAGCACATATCAGAGATAGCCTAAATGAATTTTCGACAGGTTGCTGGTCCCCAAAACCAATAAGAATTAAGAATCACAATGGGCACCCCTTGAATGCTATAGGTTACAGACAACTCCATTGGAAAAACTCCAAGTTAGCCTACAATTTTCTTTAAACAATATATTACTGTACTTTTACTTATTCATTTATCCTATTTATGTTTTTGGCAATCACACAGATTTAAAGATCTGATAGACTAGTTTAAATAAAACGCCATAGCCTAGATCTTAAAACTACAAAATAATTGAATTTTAATTAGGCTACTTGAAAAAAATCAAAAGTTCACATGTTCGAGAAACAAAAATCAATTTCAGCGCAAGTTCTAGCTAAAATAATCTGTGACAAAACAATTTCAATCGTTCACTGAACTAATCATTGAAGGATCATACATTGGAAACTTGGAATGTATCATATTTTATGAAATGATCTACTGCCTAATTAATTGCTAACTGCCTACTGCCTAATTGCATTTGATAAAATGGTTCATATGTTTCTGATTATGGACAAACAACTAGGTCAACCTAAGCGGTTTTGAACACTTACAATCCAATGATTGTTTGTTAGGTCCTTGAATGAATAGATACAATGGTCTCTCGCCCTTTGGAAGTTTGTCCTTGTCCTCTGGGTTAACGTATCGTCCCCTTGTTGAAATTGAAGCTCCTGGAGTGAAAACATAATTATAAAAGTTTATTAGGATTTTTAAGAAGGATAGCAGGCTTACCTGGATGGGAAAGAGAACAAACTGGCTCAAGAAACGAAGAAACACAAAAATTCACACTAAGAAGTACCTACATGCAAAACCTTTAAAATATTCACCGTCACTGACAGCAATTTCAACCTAGGAACAGAGTTTTTCAGGCCCATTGGTCAGACTATTGTCTATTTTTATATGATATATGTAAGGATTTGGTTATGGCCAATAGGGCTGTGCATACTGGCAATAAATCAAGACAGGTCACTAAATAACATATAAATGGAAAAGCCCTCAATCACTGATTCTCGAACTTCCAGACTAGCAAGGAAGCTAAATTTCAGTTTTACCCATTTTTCAGTTGAAAAATAGGAAAGTTAAAGAGTTTTCATAACGGATTTACAAAAGGGTTATGCCCTAAAAACCCTTAAAAATCCAAAGTTTTTTTGCCATTTTGTTTATCATATACAGTAGACTCCCTCTCATACGGACACCTTTTAACCGGACACCTTTTAACCGGACATCGGTTTAACTGGACTACAGTCGACGGAAATGACATCTCTTTAACCGGACAATTATTATCAGCACATTGGTTTAACCGGACTAGATTGGCAGGAAGTGGGCGGGACTGTAACGACTGTTCTTGTGGGAAAGATTTGAGACCAGTGATCACATGTCTAAATACGATGCTCTCCTAAATTTAAGTCGAATATCACCGTAAACGGTCCATTTTAATGAGTTTTTGGGGACGTCGGCTTAAACGGAAAAACCGTTATCCGGACTGGTCTCGGTCCCGAGGAGTCCGGATAAGAGGGAGTCTACTGTACTATCTGTTTGAAACTTGTTATCTACACCACATGTTTTTGTTTATTTTTCATCAATATTGATATTCTGTGTCCTATACTATAATACGAGCTATGTCTGTTTGTCTGTCTGTAATATATATCTTGGAGTCCAGCGGAAGGATTTTGACTAAATTTTGGAATTAGGGACTCATAGCCCTAATAACGTGATAGGTGACAGCCACTGCCTCAGGAAAATTCGGATTTCGCTACACAACTCATTTGAAAATTGAACAATTTAACCTTGGCCTTATGTTGGTTGAACAAAATAACAAGGAAAAAGTAATCAAAAGAATTGCCACTACTCACATGTTTTTATAAAAAGCCATCCACAGTATACTAGCAAATCACAAAATACAGTAAAAAGGGAAAACATGTCTTGAGCAAAGATTACACTGAAGATTACTCAATATAGGGGAAAATAGTTCTGTTCAAATACTGATTATTTTACTAAGCCCTCCCACCAATTAATTGGCATAAAACTATTACCGTATGCTAAATTCCAATGAAAAAAAAAAACAGAGAAGTAATATCTCAATTTTTTTAGAAGTAGTATCGAAAAAGTGAAAAATCATTGCCACAAGACATGTTGAAACTAATATGATTTTGTTTATATAATATTTTTTATTTGCTGTCTGTAGTGGGAGTAACAGTTAAACAACGGGTTTCAATGACTAGAGGGGAGAACAATTCTGTGCGAGTACTTAAACTTAAGCAAGATCATAAAAATGTACCTTTTTTAATTCTATGCTTTTACATTTCAGAGTTTTTATTATTTCAGCGATCAAATATCTGTGTATGGTTTGTAATAAAAATGTTTTTTTCATAAATAATCAAATGTATGTTTACAATATTGTTTTATTTTAACTATTAAACACTATTAAACCCAATTCACTACAATCAAGCAAGGCTTGGTCCCCCGGGACTTTCTTTTATTTGGGTTTCACTGCAGCTTACGTTTGAATTCCATTTGTGCTACAATTCTTTATCTTTTGGTTGCCCATATAGAATGGGGTTTGTTCTTAATTTATGTGCTTTTAATTTGATTTCTTAAAAAAATATAGATCTTGATTTATTTTGTCTATACAAATCAAGAAAATACAAAAGTTCTTTTCAGATGACTTTGGGACAAACAAAGGTGGCATATTGTCTATTTATTTAACACTTGAACAAGTAATCTATTCAATTGATAGTTAATTTCTATTTAACTAATGATGATTCCTAAAGTTTACATCTCTATTTTACAGGTAATGGCTTTATTTAACAATTTAAAAGTTTACCCAAGTGAAGAGCAGGCAAAACAGTTGGTTTTATCATAAATTATTGGGTTGGAATAACTTCATATCAATTAACAATCCATGATTCACATTCATCTTAAGAGTGTTGGGTGAAAAAATAAATGTTCAAAATTTTATTTCCATTTGGATTAGGTATACCGGTAGCCTATTAGAAATTAATTTAGTTTCCAAAAATTTATTTTTATATCCGATTAGGTATGATATTGTAATCAAATTTGAAATTGAAATCATAACCAGGCTTGAAAGTGTTCAAACAAACGTAGGGGCTGAAGCACAGGCCCGACAAGAGAAAAAATTTGCTATTATATCTTATATCAATTATCAATCATTGATAGATGAATTTTGAGCAAATGTTTTATCGTGAAATTTTAAAGTTTTACTCATTAAAATGTAAACTTGTTGTTTTAATGTTGTTAATGTTTAATGTTGTAATGTTGTTTTAATGTAAACTTGTAACATTACAATAAAATTTAAAATATCAACACACAATATTAGTTAATACCCCATTTTTGCTGAGGGTAGTAGGGATTTATTTGTTGAAATTTTTAAAATGGTTAGGCTAGTAATAAAGTTTAAGTAGCCTAAGTTATTCTTTCCTTTTACCAGTAGATTTGTACTTTTATTTTTGGAACTTGACTTCCACAGCCAAATAGACTAGCTGCAGTACACCCCACTAATCACAGTGGTGGCATCCACACCGATTTGGGGATCAACTGAACTCATTGCCAGGGTTCCCTCAAGTCCAGCCTTAATCTGACAACCTATGTGTCCGTGCTGGGGTCAAGTATACCAATAACTTAAACAACTCTTCAAGGTACTGGAGCAATATAAATATAAAAACAAGAGAGCATTAGCAATTGAGATGGGAACGCCAGGCTAGATGTGTATTTTAATCCAAATATAAGTGAAGGATGAGTGCAGAATGTTGTGAGATGATCTGTGCAGCTTTGTTACCGGTACTGACTAAGATCAGCTGTTTCATCAGTAAGGATAATTGATTTAAAGTCCAATGATCAGGGACAGCTGGGTTTGGTTTCGAATCATCAAAAAGCTACGGTACTAACTTTTCTCAGGATCAAACCGACGACCATTGTTAGGCGAGGACAGTAAACGACTCAGCTACCCAGCCATAGGTTATACAGAGGATGGGAGAGTTTAAGTAGTAGGTATGAGAGCCAATCAAGAAGAAACATAAAGATCAATCGGTTTTTGTAATAATAATATAAGATCACATTTTAGGTTAAAATACATTGACATGGTACCTAGGCCTAAGTTACCTGAAAAGTGGTTGATTTCTTCCTGGGTGATACCCTTGGTAAGGAGATTCCTTGCAGTCACTGGGACATCGTTGATCTCAAACTCAGTTTGAAATAGATCAGTTGGTGCTTTGTTGGCATTAACAAGCTGAAATAGATAAGATTATAATTACTCGAACGCAATTTGCATTAACAAGATCTATAAAAATGCAGTGAATGTAATAGGTGTTTGACTAATTAAGTATATACAGTAAACTAATAACGTAAATCTATACAATTGAAATCAAAATTTTACCATCTCAGATCTATATGAAATTTGGTACGGTATAATTTTACTAAGCACACCCTATAGGGACTAAGAAAAATGACTTCAACTTATTATCTCAGTAAAAAAATCATGTCTCCAGTTAAAAATTAAAAAATAATAAAGAATCCACCCAATTTTGAAACTTAAAAGTGCTCTAGCACATCTTTGTCATTATGTAGCATTTTATAGGCCTAATCCATTTTTAAATAGGCCTATACATTCACAATAATAGAGGTCATTGTAAAGCAGGAAACCCACTGGTCCGACACTCTCCGACACGTCACCTTCCGTCAAGGCTCCGACACCTTCCGACAAAATTACTTTGCATTATTTTAAATGGACTGTAACCCACTAGTCAGACACGACACCTTCCGATCCGACACGTCACGACAACAATGCTCTCTGGGGCATTCTTGTCGGATGTCGGATCCGTCATTTCTCCACTCTGCGTGCACCAGGCCTAGATTTACTGTCTAGCTTTGTGTGTGATCACAATATATATCACAATAATATGTGGAACGGATATGAAACATGTGATCACAAGAGTGTGATGTTTTTGTACAATTATTGGTTACAGAGAAAATTCAAAGAATTTTTATTTTAAAATTCCCATGTTATTCTTATGAAGAATATTATAAAATATTGCAAGTTTGCTTTCTGATGGATATATTTTGATCACACTTGGTAAATTTCTTTATTTTATACTAAGTTATTAATACTTTACTAAAAACCACACTTTTTTACCCTCCCTGTAGCAGCAATCCTAGGTACTCATAAAACCTAATGTTAATTAAATACACTTAATAGAAAATCAATTTGGTTAAATAGAAATTTGCATAGTCGGCAGGTTTGCTGCGACGGGGGTATTATTGTTTACGTTTTGTACTGTACTTTTTGCTAATTTCCCTGTAGGCCTAGTACAGTAAATGTTACCGGAATTATCAAGGTGGGTCTAGGAAGGTCATTGGCCATTGTAATCTCTCATACTAACAGAGATCGTCATAAATGTTATGGACTTTTTTCATTATTTGCTCCCTAACTACTTACTACTAACTACTAACTTCTTGCTTGTGAACAGTATGTGATCACATGTTCCATCGCAACTGGCACTGTTAGATTGGTGGTGTATTTCTCGTCGGAGGCCTACTGTCGGAGACCGTCGGCCCAATGGGTTAATGCCTTAAAATTGCGGAAGGCGTCGGAAGGTGTCGGAGACTTGACGGAAGGTGTCGTGTCGGAGAGCGTCGGACTAGTGGGTTTCCTGCTTAAGAAATAATATTTTCCAATTGCAAATTGTAGGTAAATAATGAAAATTTACCTTACCGTAACATTTTTTAAAAGCAATGCTTTAGGCCTACATTTTTGTTTTCTCGAATAGTCTTTGTGTAGATATTATTATGGTATAAATTTCATAATAGGATTAGGGAGTAGCCTATATTGAATAATATTAGCCTAACTTAAGTTAAGTTTATAAGGGAAAAGTTTGAACTATGTTTTAGGCCTGTGGTTCGTTTTATATTTTCAATACTTACAATGGGGTTTGGTTTGATTTTTCCTTTCTTAGCTAAAACTGCGTCTACCCGAGCTGCTGCCTCGACAGCCACCTCGAGACTACTCTTGAGTTGGTACATAGCACTGCAACATCACATAACAATGTTTCTAGCTGTAAAATGCATTAGGCTATATTTCTAAAAGTAAAGTGGGGATTAAAGTAATAGGCTATGTCTTTTATTGTAGGCTACAGCAGAAACAAAAAGTGTTAGGAAAAATTGTTGGACAGATTAAGGATCCAATATTAGTTACGTTGAATAATTAAGATAACCATATCCAAGGAACAAGAAAACTTGTTGTTGGGTAGTAGCTCTAATATGTAATTTAGGTTTCTTTCAGTAGGGTAGACAATATAGGCTACTGCAATCAATGTCCATATCGAACCAAAACTATCAATATTTTCAATTATACAATCTATTAACTTAGTTACTCTAGGCCTACTTTGAAATCAAATTAAACAAAATGGTTTGTTTGCACAAACAAATATCATTTGTTTGTATTACAAATTTGAGCTATCATTTTTTCAATAGCCTACTTTGACAAACGTGATTGATGTTAGCCTTTCGTTTACATGTTTAAAAATATGCAGAGCCCTTCTACCACCTATGAACACCAGCCGCTACTGATTTTTTCTAGCCTAAGTGAATTAAACCCAAGCCCACCAGGCTAACTTAAGCTTAGCCTCATAGATAGCTTCTAGGGTAAGTTTATTTTTCTGAAAGGGCCACACTTTTAATTAAGTTTTGGAGTCATGATAACTTAACAATTTAAACTTCACTTAGGCCTACCCTACCAACTACCAATTTAAACATGTAAGTTACATAAGTTGGGTAAACAACTTAAGTAAAATACCCAGCTTAAAGAAAGGCTTACGGATATTATAAAAATATGCTTGGCCAAAGGCTTGTTTTAAGACTGAATGGCTCTAAGTTTAGTTTATGCCAATTAAGATCGATATGGGCCTGTGTGGCTCAAGGTCCAGAAGGTATAGAGAAGTTTGCCACTGCACGCGCGTAAGTAAGGTGCGGAGTCGCGTCTTTAGTAGTCATAAGGAAAACTACCTATGTTTAACTTTGCATAATAAGGTGACCATGGGAACCTATAACTTGGGCCTGCTTGATTTTTACATCACCATAAACTAGATTTTTACCGCAAACCATTTTTACATTAGGTTTTGTTTTCAGAAAAAGTCTAGGCCTAGTGTTTGTTGATAAATGACTTTAAAAAAAGAGGGTAAACTTACTATAGGCTAGTCTAAAGGTTCCCATGGTTACCTTAAGTAACTTATGAAACGTGTGTGTAGGCTAATTACCGCCGTATGTTTGTTAGGGTACACTTCCATATCTGTTGGCACTAAAAACCGAATGAGTAATATTGATTATTTGATTGTTTAATTCCATATATCGTTTGGATAGTTAGGAACCTTAACTTACCTAACTAACCAAACGATATATCGAATAATCGATAGGCCTACTTATCAATCGATATTTCCATTCGGTTGTTTGTGCCAACAGATTTGGAAGTGTAGGCTACCCGTTTGTGATATTTTCAGAATGGTGCACCGCGCTACCGGCCCATCCTTACAACCTTCTCCAGAAATGCCATCTAACTTTTTTAAATGTAGGCCTAGTTATTTAAGTGTATTAGGCTATTGTAGGTGGTTATGTACAAACAACTATGTTATCTAACACTGGGTTTTAGGTTACCAATCACTAGAAATCGTTATCAAACACTAGGGAAAGTGTAAACATTTCAGAAAGTATTTTTTTTAAACTTACTTAAACCTAATCAGTATCAGGATCAATATGGTATTTTTTTTACTCACTTGTGATAAAAAATAAAAATTCTATGACATGATGAAATAAAAAAATGAAGTTATTAAATTATGAAACATTGGGTAGGCTAGATTACCTACCCCAAAAACTCAACTAACCCTGCTGGCGAAGGCTCTCTTACTTTAGGCCTAGGATGAAAGATTGGGTTAATAGAAAAAATTTTGGGTACACTTCCGTATCTGTTGTCAAAAACAACCAAATGAAAAATTATTTGATTTATCGATTATTTCTTTCGATATTAACTTAGGTCTTTATTATTTTTGGTTTAGGCCTAGTTAGGTAAGGTTAACCTAACTAACCAAACGATGTAGGCTTTCAAATGAAATAATCAATATAACTATTCGATATTGGTAATTATTTGGACGTAGTGACTACTCGCAAAAGTGAAATTTTTGTTTTTCATAATGACCTAAATTTCACGCTGAATCCGAATATGACGTTTTTATTTTTCGGAAAATACCGGAAATTCCCGAAAAAAGGGAAAAACGGGAAAAAATATTTTTTACTCAAAATACGTCATGTGGGTACTCAAAATACGCGGGATATTGTGTAGATTAAGAATATGCAAGAATTTTTTTGATCCGATGAAAAACACCGGAGATAGGGCGAAAAAACGGTGAATAATCGGTTAGGTTAGGCTTGGTTAGGTTAGGTTAGGTTAGGTTAGGTTAGGTTAGGTTAGGTTCGGTTAGGTTAGGTTCGGTTCGGTTAGGTTCGGTTCGGTTCGGTTAGGTTTGGTTAGGTTTGGTTAGGTTCGGTTAAGTTTGGTTAGGTTCGGTTAGGTTAGGTTAGTTTAGGTTAGTTTATCAATAACATGAGTATTGTAAGTAAACTAACCTAACCTAACCTAACCTAACCAAACCTAACCTAACCTAATCTAACTCAACCTAACGTAACCTAACTCAATCTAACATAAACAATAATAATAAAATAAAGACCAGCTGATCAGCTGGTATTTTAACACAAACAAACGTTAAACAAAAAATCTAAAATAACATCGCACATTTTCGGGTTAGGTTAGGTTAGGTTTGGTTAGGTCAGGTTAGGTCAGGTTAGGTTTGGTTAGGTAAGGTTAGGGTAGGTTAGGTTAGGTTAGTTTACTTACAATACTCATGTTATTGATAAACTAACCTAAACTAACCTAACCTAACCGAACCTAACCTGACCTAACCAAACCTAACCTAATCTTACCGAACCGAACCTAACCTTATCTAACCGAACCGAACCTAACCTAACCTAACCTAACCTAACCAAGCCTAACCTAACCGATTATTCACCGTTTTTTCGCCCTATCTCCGGTGTTTTTCATCGGATCAAAAAAATTCTTGCATATTCTTAATCTACACAATATCCCGCGTAGGCCTATTTTGAGTACCCACATGACGTATTTTGAGTAAACAATATTTTTTCCCGTTTTTCCCTTTTTTCGGGAATTTCCGGTATTTTCCGAAAAATAAAAACGTCATTTTCGGATTCAGCGAGAAATTTAGGTCATTATGAAAAACAAAAATTTCACTTTTGCGAGTAGTCACTAGCCTACGTCCAAATAATTACCTCGATATTTTAGTTCGGTTGTTTTTGACAACAGATTACGGAAGTCTAGCCGGCCTAGCCTTTGGATGATATAGGCCTTGCCTACAGATGATAAGTTATAGGCCTAGCCTAGCTAGAATTAAGAATTATTTAATAATGGCCAATACAAAATGGGGTACTATGCCTAGCTCTTGTCAAATCCCATCCTCAGCAAGGAAGTTTTAACATCAGCCTCAACACAGGCTTTACCTAGGCCTAGGCCTAGGTAACGTACCTAACTTACTTATGGTAACTTGTTTTCTTAATTAGCCTATAAAATAGGCACTGTTAAGTTAAGTTAGGTAGCCTATGTTAAGTGGGCTACAAGTTAAATTTTGTTGACTACTCACTCAAATAAACATAGTTTAAAATATTTAAATGAAGGGTTGTATATTGATTGTGTTGAAAGATCAGTTGGTTGCGGGCCACAGCCTAGAAATCTAGGTTTAACTAGAGAAAAAGATATGTTATTGAGGACAATGTATGACACTTTTTCACCGTTAATACAGTAAAACACTGGCACTAAATAATTTACTACTGATATGGATTGTTAGAAATTAATTGTACTGCAAGCTCAAGCTAAAAAAAACTGAGTGCTTTGCTTTGCTTTTCATTTCAATAATAGGTTTTTCGTCTTTCTTTCTGTGTTTTGTGTTTCTAGTTTCTTTCGTTCTTCCACTTTTTTTTGCAAAAAATGGCCGGCTTTGTTAGGTCTTGGTAAAAACAATGCAGCCGCGTGGTTCAATATTTTAACTTTTTAATTTTGGTTGCTTCCTTCGGGCTAAGGGAGTATGTTTAATCTATGCTTCGGGTTAGTATGGCATTGTCATCTGAAATGAACAGTTTTTTGTTTTTTTTTTAGGTTGGCGGCCTCTTTTTACCTTGCATCATTGACTATAGTCAATGGTTTTAGTTAATTAATTAACGTGGTCTACTGTAGTACACAAAGGCGAAGAGCGAAGGGGAAGAAGGGGGTTGTGCTGGATAGCTGGAATTTGCTTGCGCATGACACCTCCCCCACTTATAAGTTTACCACTCAGTAACGAGAGGTGTGCGCCAGGGTTCCGTCCTCGGACCGACCTTATTCCTTCTATTTGTAAACACTTACCCACTTGCACAAACAAGGCAAACGTTTGTATGTTTGCCGATGATATATCTACTGTATCCAGTCATTCGACAGAAACACTTGAACAATCGATTTTTCTTGAATCTAATAGCCTGCTCCAATGGTGTGAGGATAATCATCTTGTCCTAAATGCCAAAGAAACCTTCTTTTCCAATTTAGCAGTTCAAATCATCAAACCAAAAAAAAACAAGGGACATTTAGCTTACTGTTGGGTGAAAATGAGATCCATCCCTGTCAAGAGGTTAAGTTCCTTGGTGTGGTCCTTGATGAAAATCTTAACTGCCACAAGCATATCAAAAATGTCACGACAAAAATATCAGTAGGTATTTCCATGCTTCGTATGCTTAGCCAAACAGTAAACTCAGAAGTCCTCCTGTCTGCTTATTATGGTCTTGTATATCCATATTTTTCCTATGCTGTCCCTGTCTGGGGTAGTGAAAGTGAAAAGACTAAGTTTCTTTTCCGACAACAATTGAAAGGCATCCGCATTATATTTTCTACCCAAACGTCAGTCCTACAAAGACATTTTCAAAAAAATCCGAATTCTAACCTTTCCATATCCATATACATTTTTGAAACATTATCCTTCACCAGAAAGAATATCTTCTTTTCGTTCACATCTCAACAACAGATATCCATTTCGCAATTCTTCCGACCTTGCAATTCCTAATCACTCAACGTCATTCTTCCAAAAGAATTTTCAATACAATGCCGTCAATTATCAATTATTTAAGATGGGAACGCCACTATGTGCGTATTTTTACCCAAATTTGAATGTAGGATGAGTGTAGGATAAGTGGTCTTGTTAGTAACTAAGGCCGACAATGTTCCTTAGACACAGCTGTTAATTAATAGCCCATACAGCTAATGGCAACTAAGGGACCTACAGTTTAGAGTGGAATCCGAACCACATTTTCCTTGGTATTTAACAAATTGGACTAATTATCAGGATAGTACTGCGGATCGTCGAGTACTCACTAGTGTGGACGTTAATCCACACCAGGGAGCATCACATCCACAGTGTATGCCTATAAATATGCACAATTCGTGAACTCCTAGTAGCTGGATTACAGGACGACGCCACCCGTCCCAGTCAAGCTTTTTAATAACCTTCCTCCTTCCCTAAAGACCAAACAGGATTTAAATAGTTTTCAGAAAAAACTAAAGAATTTTTTGCTGGATAATGCGTTCTGCAGCGTTTGTGAGTTTTTTGCCCTAGAACTGGTAGTGTAAATACAGTAGCATAGTTGACCGTTTTAATTTATATAACATATTTTTTATGTAAATATTGTAGGCTATTTTATTTTTTTGACGTAGCTTATGCATTTTATGTTAATTTTGCTGAATAAACGACTTATGACACAATGACTTATGAATGTTTATTTTGTTCCTTACTTCTCTGTGATTATGTATACATGGTTGGGTTGGGCCTTGAATTTTCGTATAGTATTGTTTAGATTTTAATTCTATCGTCGGTGGTATTATTATTAAATCTATCTCTTTAGTACTGTATCCGTCACCATCTTGTTTGTCCTTCTACAACATGTTGAAATGAAGAAGACAATTGTCTGCTGCTGTGTTGCTGTCATATTATTTAATTTCATTATTCACAACACTAGTTTTATTGATTTCGAAATCAAAAATTTTGCTCTCAAATTGAAATTAATTAAGGCAAAAATTATAACCCATGACGTATTCTTGTTTGCTTGTTTAAATGTGAGGCGTGCTGAAAAATTTTCATTGGAACTCAAGACTTTGTGGTCTGTATAAATACTGTGTTTCCTATCACGTGTTAAGTAAATATCATGTAATATTATTTTAACTATTTGATTAGGGCCTACTTCTAATAGGTAGGCTAGCCATACGTAACTTATTTTAATTTTTTTTTTTCATTTTGTCACAAAATCCAAAATTTTGACTAGGCCTATACTAAGTAAATTTCAACTAGCCTTATGATAGGCCTCCATTACTTAAGCCTACAACATTAGACTTCCTGTAATCTTTGAACGAGTTGGGTAAAAGGTCTATGCCTAGTCTAAATGTTACAAGACCTTGCCTTATCTAGGATTGATAATTGAATTGATAATTGATGCCCTAGGTTACTCAAACTTAGTTGAAGAATCCTCAGAAGCCTAAAACATTCCGTTCAAATTTTGGACTAGGCTTATGTAGGTAGCCTAATGTGACTCCATGAACTTGTGAACATTTACAAATTTTTAATAGCCTAAAATGTGGGAAAATGTGTTTTAAGTTAAGTGACTCTTGGTAGTTAATCTGGACTAAGAGGCTAAGTAATGCCGTTGTTAGATAAGATTGTTAAGTTAAATTAATTTGCGATCCAGACCATTCCAGCTATGGGATAGTCCTAAATTTAATTATTTATCATTTTTCTTTGTGAGGGATACAGTAGATTTAACATAAAAAAATAACTAAGTAAATTTTTTTCAGTCTCATTGAGAATTGTTTAACAAATTAAGTAATAATTAATTGCAAAATTCTTATCTACACCAGATTGTTCATCCATGAGTTAAGTTTACTTTGCTTCAACATGGTTGTTTCGTTTCTGTGTTTTGTAGGCCTATTTCTTTACCATATTAATATTTTAACATAGACAATGCCAGCTATTCAATCTAGGTCTTCGGGAGATAAGCTCGCTCATCAATGAATTAGCAAAAACAATGGTTAACATTTCGGAGGTTATGTTGAAAAGGTTGAGGTGGGAAACACAAACATTCAGCATGTGAACCACTTCATGATCATGATCATGAGCAGTGTGTTATTAGAAGCCTGGCTTTATTTGACCCTGCATTTGATTATGAAGCTGAATCCATCCTACCTTGATTTTGTCAGAGGAAACGGTCATATTGATTATCAGTACTTAAACTACCGGTACTCATCGTTATCGGTGATGGGAGCTGTTTGATATAGCCTATATATGTAGGCTAGTGTACAATCAAATTTTCTGTCACAGCTGTATGACTCATTCCCAGACTTTTATTGCTTTTATCAGGTCATATACTGTATCCTTCTTCAGGGATTTAAAATAGTCCATTTTGCGACGGTGTTGTCAAGAAATTCACACGTAAAAAACATAACCAGTCTACATCATTAAAACTCCGTTGTAAAGGCCCGTTCACACGGGGCGAGTTTACAAGCTACACGCCAGCGTGTAAGAAGCCGGCGAGTTGGCGAGTGTGCTTGTATTCGTTCACACGGAGCTTGTCCACTCGCCAACTCGCAGACGTGTAGAAAGACGCCAGCGAGTCGGCGAGTGCGCTTGTAGTCGTTCACACGATGCTTTTTCCACTCGCTCAGTAGCTGGCTTGAACCAAATTCTCCAACATCTTTGAGTAACAAGCGCACAAGCACAAGCAACTGTGTTCACACTGGGCTACTTTACACGCCTACTCGCGCAAAAGCTGGCGAGTTGGCGTGTAAAGTAGCGGCACCGTCAACTTTTTCCAGAGCTTTTTTACAAGCAGCTTTTGAGCGAGTACGTCGTTCACACTGAGCTATTTTACTAGCTGCGTGTAAAAAAGCCGGCGTGTAGCTTGTAAACTCGCCCCGTGTGAACGGGGCTTAAGACACCATTGTGCCAAAGTGGGGGACAGTTCACGGTCATCTTTATACAATCTTATCAGAATGTTTTTGTTTGGACGAAGAGTTTAATATTAAAGTCAAGACTACTTAGTATTTGTTAACGTTAAATACCAAATTTTGGTGTCTTGATATGTCTATTTCTTTGTTTGTATCATTTAAATACAGATGAGTTAGAGCAGTAACAGAAAATTTGGTTTGGAGCTCCTGAAATAGGGGCCTAATATAAATATACAGTCAGGTGATTTATTATTACAGTCAATCATGTCAATAAACTAACATGATTGACATTTTTTTACTACAAAAATCAATATCACTGTTTAACCACTGGCCAAACAGTCCTTTTAAGGACTAAGTTACTGCATGTATTATTATGGAAGCTACCTAAGCAACCCTATCCAATCTCAGAATAGTGATACCCTTAGATGGCAACTGTTTGCTGAGGGTTAATTCACTGTACCTCAATATCCCTTCCCAAACAACAAATGTTGACTCATTTAATACTTGACAAAACTATATTGATTCGTACGGTACGTCCAGAGTGCACCCGATTCAGATTTTCGGCATCAGGAATGGCACTTGCATTTTAATGGAGGTGTCCGCAGTGGCTGCCGGTTTCCAAGTCCGCGCGCAGGCACCTGCTTACCGGAATGAATTCTTCATTCTGGTTTCAGATTCCGATTCAGATTTTGCTCGTACGCATACTATATAGTTAAATAAATTACGTTGTTATTAACATTTTTTTTTCATTCTTACTTTTAGGGTTATCACTAAACGGTCTTCAGGATTTTTTGTTTATGTAGGTTACACCACTTTTGTACAATACAATGTCCAAAATTTTAATAATAAGTTTCGGTGGTTTCGGGCTCCATTCATCGCAATATAGAAAGAAGCTCTATCAGTTATAGCTATAGGAAAAGAGTTATATAATATCATGAACACCATTTTTTACTGGCTGTAACTTCACAACATTTTTAGACGCTATAATTTAACACGTTAATTCCTCATCCGACAATTCCATAACAAGGAATGACTTGCTTCTTTGCAAACCGGGTCAGTACCGGCGGCGTATTTCCTGCTTCCACTGTGGCCACCAACAAAATATCTGACTCAGATTAACCACGTGCCGAAAATCTGAATCTGAATCTGCGTGCACTCTGGACGTACCGTTAAATGTGTGGTTGTGTTTGATGCTTATCTCTTGTATATGTTATGTAGGTTGTTATAGGTACAATGATGAGACCAAAAGGTTTTACCGGTACTGTTAGAGATGCGCCTGAACTCATTGACCTCGAATCAAGTGATGAAGAAACAGAAAACATTAGTGTAGAAATTGTTGACTTGGATGAATCAGAGGTAGTTGAAGAACAAAGAAAGGATGAAAATCCTCCAGGAAATTCATCAGATACAAACGTTAACCTTGGTCCGGTTGAACAAAAAATATTGAATTCGAAAGCTTCGTCTCCTTGCTCTAGTTCAAACGATACCTCAAAAAGTATTGAAAAAAATATTTTAAAACTTAATGACTTAGAAGAATTGGTTGTTGATTACATAGGGGAGTCAGAAGAACAAGTTATGGGAACGAGTAGGCCTATATTAGATGACTCAGACATTATTGTCATTGATTCAGTAAAGAAAAACTCTCCTACTAAACAGTTTTTATTCAACACAAACACTAGGGATGTTCTCAAAGACTCAAATCGACAAGTTAAAAGAAGAAAATTGGCTGACGAAAATGTTAGGGACGTAGAAGTTGTAGAAATAATTGACGATGAAGTCATTGTCCTGGATGACAGCATAGTATTAACAAATTCTAATGAAAATCCAACCAGTGTTAATACATCATCGAGCAGTGCTCCAGCCATTCCGCCTTTTCCAGAGAGTCAACTAAACGATCAAGATAATGTGGTTTCAAGTAAAAATCTGTGTAGAAATAGTCAAGACAATAAATCTCGAATTTCAAAAAAACCAAGAAAGAGAAAAAGAAAGTCTGCGCCTCTCACAGGCAATCAATTAAAAGATTGCAATGTGGTTAACTTAAACGAAAATCAGTGCGAAAAAAGTCTAGAAGATAAATCCCAAATTGCAAGCCAACCGAAAAAAAAATTTAAATTGGCTTATCACCGGCCAGCCCATCTTGTCTCTCCTTTAACTCAACCTTCGACTTCCATCCCCTCCGCCAAAACAGAAACAGTCACCAACATCTACAACCCTAACGCACAATCTGCAGAGAAACGTTCGGGACTGAGGCCGATCGTCATTGATGGCAATAACATTGCCATTAGGTAAATGCTTTGTTTTTTGTTTTATTTTGAATTTTTAACTGATATGGTTGAAGTACTTTAGAGTGTTGAATTGAAAATAAGAAAAGTAGATGAGTCTAGGAAGGTTTTCCTATACACATTACTCAATGATACGGTAAACATTAAACAATTTTTTTTCTTCATTATAATTTTAGTCTGAAATATCCTAAGAATTATTCTTAAGACTGGACCAAAATATGCTAAGACTTAGTTTTACTTTGTGAGGATGATTTATAAAAAGTTTTCAGTGTTTTAAAAATCTGTCGAAGTGTTAAACAGAGGATATATTTTACTAGTCTTGGATTTTACACTGCAGATTGCATTGCAAAAAATGTGCTAATGATGAACCAGAAAAGTAGGCCTAGGCTAAAAATTTAGTTTTGTTACTTTTACATTATGTTATTTTTACAATAGCCGTGTTAGAAATTTTTTTTCATTTTAAGGACAAAGGTAAGACGGTGCCATCGATCTCTATTATTACAACTGGATTGCGCGCTGTACTGCTCAGAGATACACACATATCGGTCCGCCGCTCCCCCACCACGTAAGGTATTTACTGTCCTCTCTCTTACTCATTATGTCTTATGGCGTTTCCGCGTTTGCGCTCACAAATCACGCTATTTCTCTGTTCATAGTGGCTCGATTGTCAATTTTTTTACACAGTTGTAATCTGCATGAAACTGCGGAGATTATGGTATATGCTTTATATTAAAATAATCCTTTTTTAGATTATATTAATTCTTAAATCTACTAAATTAATTATAAAACTGTTATCATTGCTAATGGTTAATTAACGTAATTTAGCATACACACTTAATATGTTTTTAAAGTTTGATCCTATGTTTTAAAAGCATTTAACGTGTAGGAGAGGACCCATGCTGATCCGCAGCTTTAAAATAAATATGTTATCCAAGAAAATCTAATTTATGATTTTTGATTGAGTAAAACAGTATCTTGAGCTTAATGAAATGAAATGAAATGAAAATCCTTTATTTCAACAGGCAAAGTTAGGGCCACATGGCCTTTTCTTACACTTAACCTGCATACATAATTATAAATATAAAATAGAATATACAATTTAACTCATTATTTACACAAAAACAATACTTTTTTGACAAAACGAAAACAAAATGTCTAACAACAAAAAAAGTCTCACACAGCCAGTCAGCAATTACGCAAGTGCCAAGAGGCCATACGCTCAAAGTACATTTTTTTCAGTGCCGCCACGAACCGAGGATGACTATCAAGCATTTTGATGGATAAAGGTAGGTTGTTCCAAAGACGGCAGGCAGTTACAACAAAGGCCCTGTCATATGCTGTACTCCTATGATGAGGTATGCGTAACGTGAAAGATGCAGTGCGTGAACTCCTCAAGCTACCTTCGGCAAATTAATGAATTCAACTTAACTGATTCAAACGATCAATAAATCATATTAAAGCCTATACGTTACTGATTATTTTGAGTCCAAAACATATAAAAATAATGAACAATACTGGAGCTATATTGATTTTTAATCATAGAAATGTAGCTTGTCCCCGTCCCTAAATCAAGTGTAATATTTAGTTGTTTTTTTGCTTTTGTATTTAGGTCAAGTTGTAACAGTTTCCTTAGTTCTTTTAGGCTTTTTAGGCTTATCTAACGGTAAATCGCGTGATTTCAATGCAAGTGTAAGAACAAAGAGACGCATTGAAGTTACTATGATCCCGTATTGGAATAGGGAGGGGGCACACGGGCATTGTCAAGGTATTAAAAGCACTTTACCCATCGTACTGTCGACAGAATCATTGATCTTCCTCATAATGAATATATACTCACACATTCGCATCTAATAGTTCAAATAAACCTTAAGTATTCAGCATCAAAATTAATATTATTATTTTATCTTCCCAATCTCATTACTAGTCTACTACATTACTAGGGCCTACTCTCTATTAATTAGAGTAGTGATGGCAGCGATACCTCTTGAAGACCCTTGACTTTTCTCACGACCAGGACAGAATACGGCAAATCTCTACGTGCATACCTTTAATTTTAGACCTCAATCATTGAAATCGGTCGGGTAAAAGAGCCAAATGAACTCGGAAAAAAAAACCTAGTTTTTTAAATATATAAGATTTTTCATATCAGTAATAAATTATGCGTCATGCAGCTAACTTAACCAAAGTCATATATTTGTTCAGTTGGAGTGCCAAATGAAACGAGCCCCAAAAGGTTTAGAATAGGTTATGAGAAAAAACTTGTTTACGAAACAAACCATTTGTGTATAACAATAATATTTCAATACAATACAATTGTAAAGAATTTACAATTTTACAATTTACAATTTCCCATGTGTTTTGAACAGTATTAATTTGTGCAACTTTTGCCGAAGACCAAATTCCCTTATTTCCTAAAATGTTCCTAAATATGTTCCTAGACTCACAATTAATTGTGGCAATCAATTGTATAATTTTGAAAACTTAAAAAACTATAAAAAAATTATGACAACTTCTCTAATCTCTGATGATTTTGTCATTATTCATTAAATCAACTTTAATTGGGTTTAAAATGATTTGTTTATAAGTACAAAGTAGTATGCATTTAGTAAATAAGATAGCCTCAGACCTCAGTATTTTAAGAGGCTTAATAATAATAATTTACTAAAAAAATGTATTACGCCAGGCACATTTCTTGTTTTAATAATAGTACAACGGGTGAAGTGCGTCTCTTTGTTCTTACACTTGCATTGAAATCATGTGATTCGCTGTTAAATGTGTCGACATAGGAGTTGGTTAAATAAGCCTAAAAGGCCGAAAAGAACTAAGGAAACTAATAAAACTTTACCCAAATACAAAAGCAAAAAAACAACTAAATATTACACTTGATTTAGGGACGGTGACACGCTACATTTCTATGATTAAAAATCAATAGCACCAGTATATTGTTCATGATTTTAATATGTTTTGGGCTCAAAATAATCAGTAACGTACAAGCTTTAATTTGATTTATTGATCGTTTGAATCAGTTAAGCTCAAGATACTGTATTACTCAATCAAAAATCATAAATTTGATTTTCTTGGATAATATATTTATTTTAATGCTGCAGATCAGCATGGGTCCCCTCCTACATGTTAAATGCATAAAAAACATAAGATTAATCATTAAAAACATAAGTGTGTATGCTAAATTAAGTTAATTAATCATAAGCAATGATAACAGCTTTATAATTAATTTAAAAAGTGGCAATAACAAACCGTATTTAGTAGATTTAAGAATTAATATTTTCTAAAAAATAATTATTTTGATATAAAACATATACCATAATCCCCGCAATATCATGCAGATTACAACTGTGTAAAAAAATTGACAATCGAGCCACTATGAACAGAGATATAGCGTATTTTGTGAGCGCAAACGCGGAAACGCCATAAGACGTAAGAGAGAGACAGTAAATACCTTACGTGGTGGGGGGAGTGGCGAGCGGTCGGACCGAAAACCCAGCACACAGCACGCGTTCCAGCTGTAGTAATAATAGAGATCGATGGACGGTGCAGTCATGTTATTGGTTCATTCCACGGCTTGTTAATTACTTCAAAATTTTAATCCGATCATGGTGTATAACTCTTTTTTTTGCCTTGAACGAAAGACACAGTTTAACTATGATTTTTGTAAGGATATCAGGCTTGCCAGATTAGGAAGGAGTCCAAACTGGCACTGGAAACGAGAAAAAAAGGAAATTTCATTGTTACTGACACCATTTTTAACTAAAGAAGTTTGGCGTTGGAGAGAGTTTTCTCTAAAGAGGAACTTCAAATCTCTTACCTCAGGAAACTGCTGTCAGTGGCAGTGAAATATTCTAATATATTTTGTATACTGTTAAGTTTTGTGTTTCTTTTTACTGTTAGGGCTCTTTGCCATTCAGGTAATCCCCAAAAAATCCCATAAACTTAGGCCCTTTTCCCATCCCTATAGTTCTCTGTGGTTAAACTAAGATGAATACGATTACAATATCTGGAGATGTAAAATACCTGGACTTTAATAACTACAGGCAAATACCCAGATATTTACAACTCTGGGTAAGTATATGGATATTTACAACTGTGGATAAATACCAGTTTTTTATAAATACCCGATAATTATTCCGCTAAACGCACAAGTTTGAATTTGGTATTTTCCCTTTTGGTAATGTGTTTATTTTGTATTTTTCATTTTAATGGATCAGATTATTGGCAAATATGACATATAATTTCAATATTTTATGTTTAAATCTATTACTAAATGTTTTTAATTGTATGTGCCCAAATTTCTTAAGATTATACAGCAGACGTAAACAGAACTATATCCAACAATGTTGATGTGTAGCTAAGGGTATATTGAACAAGCTTATTTTAAACTAAACATGTTAATTGGAACATCCCACATTTAAAACCACCTTTTTCATTTTCTAGTTTTAATTTTTATTACAAAACCATTTTGATAGAATTGTTGGCAGTAGGGGTAATATCGTTCATATCTAGACCTGTGTAGATTTTATTCATGGATTTTACTATTGGTAATCCATCTTAATAGTTTTGTAAATTTACTTAGGCTACTGTAATCATTTTTTACATGTGAATAAGTTAATTGAAAAAATGTTACCAAGCTTAGTATTTTTTTCTTTAGGAAAGTATATAGGTTATATGTTTTTATAACATCAAAAACTTTTTAAGCTGTTTAATTTTTAAAGTTTTTTTCAGTACTTAGGCCCACAAATGATTTTTTTATATTACAGTATTGGTCTTCCAGAAAATTGATAAAACCAACGATTAAGTATAAAAAATCAGAATTACCCACTTTATCAGTGCCTGCATATTTTCTACGAGTTTTTAATTCACCACATGTCGCCTATTAAGCCCTTTTACTAACAAATGACCATAATTTTTTACTAATTTTGACATGACAAATCCAATTAACTATGCAAAACACTGTTAATGTTTATACTTTTTTATAAATACCCACACTTTTGGGTACAGTTTTCCAGGCCTGGGATAAACACCCGTTTATTAATACCCAACCCACTGGGTATTTACTGGCCCACATTACTACGATAATTTCATATTACTTTTAGCTTTAAAATTTCTCTAGGGGATTTCCTAAAATAAGAAATACATGTTTACAGTAGTTTAAGATTGTGTTTGTACAAGTTTACCAATATAAATGGAGAACCATCCTCAATATGATTGGCAGTCATGGCAAGGGGACGTTCTCACTGGAAGGAATAAAAATCTGTGTCAACTTCTTTGAAAAACGCGGTCATCGGCAAATCAAGGTGTTTCTCCCTCAGTACCGAAAACACAGAGGAAACCACGACGAGATTCACCAGATGGAACGCAAAGGTCTTGTTGTCACAACTCCGAGTAGAAAAGTCAACGGGAAAGTGGTTGCCTCGTACGACGACAGGTGATGTTTTAGATTTGATATGTGGGATGTAAAAATAGCAAATATTTTCAATTTATTGTAGCGTGATATTGGGAGTGAGCTGGTCACGTGGTAAAGCATGTGACTTTGGTCCCCGAGGCCCCAGGTTAAAATCCCGCCAATCATCGATGGATTTTATCTGTGATGATGCCGCGACCTCTAGGTCATGCCTGGAGTAATGTAGAAAAGGATTTCCGACTATAATCTGGTTAAAATTGTTATTGTAATTATGTTTTGGGGTAATAATTAATCCTAGTACCAGGGAGTTTTAGAAACAATCTGTATAAAAGTTTCTAATCCAAAAATATTTTACAACTGATACTGATACATGCAGTCAAAGACCTGGTTAAAGACAGCGTTAAAATATCCATAAAGGTTTTCAACTAACGGTAAGTTACTGTAAAAGTTTGTTCCGTACTGTCAATGTTTTCTGGTTTTAGATTTGATCAATATGTACTTTCTGTCACATTGCAATTTGATATGTTTTATATCAACAGTATAACATTTAATTTTGACGCCACCAATTTTCAGGTATATCGTCCAGTATGCTGCTGAGTTTGGTGGTGTTATAGTTTCTACTGACAATTATAGAGATTTGCTAAACGAGAACCCCAGCTGGCGGGAAACAATTGAGAATCGGTAAGTGGTGGGAAAGGTTTTCATTCAAACAAATAAAAACCAGTGAAACTGGCACAAGAAACACAACACTTATTGCTAAACATTATTCCATTGATATGGACTCTTTCCCATTCTCTGCTACACTCACAAAAAAAGACCTAGGCCCTTGTGCTATATGTTGCATCCTAAAAAGTTATTAACTTAAGTCCTACATAACATAGCTAAATCCTAGGACTTCTGTAATTTTAATTTGAAGGTGTACTTTTTTGTTACACTAAGTTCAAACAGTTTGTAGTGTATTGTCATTGTATAACATTTTCCAGTGTGATTTATTGATGTTGTTTGGGTTGGAAATATTTAAATGACACTTTTTGGTCACTGCAAAGCATGAATATGGTAAAGGATGTAAATATTAGTCGATTTAATTAAGGTAGGTTTTCATAGCTGCCAAATACGGTTTGTGGGATTGTTAATGTTGTGCACATTAGCACCTGTGCTTATTAGCAAGGACATTAGCTGCAAGGATATTAGCTACAATATTCTATTGCAAGGTTGGTTTATGCGTCAGTTTTTAGTAGTCTAAGTCCAAAGATTGTCTCTTTTTAGAACGTTCTTGATATCAGAATTTGTGACGCTCTACAAATTCATGCCCCATAAATAGTTCTAACATTTTAGTCCTAATTGTTTATCCTTAGAAGAAACAAAATGTAATTTGGTACAAAGCTGCTAATGACAAGGATAAATAAATGTCTTATTTGAGACAATTGTTTTAGTTCAAATTTTAGTTTATTGAATTAAATCCTTTAGAACTAAAGCAATTTTGATCAAAAAGAAAATAACCACCAAACCAATTAAATTTGTTAACACAGTCACTGTAATGACAATTCTTTTTTACACAATAAGTTCTACCAAAAATTGTCACGGAGCTTGTCTTGTCGCTGCAGCGTGCGGGACTGCCTGCTCTCGGAGCATTTGCCTGTCTCATAGGTCGCCGTGGGATACCGTCCCTGCTGAATTCGGTAGTAGGAAAAGTAGCGTTTGGTAGTGTACAACTTTTTTCTAAGTTCTCCAATTATTGTTTGTCCACAGCTTGCTGATGTTTACGTGGGTCGACGATCTCTTAATGTTTCCACAAGATCCATTAGGCCGAAACGGACCTTCATTAGATGACTTCCTCAAATTTCCTGACTCGTAAAATATACAAATTTGTTAGTCTTCGGAAGATAATCCCATTTTTGTTTAGGCCTACAACCAATTGTGCCAATTGTGTATAGTGTAACGCTCAAATTGTTTATGAGTTTATTATAGTTGATATTCAACTTATATGCAGTGTGAATTCTTGGTTTTTTTTTATTTGTTTACTTATAAGTTATTTGAGAAAATATCTATATGTGTTGTATATAGTAGATTCGTATGTATTGAAATATTTTTGTAACTGAAGACCAAAATATTTTTGATCGAGAAAACACTAGGAAATGATCTCAAATTAGTAGTGTGCACTTTTTTTTAATGTATAGGCTATATTCATATAGAAAAATCATTTATCTGTGGAGGTACTTTTATTTATTTAATTAATTGAAGTGTACAGTTAGTTACCAAATGTATGAACGATTAAACAGATTTTTAAATGTTTGATACTTAGATTAAATATAATATGCACCCTTATATATAATACATGTAGGCGATTTCTACGAAACACTACTCCTCCGTTAATAATAGACGGATTTTTACAAACGATGTGTCAAAATTAAGTATTGTTTGTGTAGATTAGATGCCCCCTTTCACCAAAAGTCCTCGGGCTTTGCCCCACAGGCCATCAAAATCGCAATGTATTTCTTATGAATAAAGATTTTGTTTACTTTAACGGACGAATAATTTGTATTAATTGTATTAATATTGTGCTGTTCATAGTAATACATAATACACAAGAACATTCGTTTTCAGTTTTGATAACTGGAGTGGAGTGATTTTTTACATTATATTTGAGTTGACTCTTTTAAGTCATCAGAAAGTTATTTGTTTTGAAATAACGCCCGTAATACTTTGCATTGCTTGAATTCGAGCAACAGGTGCACTAGTTTCTTTTTATTCCCTGTTTATATTGCAACAAATCAGGGATGGTCAAGTCATTGTTACAGATTTTGAATCTCGAATCTGAATCCGGAATCGATTATCGCCATTATTTAATATATTTTAAGGTTTTTGTACAAATCTATTGCTTACATGATTTTTTAAACTATGCCAGAAACTTTGTTATGATTACCCTCCTTGGTAATAATAACAATGCTAACTAGATTTCTGTCGGGAAAAATACAACCTTGAAAAAATTTGTTATTAAGTTCTGTTAGTTACTACCTTGAACTAACTCACGTACACCTGGTTTGTGGGAGCGCAGGCTGTGGTCATGGTGGGTGTATCAAATATTTAAGTCTGGTCCTAAAATCTCAAATATATTTTAAGACCCAATTGATTTGTGATTGCGTTTCCACACATCACTATACCAAATAATGTTGTATTATTTGTGAATTGTGTAAAAGTTCCAAGTGTGTTTTTTTTAAATTGATATTTTAATCCAACATATATTTATTTTTATTTTAACCCTCCCTTCCTAAGTAATTATCCAATATAAGTGTGGGTGTGAATTGTGTACAAGTTTAAATTTGGTTATTTATCTATGTGGTACTTGGTTCAAATATTTTTTCCTTAACCCCCCTGTTGTTAATGTTGTCTATTAAGTTTCAATAAATCTTGGATAAGCATTTTTTGGTTTTAATACCTTTTTTTATCCAATTTTATGTAGCACACAAAATACAGGAAACAGTATAAAGAAAATATTAGGGTGTTCAGGGTATGATAATTGACAATTGTATGTTGAGAAAAAAAGTTCCAAATTTCAAACCCTTTTTTTCTATAGTAAGATCAGTGTTTAAAATCAAGTCTTGTAACAGTCTAATAATATTTTGATCAAAAGCAAAGTTAGTTTACCCAAGGAAAAATGACTTCAGTCCTGAATGTCAGCATTAAACCAGAAGCCTTTAGTTTTGGAAGTTAAACCAGGCTGGTAAATAATGCAGGTTATGAGCTCAAAAGTGTTATGCCTTGCACAATTTAGCCTACTGTGAAAAACTCAATTTTTTAAGAACTTAAATTCTAAGGGACAAATCTTTTAGGGTAAAAACACAGTGGAGCCGGGCAGGTCCCATACTCGCACATACGCAGATCCCCGCATTACGGCTGGTTACCTGGAGGGTAGCTGGGACATACACACAGTGGCGCTCAGTACAGTTGCTTGTCAGCTGCCGATACTAATATTATCACTTATAATATTAGTAGGATAGGATAAACTTATGTTTGAATCCTAGTTCATTTGCTATTTCATTCTACAGATCGTAGAGTACGTGACGGTTGTGGTGGTGACGTGTGGTTGTGGTTATGGTGGTCCAGATGGGCTTGGTTCCACAAAAGCACACGGATAAAAACCTCTGATAATAATTTGTCTACATCCATTATTTTATTTCATGTAAACAAAACAACAACCAAATAAATCAACTAAAACAAACAACACTCCGTATACAAAGAATGCGCAGTGAAAGGTCCTGCGTGGAACTTGCGAACTCGAGACGTGGCTGTCAAGTTAATATTTTCGCATGCCCCAGTCGAGCCTTTCCCGCTTGCAGCTCCCAAACAATCGACTTGGCAATTCTTCTAGCTTGCCGCCTAGCTTACTGCTACCATGTCGGCTACCTGCTAGGCACGACTGTGTGCGTACCCATAACAACGCGTGCTTTAATTCTACATCGAAATAAGCGAGTAAGCGACCAGCCAGGCTACCAGCTACCTGCCCTGCTCCACTGTGTTTTACCCTTAGGGATGATGTTTTATACTTAAAAAACGAAATAAAAATCACCATGTCATTAAAGTAAAGACATACCAGTGCAAAATGGATACAATGAAGTTGATTGACCATCAATAAATTTATTCAGTATAAATATTAACACAAGTGCCATGGTTAGAGTGAGCGTGTTTAACAAATATCGACAAATGTATTATCTCTTAAACCACTTTGGGACTTTGTTGCTCTTAGGACCGCTAGTTTTACTAGTAGAAGGTAATTTTGATTCTTTGGTGCTACTTGAAGGTTCTGAGTCTTTTACAGATTCTTCCATTTTTACTTCATCAGCATTTTCTTTCCTCCTGCAAAAAGCATTTTTAGCATATTTAAATGTTTTTTTTAACACCTATTTTGCATAATACTGGGTTTAATTTCTATGAGTACAGTAGTATAGTATAGGGCTGGGAATGATCAATTTATTATTAAAAAGCACAATGACAGCAGGGTCAGGATTGAACTGACTTCTTAAATTACTTAACCGTAAAAAAGCCTGAGGTCAAAGGTATGAAATAAATAAGGCATTTTTAGTTAGGCTCAGTATATGGACACTTTTTATAAACAATGAATTCATTTTTAAGGCTAAATTGCGAAAAAGCCAATACAGTAAAACCAGTTTTAATCACACCTCCATTAAATTGAAACTATAAAAAAAAATACCTTATAACCGTTTTTTAAAGTAGGTAGCCGTTTCAGTTCAGTTCTTAGAATTTAAAAATTTCACCTAACAGCATTGTTTTCTTTCATAACAGTATGAAAGAATGAAAGTATTCAGTATGAAAGTACTCAAAACAACATGGGTAACGGACCAATAAGGTTCAAGGCTTAAGAGCAAAAAAGTAAAATTGTAATGATTTGAACTTCAACTAATCAGCTGTTTAGGCCAATTTAATTGTTGAGTGGTGCAATTGTGTTTGTACAATGCGTTGCATCGCTGTCAGTGGCAATGAAGGTGTAAGCGAAAACACAACCTCTCTTAGAAGTTATAAGTAGTGATTTTTAGTAATTAAAACACTGTCATAGGTAAAGTAGTGTACGCAACTCACGTAAATAGTGTTATTGACACTTGTAGAAGTTGATATTTTATGCAATTGAGGCCTTTTCCGAAAAAAGGGCACATAGGCCTATGTGCCCTTTTTCCGGAAAGTAGCTCAAACGAACCGCCATATTGTACTGTGTAACCACAGTCAATTTTGTTTAGTTATCTCAACAGTTGGCTCCCTGGAATATTTTTTCCTAACAATGTGTACAGCATATAACACATTTTGTTTATCATATAAAAACATAAATTAACGACAAATTTTGAGTAATTAACATTTTGAATATCAAAAGCTGAATAGTAACACAATTAGATCTAAATTAAAATTATTTTAAGGTAATGTTAGGAAAAAATGTTGATTATGCAATTACAAGAGGAATACTTTACGTCTCAAATACTCAAAACTGCATTTTGGCCTATGAGCCCTTTTTCCAGAATAGGCCTCAATTGTTGCATATTTACTATAAAGTGATAGGAATGACAACTAATTGTCCATCATGGAGTGTATTAATTTTCCAACACCAAATAATGGAGCAGAAGACAACATGGAACTCATAATGTAATAGTGATAAATTAAATTTCATAAAACAACTTCAGTTATTGGAAGGAAGAATTAGAATTATTGGTGTAGCCAATACAGTTTGAGATTTAGGGATGACAGTAAAAAAACCTGACTTTTAGAACTATTTAAAGCAAAACAGCATTTATAAACTTACTATTAATTGACTGAAAAAGGTTATCCGAAAACGACCTTGTCCCCTTTATTTAGGTTATTTGGAGTTTTGCAGTATTTCAAAGACTAATCACTAAAATTTTACTAAATTTTACTAATTTTTTTTTTTTTACTAATTTTATTAAATTTTTTAGCCTTATGGCTTAAAGGCCTACCTATGATTTAGAATTAGGGACAAACTTTGCAGTTCCCATGTATATTGTACAGCCTACCATAGTGATATAAAATACCGTTTTACAGAGCAAAAACTTTGAGATATGGGTTTGGGCTGCTTTCCAAAACCTATATCTTAAATTGTTTATTTAAAGTGTTTGGATACATTCTCTTTCTCTACGATACCTCCTCTGAAAAATTCCACTAGCGTAGACAACAAGGAAAAAAGAGATTAAGAAAATAAATTAGAGGCAAGACCTTACCTATAGTGTAAAGCTGCCTCAGAAGCTTGTTTGGGACTTGTGAGAGAAGTCAGGTATGAAGGTTTAAGGAAGGTTGTTTCCTCACTTGTAGGGATTGCACCAAAGTAGACCAAAGCTCTTGGAGTCAACTTGGCCTCAACTAAAGTAGACTCTGGCTTCAACACACACTTCGGAGGTGCAGTGTCTGGAAAATAAACATAAGCTTGAAACAAATCTTTCTGCAAGAAATAGGTATTTGAACTGTAATCATGCAATTTTTTTGATAAAAGTAGAGATTTTTTCAAGAGGAATGGAACTTATTTTTAATTCTATAAGACAATCAACTAAAAGGTCAATTATTAAAGTGAATGCCATGGATTGTGTTTTTAACTTTGGATTTTTTTCTGTGAAAACAAAATGGTTTAACAATGGTAATCATAAACAATAAATCATCCACTAGTTATATAACCAAAAAGTAAAGCACAAATCATGAAATTAACTCTGAAATAATAGAAACAAAATCTCGTTGACATTAGCCACCATGTCACCACATGAACTAGAAACGAAAAACGAGCTTCAAAATTTACAATGGGATGGGAAGTCTACTTGTGTTGGTTAGTCTATGGTAACATTGACTGGATATAATGCTCATCCATTATAAGATGGCTGATTCAATGCTGAAAAAGTCAGAAATCTTTTGTTTGACCCAGCTGTTCCTGATCATTGGGCTTTAAATTAATGATCCTGGCTAAAAAAAACAGCTGGCCTTAGTATGTGAGCTATAAAAGGCATCCCACTCTAATTGATTTCACTCATCCTTCACTCTTTTAGCGAATTTCTCTAAAGGAATGTAGCTATTACCATAATAGGTCTCATGGTAAAACCTAGTCCCGGGAACGATTTACATCATTTTGATGTCCCCAGAGGCCAAAACCACCATCTGGTCAAAGTAGGCCCTAACTCTAGTAATATTTTTCAAATTTTTATGAATTTGGCTTGAAGGTGTAGGTTGGGATAAAGTTCAATGCGTTCGCGAACTAGGATGATCGTACGATGGAAACAGGGTTGTATGGGGTAAAAATTGGTTTTACTCATTTTTTACCCTCAAAACACAAAATTTTCAAATTTCTCTCCAGACCATTATGAAGAGCTTAAAAATAAAATAAATTTAGTACCATATGTTAAAGAATTTTTGGACGTTTATTGGTTAACGGCAAAAATTTAAAAAAATTGTATATTAAAAATTCCCATGATATTTTTATGGAAAATAAATATTGTAAACTGTTGCAGTTTGCTTGCTTATGGATATATTTTGATCAAACTTGGTAAATTTATTTATTTTATACTAAGCATGTTTTTAAGTAAGTACCCTTTCTAAATCTCTCCATTCCAGCACTACGATAGGCATTTTGGACATTTGCGCTGTGAATGTGCATCTATTGGCAAGTATGCGCCGGAAATTCTGCAACAATCGTTCCAGTTTTGCATTGGTTTGGATCCAGTTTCGAGCATTCCAAATGGTGCCGCTAATTGAGACTCCCACCGAATGTGAAGTGTGCACTGTAATTAGATTTTTAAGTGCTAAAGGTGTGAAAGCCATTGGAATTCAATGACAGATTAGTGAAGTATATGACGAGAACATTATGAGTGTAGGAAACTCATCAGATAATGAGGAGATCGTAAACCGCCTGTTCTCTCTCACGTTTTTACCGACTTTACGCACCAATTCATCAGTAATGACAGATGGCCACTCAGTGCATTGCTCATCATGAACGTTGGTGCGACCGTCTTGAAATGTCCTTACCCATTTTCGTACCATCACGTCACTCATAATGTTCTCGCCATACACTTCACTAATCTGTTGATGAATTTCAATGGCTTCTGCACCTTTGGCACTTAATAATCTAACTAGAGCGGGCACTTCACAGTCGGCGGCAGTCTCGAAATTGGCGGCACCATTTTGAGTGCTCGAAACCGGATGTAAACACGGCCTGTTGTTGCCAAATTTCTGGCGCAGACTTGCCAATAGATGCACATACACAGCGCAAATGTCCAAAATGCCAATCGCAGCGCTGGAATGGAGAAATTTAAAAACGGTAGGCCTACTTACTTAAAAAACATGCCTCATATTAATATTCTACTAAAAAACAGATAGTAGGCCTAAAGAATAGATAGTACTTCTTCTGCAGATAGGAAAGATATGTTAAAATGTGTTTTTTAGTCTTATAAATTAACTCAGCGACACAAAGATTTTGAAAAAATTATATCGTCAACAGCACAAACCTATTCAGCAGTTTTACTTTGATTCTTTTATGCTGGTACTTAAGACCAATCTGTTAAGTAACTTCTTGTTTAGCATTTTGTGCTATTGCCTGAATACCATTTAAAATACCTCCCATAGATCTGATGATAAATGTGACTGGTAAAAATCAATCTCCATTCTCACACTTTTAACATTAGGCCTACAGTATTTGTATCGGTGCATCTATTCCACTCACATTTTCAGAACACATATTTTATGGTATTTGTATAGCTAGATGTATTATGATAACAAAAAAATAAGTAAAATTAACTGAGTATTTACAAAGTTGGAACTGTACATCTGGCGAGTGAAGGAACTGTTTGATGAACTCCACCACTGTCTGTACGTTGTCTGAGTGGTTGAACACGGCTTGAAGCACGAGACGGTCGGGGAATTGTATCCTTAGAACTGTCTTGGTGTACGAGTGAAGCCGTTGCAACATGGCCATGTTTTCCTCCATCTCTCGGACAGCCTTTGTGCGGAATGGCGAGTTCTCCATCATCTCTCTGTTATTTATAATGCTTTGTCAAAGGGGAAGATATAACTATAACTTAGTTATTTATTGCAATACAATTTTAAATGAACTTGGTAAATCCTGTACATTAAGAAATAAATGGAAAACTGGTTGAAACCGGGAGTGAATAGCTTTCTAACCGTAAAGTTTACCATTCTTAAATAGGCCTACTTAAATTCTTAAATTTTTCTTTGGTATGGAAAAATAAATTGTATTTATATACTTAGATTGTTATAACAATGTCTTAAGGAGGCCTACATGACAAGAAATTCTATATATGGTTTATTAATTAACTCAATATTATTTAAGGTACCGGTAACACAAACTTTTAAACTAATTTTAAATATTTATTTAACAAACCTATTTTCTTTGAGTTCCTTAAATAATGCACGAACATCGTCTTTCTTCAGTTCGAAAAAGTCATCGGGAAGTTCCAAGGGAGGAAGAGGTTCACCAGCTTCGGCACTAAATAATATTGCATTTCTATCCCCAATCTGGAAAACACATTAGGTACGGTATTAACCTCTTTTAACATAGCCTACTTAAGGCTTAAAAGGGTTTCCTGACATAAACACAAGAGGAAGGTAAGTCACAGAAAATAGAGTTTTAAATTACAAAATAGTAGGCTATAAAAAGTTTAAGCTAAGCACAATTCAAATTATCAAAAGGGGGTAGCTGACATCAAGTATCATGTCAGTTTTAATTTGACTTCACTTATTTCCGGGTTAACTTATTTCACTAAGTTACAGCAGTTAGGTAAAAAAAATCATATTACTGATATTTTTACAAAATAACTTAGCCTAAGATTGTCTCATTGCACACTGAGGACTTACGGTAATCAATATTTAGGGTAATCCACAACCCCCTTATAAAAGAAACTTGATGAGTAAGCCTAACTACAATACCAGTAGGCTACTTGAGGTATTTTGCATCTAAGGTACGTACCGGTAATGTAGGCTGTGGTAATGTAATGAGATATGGAGAACCATAAACGCAGAAAGGGTGAAGACCCTTCAACCAAACCAACATAACCCTACTACAGGACAACAGGAAAATCACAAACAAAACTGAAGTTACAAGTATTTTAAATGATTTCTTTATAAACCCAATAGAAGAACTAAATCATAACAAAGTGAACAGCACTACAGACATTGAACAACTCGAAAACACAACCAATACACCATCTCTTTTAAAATTCAAAAGCATACTGTATCAAAAGATAAACTAAAGAAATTTTTTACCCATATCAAGTCCAACAATGCTGCGGGCTACGATGAAATCACGGGAAAGCTGCTTAGGTACTGCAGAGAAGAAGTAACAGAACCTTTACTCCATATAATCAACACCTCACTCAACAAAAATCAAATAGGTACCTAAAAACTTAAAAATCTCTAAGATTCACCCAAAATTTAAAAAAGGAGACAAAGAAAATCCTGGAAACTATAGGCCCATATCTAACCTACCAACAATATCCAAACTATTAGAAAGAGAAATATACGACCAAATCGTTAATCACCGTAGAAACAAACAACCTACTCACAAACTGTCAACATGGCTTCCGGAAGAAACTAGGAACAAATACCGCAATTGCAGAACTCTGCGAAGACATATAACAACTATCTGGGAAGACAGAAAAAATGCATTGGGACTTTTCTTAGAGTTAGTCTTAGTTCTTAGACCTTCCAAAAGCGTTTGACTCATTGGACTGGGATATACTTCTACAAAAGCTCAAAAAAGTAGGTACATATTGAAGGAGAAGCATTGGCACTAATAAAAAACCAGGTATCTTGACCATAGGTACCAATATGTTGAAACCGATCAGCAAGTGAACAACATAATAATATGTAGCATCCAAATCACCACTTAAACAGAATACAAAAGGCATTCCTCAAGGCTCCATACTTGGCCCACTTTTCTTCCTCATATACATAAATGATGTACCGAACAAATTATCAAATGAATTCAAATGTATTTTATTTGCAGACGATACCACCATAATAATACCTACAGATAGAAATAAAAATAACCAACAACTCATAACCGCAGCAGTAGAACAAGCAACAACAATATGCAACAACCTAAATCTAAAACTTTATACCAGTAAAACTACACACATTAATTTTAAACCAAGTAACAACCTAGAAGATGAAAGCGACTGGACCAACATCAGTATCACAACGCAAGAAACCACTAAATTCCTGGGAATAATTGTTGATAAAAATTTATCCTGGCAGCAACACATCGAACATCTGTGTAAAAAAACTGGCCTCTGCACACTATGGCATCAAACGAATTCGCACCGTAACCGACGAAGAAACCTACAGAATAGCCTACTTCTCGCTTTTTGCTTCTCACCTGAGTTACGGAATTGCAACATGGGGGCCATCATCTGCAAACAATATGGACAAACTACTTATCCTACAAAAGAAAGTACTGAGTGAAAATTTAAAAACGTACGTTTTCAAGAAAAGCACTTTTTTCCCCTTTTTTCAGAACTTTTATTATTTTTTTTATTTTATTAACATTTGAAGTTTTATAAAATGTCCATGGTAACGCAATATCTTTGGTAGTTTTCTTTTTAAAGAGCATCTTTAGTAGAAAAACACAAAATCCTGTCACGACCATAACGGACGTTTAAATGAATATTAAAAATAGTTAATATTATTTTTATAACTATGTTTTGCTATAAACTAATTTACTTTTATGACCATTATACAATAAAAAGGTCACTGAACTTTTGGTATATTTGGTCTTTCTAGAACAAAATATAAAAAACTCAAAAAATAGAAAAAAGCCAATAAAATCTATTTAAGTTTGTATAACTCCCAAAAAACTTACCTGAGACCCGAAAAATCGTTATGTTTGTAAATGTTGTGTATCCACATGGGTTAATTTATTAGTTTACAGTTTGATTCCGTTTATATTTGGAGCAGGGAGCTCAGCCAAAAGTAAAGTAAAGTGGTGTGGGATATTCGTGCGGTACAGGTGCGCACTAATTATGCTAGCATTCTATTGTGGGAACGTTAGTGATGGGTTATGTATATGTCAGTATGTATGTCGACGATAGGGGATTTTTAAAATTTGCCTGGTGATGATCTTGGCGGTATTTTGGTACTATTGGTGTTATATTGGTAGTGTTGGGCTGGAATCTAAAATAGTGGGCTTAACGCTGGGCAATAAATTTACTAAAATTAGCGTGCCCTCGGTGTTGGAATATCAGAGGTCGTTTGGCACAGCTTCAGGGAATAGTTAAACATAGTGGGAGTGTGGTTGTGTTGTACCAAATGTGGTTTGAGGTAATTCTGGAAACCAGCATTTGTGTCACCAGCCCCACCACCTTGAGGTTAGATATGGTCGGTCCTTGTGAACCACCAACTTACAGTCAGAATCCGTCAAGGCGTGAACCAGACAACAACTAGCTGGTCATGATTCTCCCGCTGATATTAGCAGGTATGTGGTGATAGGCTAATAGGAGATTTACATTGCCCGACCCTTGGTTCAGTAGTAGGTAGCCCTCCCTCTAAATTATACCCTTTTAATAATGGGGATTTCTCTGTGATATTAGCGTAGTCATGTATTAGTAAGATATTATAATTTGTATTTATCTGCTTATCCGCTTAATAAATGAACCCAACTAACATCACGCCCGAGTATTTATTCTGGACACCCCACCCACTAGCGGATACAACATATAGAGGTGTGCTTCTTTTGTGTATAAAACATTGAAATATGACGATATTTTAATTTTTGAAATTTTTATGATAGAAATCATAAACGTGATGGTCAGGGACAAGCGGTACGGTCGTGAATTGTCTGGAATAATCTAAATCTTTCTAAACAATCCTCCAATTATACTGTTAGTTATAATAAAACTATGTGTTTCAATTGAACTAAACTGTTCAATTTACAATTATATTAAAGTTATTGTCACGACCAAACACACTATAAATCCATAAGGCTGGATTGGTCGTGAAAAAACCCGCGATGGTCGTGAAACTTTGGTTGTGAAATTATGTGTTATTTGGCTCTGTTCTGGCGGTAGCCCTGCACCTCATGTTCGAGGATACAAAGTGGACTTCTAGTTTAATCTAGCAATTGAAATATCTTATAAACAAAAATTAACACCATGTCTACTTCATCGAATGACTACGTACGGTCATGGACACACCAAAATTACAAAAAACACAATCTTTCCTTTACTAATCTTGTAATTCCTCCTTTCAACTCGAAACGACCGGCACTATAATCCTGACGTACACCCCGAACTAGTCTCTAAAACCAACTGACTCCATCGACGCCAGGCTTGCCACTGTCGTGCTCCAAAGTTGAAAATTTTTCCCAAATGGTTGTGACGCTAAATCGAGGGACAGACTTATTTTGTCATGGTAGTCAGTCTGCAATGACAATAAAATTATAATATGCTCCTTTTTTGTAAGTTTAATAACCATTGATGACATAAAAATATGGCTTTATATATTTCGGCATGAATAATTAGTCTAAAAACAGCATGAAAGTTGGAAAATGTACCTAGGGACACGTCATGGTCGTGAATTTTGAGACTTTAAAAATACGAAAAAAATACCTAGAACCTATTTAAAACCAAAAAAATGTGTGTAACATGTTGCCCCCGTCCCAAAAAATATTAAAACACATAATAATAAACTACAAATCCAGTATCTACGAAGTAAAAGGCCAGGGACATGAAAACGTACGTTTTTAAATTTTCACTCTACTATGAACGATATGCAGGACACACTATCTGGAACATTGTAGATCCCTATTCATCCAGCTCAAAATCCCCACTGTTTTCTCACAATATATTCTAGAAACCATAATCCTAGCAAAAAAATCCAATCCAACACTCCGGTCACATTATCATAATCACAACACCAGACACAAAAACAATATAAACCTGCCACAACACAGACTAAAAAGTTCAGCAACACCCCAACATACAGTTGTCGCAGCTAGTCTGGGCGCGCGGCCGTGCTAGGGTGCGGGGTGTAGGGGGAGTGTTTATTGCTCATTTCCAAAAACATCTGGCCCACACGGCTGTCTGGGGTTGTTCAGCGCCTCACTGCTGGCTTTGGCATGGGGGACGGTTAGTACACAAGGGTCCGCGCGCCCAGACTAGCTGCGAAAACTGTACACAGAACCTAAATACATAAATCTTCTGCCAGAAAAAATTAAAAATATTTCAAATCATACCACATTTGTAAAGACACTAAAAAATTACCTTATAACAAACCATATTACTCAACAAAGAAATACATACATGAACACACTTTTACACACTTAGGCTACATTGGGCTAGCTGAAAGGCTGCCAAGAAGATGAAGAAGGAGAAATTTTGACGACTCCCCGATCTGAGGATTGTGGCGAAGAAAGAAGAGGTAAAAGGTAAAAAGGCTACTTCCTCATTTTAAACATGACTAAAAGTAAGGTCAAATTAGGTCTCCCTCAGGGGTGCCCACAAGGGGGGGCTGTGACGCAGACTGCGTCATTGAAATTCTTGGGGGGGGCTACAAAAATGCAAATGGGGGGGGGGGTGGCTAAAGCTAATTGTAACAGTGTTCAACGTGAAGACAATCCAACATATATTACGAAGTCGCCAGATAGAAAGTGGATTAATTAATGACAATAGTTATATTTTTGAATTCAATTAGTTAAAATAGGATATTAGGATAGTTTAGGATTCGTCTAGAAAGTTATTATTCAAGATTAGCAAGCCGTGAGATCTAAGAGGGAGGGCACGGAATGGCTCAACTGCTGTGATAGATAAAGATAACGCGTGGTACAGCTACACACAGACACGTCCAGCTATACCGCGACTCAGCACAGAACGCTTTGTTGACATAAAGCTCGTTAAAATACAACAATACTTCACACTATTGTGTAGATACTCGATTACCTGAGTTAAAGGGAGGGGGAGTAATGGAAAATACGGTTAGTATAAAACAGATGACAATCCCATTAAACCGCTGTAAACAGCCATTAACGTTACGATTTGCATTCTTATAAACGAAATTCAATATTGCTCAATCATTATTATTGTGCAATAACATTATTATTGCAAATTTCAAATCATTTATCTTGGTTCAGTTGTACAAACGGCAACGTTTAAAATTATAGCCAACTCAAACTCAACTAATAATTAGACAAAGACTGCATTGCTATAAATAACGTAAATATTAAAGGAACCTTTAGAAAGTATTATAAGGTTCATGATAGACGGATAGGCTACCAATAGGTGCTGTATCACAGCATAGGAATTGATAGATAAGTGATAAAAAAGTGTAAAATTATATTTAGAGATAACTAATAAAACACTCTTAAAAAAGAATGTAACGAGAACAATCTTGTTATTCTTTTTCTTTGTTCTTCTGTTCTTTAATAGGTTTCTCTTCAATTCATACACAAATTCAACAAGTCGCCATTTAGGCCTACTCATTGCCCAATCACAGCCTTACTAAAATTACCATGGTTACTAATCACTCAATCACAGTTTACTGAGCTATATCGTCATCATTCCCCAGCTGTTGTATCTGAAATCTGTTGTAACATAGCGCACAGCAGACAGAAGTGTAAAACAGAGCAGACGATTGTTGGCGCAAGCGTTGTTTCCATTTCATTTTCATCAAAGGAGCTGTGATGTTTCTAAAGGGAGGGAGAGGGGATCGTTCTATCAAGAGAAAGACGCTGAAAATTCGTTAAGCAGAGGTTACGAACGCTATATGGATATTGTGGCAATAAAAAATTCCTTGATTAGGTGACTTATAAAACTCTAATTTTATATATATATAGAAAAATAAGTTTTCCAGTCCTGTACAACACTGACAACACTGATTCACGGTCTTTTCCGATTCAAAATTCAAGTACAACTTGATACACACAGAATCTCCGGTTCCCGACCTGGATGATGGCTAGTTATTTAATTTAATTTACAGTTACATATTAGTACCCGTGATAAATCAAACCCGTTATGTAAGCCAAAGCCACACGGTTATTAATCTCACTTGGTTTTGGATTTGCTTACAAACGTGATCGGAAATGGTTAGGGCCTACACAGTATTCGTAAACAACATTTATGTAATCATATCAGTGACAGCTAGAAAAATTAATATTACAATTAAACCATTAGAACCATAATCGGTACTCTAGTTTTCTTTAGAGTAGGCTGCGTAAAATGCCTTCTGGGCCGTGACAGACGGACATAAATTGAGATAAGATATGTTTCAACTTCTTCAATGTATAAAACGTAAAAATAACCCAAAATATGTATAATTCTGAGCAATGTACAGACAAAACTAAAACTTTATTTATATAGATTAACTGGGTTTGAATTTTAAATATCTAAACAAAATTATAACACTTTTATAGTTTTACAAATAGTGCTGGGCGGGGGAATTATGTTATGCAGTAAATTATCTAAGGGAACTTTTATGTTGATTAGGCTAGGATCGTTTGTGTCAACGGATATTCTCATTACAGTTTACTATGTCTACCTTCATAGTTATATATCATATGGAATTATTGTATGGGGTAATGACACCAATGTTAAGGATTTTTTAATTGAACAAAAGCGTGCTATTAAAGTCATAGCAAATGTTGACAAGAGGACTCACAGCAAGCCATTGTTTAGGAAATTCAACATACTCACTGTACCTGCTATGTATATTTTTTAATGACTGTTGTTTGTTAAAAGAAATTTACATACTATACCTACAAATAAAATTGTTCATAACTATTTCACTAGAAACTGTAACTCACTTAGAATTTCCCAGTGTAATTTAAAAATTACTCTGAATTGTTTTGTTGAAATGGGAAAGAAACTGTATAATTCTATACCCTCTCATTATAAATGTTTAGAATTTGACTGTTAAAATGTCTGTGTTTTAAATTTAAACTCATCGGACTCCCTTGCTTGTGCAGGTTGAATCAGATTATGGTGTTTGATCATGTGCCCCTGCTCAATTTTATTTTATATCTTTTATTTATTGTACTCTCCCCTTCATTATGGATTTATTTTGCCCCCTTTAATTATCCAAATGAAATAACTTGCTAATTTAGAAATGTTACCCCTATCACTGAGTTCCCTGCCCTTGGATATTTAACTCATCCTACAATCATCTTGTAATCTTATGTATGTGATAAAGATTTGATTTGATTTGAATAACGTTTCTCATTTGTTGTGTACATCATTTATGGTGGGGGGGGGGGCTGTTGCTCAATTTGGGGGGGGGGGTGCGTCATGAGTCTAGGGGGGGATGGGCACCCCTGTCTACCTACTCACATATTTAACACCTTCATCAACATTGGACTGCTGAAGACTAGAAGGGCCCTGGACTCCTTCCTCAGCCATCTATAAAATTTGAAACAAGATTAGAACACAGACAAGCATATTAGACATACACCATACATTGAACCATAGTAAAAGTTTTCAAACAGGCCTAACTTACCGGTACCCATTTGTACGAATTGCTCTTACCTCTAAATCTTACGTCTCGGGTGGCCAGATCAAAACTCCTCTTTTTATGTAGCTCTCTAAATGTGTAAATTTGTATACACGCCACAAGATGTGGCTTTCCTCTTAACTTAGGAGAACTTTGTAGGCTGCAAAAAATTGCTATTGCTCCAATTATTCCCATCCTTGGTTTTTCTTTTTAGCCTATTAAGCGAAATAACTTAGGCCTAACGAGGGTAACCCTGCATGATGCCCATTTTTTACCCACAGAAACCACTGGGTAAAAAAACTCACTGTTTTATCCACGGTGTCCACTGGTTTTTTATAGTGCAAATTGGCCGAGCAGGTTAGGCTAAATCGTTTAGTTAGAACTATGTGGTCAAGTCCAAATAGGCTAACTCTCACATTCTCGGCTTTGCCTCACACGAGAAATTGGTAAGTTGTTATTCCTGTATTCAGCTTTGCCTCACAAATATTAACTTACTTGAGCGGCAAACATTAACTTACATTTATTAAAAAATAAATGCTACTTTCGGTACTAGACCAAAGCATTTATTGCAGTACCCAATCATTAGTACTGTATTTGAATTTATAACAGACTTTCAAATCTCAAAATTATACACTTATGAATTAATTAGGCTAAATACTAGCCTAGGCCTAGGCTATTAGTTAAATGTAAAGCAACAAAAAGCCAATGCGAAATTATTACAAAAATAACTTATTAAAATATGCTTACTGTAGTTGAAAGTGGAACTATACAATGCAATTATAATGCATAAATACAAGTCTAGTAGCCTAGTATGTTTTCTGTGGTAATGTACAGTAATCAATCACAAAACAAACACTACATTACATAGCATAAACATAAAGCATAAGCATAACCTAAAAAAACAAACAAAACTTATCCGTAATCGGGATAATTGTGTGTAAAACAGCTGCTTCGCTGCTTGACCCTTTTTCTCTCCAATATAGTTTACTATATTGTATAAAGCTTAGCTTAGCGTAGTAGCCATGAAGCTACAACTTTTTATTTAACTTTATTTATAAGGTTCATAGTTATAATCTATGATATAATTCAAGCTCTCAAATTCAAGAAAATCTAAATAAAAGCTCCTAAACAGTTTGTTAAATAAGAATTAAATGTGCAAAACTACGGGAAATGTCTTATTGGTCTATATAAAGAAAATTTTGAGAGTCGACGTTTTCCCAGAAACTTGACCTAGGACCTTTGAACAATTACAATTTTTAACCACAGGACATGTGGCCTTTGATCTATGCCTATTGTTCTGAACTTGGATTTTTACCTGTAACCTTTGACCTAGTCATTTGGTCTGAATTTTTACCTTTCATTTGACCTGGACGTTGACCTCTTGCATTTGACCTGTGAACTTTGATCCATACCTACATGTGAATTGAGACAACATTTTCACGAGTATTGATATATGTTTTCTCAATATTACTAAAATTATTGAGATGTCCAATAAGTAATTTAAAATATACTACGTCGTTTTCCTTTCATTAATTATTATTGGTTGTGAAGGTGACAGAAGAAGGCTACAGCAAGAAAGGTCCTTTATACTAATTAAACCCTTAACTAACACACCCTTGTCAAATGAAATATAATCTTTTCTTAGATTTAACATCCATACTTTCTTGTGTTTGTTAGTCTATTATATTACTCTAGCGAATATAAAAAGTGTGTTTACAAAACCGCCAATATACAATGGTACTACTGTATATGCAATGCATCTTAATGTTATATAGATAATATGTAACGGGTTTCTTAAATTTTGTATGTTTATAATGTATTTTAGATTTCCTGCAGAGTACACCTTAAATATAGACCTAACTATAGTCTATTCAAGGCACCCCTAGTGGAAAACATCAATAGAAATCAATAGAAAAAATCTATTGATATCACTAGATGCTTAGTGATATCAATAGATGTTCATGGATATCATTACAAGTAAATACAAACAAATAGACATCACTGAAAACTTAGTCAATACATATCACTAGACATCTATAAACATAAAATATATCAATATAGATCATTAGAGCAAACAAATCGTTCATTGATATCAATAGAGAATATTTTTTAAATATGTTAGATGTAAATATAAATCAATAGACATCAATACGGGTAAATAAAATTCAAAATATCTCTAAAATGTATCACATACCTATGAGCATTATGGATTATACAAAATATCAATGTAAAGTGGTTAAATAAACAGGAATAAAAATGTTATTTTTTGAAAAAAGGAAAAACTTTAGTTTTAGGTCATAGACGTTAGCTGAGGTACCTAAAACTCAATATAATTTTAAAATATATCATTTTAAAATTGTTGTAAAACAGTTACAACTTGTATTAAATCTTATTTTTTAAACTGCCAAAAACTGATTGCTAAATAATTTTAAAATTGTTATAAAACAGTTTACAACTTGTATTAAAACTAATTTTCTTAAACTTCAAAAAACTGATTGTAAAACAATTTTAAAATTGTTGTAAAACAGTTACAGCTCGTATTGAAACTTATTTTTTTCAACTGCAAAAAACTTATTGTTAAACATTTTTAAAATTGTTTCAATCTTATATCAACATTGTTGTAATATGAAGTTTAAATAAAAATGTTTTAAAATTATTATACAACAAACTTTCGACAACTTTTAACAATTTCTTTCCTAATGGGTTATTAGGGATAAAAATTACTCACAAATTCATTATTGAATTGAATTCCTTATTTCTAGAAATCAATAAAAATAAATTGATTGACACACTATTCGCATCACCCAAGTAGCAAGAAAACAGTTTGAACTGGTAATAAAACAGTTTTGAAACATGTTAAAGCATGAAACATGGTACAGTACATGCTTGAAATGACACAAATGCCATTGAAAAATCTTTTCAGTTTAATTACACAGAGCAAAGCTTTGCTCTGTGTTTAATTATGAGGCCTAACACAGCTTCTCGCATTCAAAGTGGCTATCATTACTTAATCAGACATGAAGCGTCCGTGGCGTAATGGCTTAGACATCCGGCTACCATGCTGGAGTCCCAGGTTCAAATCTCGGGAACACCTAGAGCTTTTTGACAAGAATTTTTTTACTTTTTCATTTTTATTTTATTTTTAGTGCATAGTAGATGTGATTCAATGTGTTGAAACAAATTAAAAATTGTTTTTTAACAAGCTACAAATTATTTTCAATTAAGCTAATGACTCGGATCCTATATTTACTTGTATTGATATGTATTGATGTGTATTGATGTGTATTGGCCCAAATACACATACGTATCAATACGTATCAATATACAATTTTTGTATTGATATATATTGATCACTTCCACTAGGGACGCTGTCTCAAGAGTATTGTTTTTGTGTAAAATCAATTAAATATACGATAATTTATCTAAATAAGCTGTCCATAAATGATTTGTGTATTCAAATACTGTTTAATAAACGCTGGTGTTTTGGTGTATACTGAAACTACCTAAAACTTATAGTTTGGATTTCACTGTAAAATCCTTTCTTGACAACATCACTATACACACTCGCTGGACTCTAGTTTTAGTTTTATAATCACTTGACATGCATTTTACACCTACAAAAAAAGAACCTCTATCAGTAAAAAAGATGCGTAAATTAATTAATACTCTGGAGTTTCCAAATTCACGTTGCTACAGCGTATTTTACTCACATATCTGTTTGTGTCAGTTAACCTATATCTAGATAAGGGAATTTGAATTGTAACATATAATATTGATCACATATTCGATGTTCTCCATAAATATGTTAGAAGGAGCAATACTCTTTAATTTAGAGGACACTCCACAGCTCGCAGTACGAACCTTGCAATAACGTTTCTCAATACAGTTGAATACGTTAATTGCATCGTCAATAGGTGAAAGATGTCTTGTTGGCTTCATCGATATCGATCGTTGGCTTAAGCCTATATAATAACTCTTTAGATTTTTCAATGCAATTAATACAATTTAAATATTTGATACCTTTTTGAGAAATACAGATTTGAATTTTCATAGTGACACAGATTTGTCAAAGACTTCGCTTTGCACCATTTGCCACAAACAAATACAGATTATTGGCAAAGACTAAAGAGCATGTACAGAGAATATTACGATATTACCAAAGGAGAGATGTCAAGAGTTGTAGATCTTGTCCAGAGTCCCCGGTATGGGAGTTCAAATTTCGTCTAATATTGCCAGAGGAAATGATGACGAATAAATACAACTATATTTAAGATGTTTAAGAAGTAAACAATGCCAATTTGATTAGAAACTACGATGAGTAATTTTGACAATCACATATGGTACGAGGTACGTGGATGCTAGGTTCATGGTTTTTGTATTCAATTTTTTTTTTACGTTCTCACAAGTGGTACTGGATTTGCAATTAACTGGTTCACCACTCAGGCTGGTTACTTAATAAATACGTATATTAAATAGTCCAGTATGGTTACTCACTCATAAAATGTTCGTAAAATGAACTCAAGATTCAAGATCATTTATATCCAAAAAGAATACAACTAGCCTAATTGTGATAAAGTGACTGTTTTAGTATAAAAACATATTCCTCACAAGACTGATCGCGATCGCCTAAGCCTGAGGAAGAGACCATACGTTATCAATAAAAAAACTAATGAAATAATGTCTTAATACAATTAAATTAAACAAAATGAAAAAAGGCCTTAGTGTAAGATCTTACAAAATCACCAGGATATACGGATTTAGATAGTAAAACGATTTTGTAAACTAAATTCAAATTCGTTGCAGATAGGCCTACATAACAAATAGCGTTTTGAAACTATGCGACAGCAATTTTAAAAAGGTGTCATTATTAAAAACCTTAAGTACTTGTAGATATCTGAGTATCGACTCCTATTTAGGTCCAATCAAACATTAAGCTAAGTCTTCTGGCTGTGGTATATTATTAGAGGAATAGATGGCACGCAACAGGGTGGCTAAGGTGGTGAGGTAGGTTGGGGGGTTGGGGGTGGTGAGGGTGACCAAACCAAGATACACCACCTGTAGAACTCAGTCGGGCCGCAGCGTGCTATGACACCCTCTCGTGAGTGACCCTTAGTTGTTTATTAACGCCCAACTAATCAACAAGGTAAACTCATCTTTAAAATAATATTGTAACACTCAATTTTTTTGTCCTAACCATGGTGGTTTTAAAAGTTTTTGTCATAGATTACTGGTCCAACTACAACCCCAGGTTACAATATATTGTCGCAATTTTGTTGTTATTGTATTTTTACAATATAGGGTACCTGCTTATGGGCAGCATTATTTAATTAATAGCCTAGTTAAAAATCATGTGGCACAAGTTTTTCTCGCTTGAGAATGTTATCATTTATGTGTTTTAAATACGTAGAACCACAGCTTTGTTGTCTCGGAACCACAACTGGGTCACAAGCGTTCACTTTGTTAAGATTAATAAGTGAATCCGGCGTGATTTGAACCCTGGACTTCAGGGCAGAAATACTCTCTCTCTATCATCATTATTGGTATCAGTTAACTTTGCGTTACTTTGTTACGAAGATACGATTTTTACTAGCTAACTTTTAACCTCTACATCAATCGCATCCCGAAATGGTAGGCTATATACCATGTAGTATAATGGTATAGTGACAAGGTTTTTGATCAATCTTTTCTCGAGGATCCGCGTTCAGAAGATGCTACAATTTTCCCGTCTACTACAATTTAGATTAGATTCTCTAGATAAAACGATACCCCCGCTGTAGCAAACCTGCAGACTAAGCGAATTTCCATTTACCTGGCTGGATTTCTACTAAAATATACTCTGAAAATTGTCATATTTATTTCCTATTTAAATAACTTTAATGTTAA